ACAAGTATACAGACACATCAATCAAAATTAGAGATAACAGATAATAATAATATTAGGAATAAGAATGTAGAAGATAGATTCAAATGGATGATTATATAACCGAAATGCAAAATAGGCATCACCATCGTTTGTATTATTGAGTACCAGAACAGTAACATAAACTAAAAAACACAAATTAGGTATCACAAGATATTACAAGACTGGGTCAAAATATGTCCATTTGTGGTGGGACAGGCTGCAGGTTCAAACAGTCCATTTGCACATAATCCTGAGCTGAGTCCCTAAAATGGACAGGCGGACCCACACTTGAGACATCAAATACAAATGAGAGATAGAAAAGATAGAAGTATAGAATGGGATGTACATTTGCTAAAATAGGCGACCAGTGTCAGTTATGAATCTCTGAACTATATCAAGAATAAATTTATTCATGTTTGCATCAAGTATAGGAGAACCTTTGAGAAATGTATCAATTGAAGGAGGTATAGAATCACTAAGGTCAAAAAGGGAATTAAAGAGGAGTTGTCTCTGGTTAGTAAAGAAGGGACAGTGGAAAAAGAAGTGGGTACAATCTTCAACTGGGTGGCCACAGTTACAGGCAGGGTTATCTTTAAGGTGGGAATTGAATAAATCAAAATTCAGATTACTTGCAGAGTTTCTTAGTTGACATAAAATTATGTCAGCTTTTCTTTGTCCTTTATATTTGAAAGTATCATTACAGTGGAAAGGAGGAATGGTAGTTTGCTGTGATAAAAAAGATTTTTTTATCGCATAAATAGAAGTTAATGAGGGATACAGACAAGATGGGCCATTCCATTCATTCATAAGTATTTGATTTGAATTAGGTGGTGGACCAATGACCATGGACGCAGGGTGATTTGAATTAGGTTGTGGACCAATGACCATGGACGCAGGGTGATTTGAATTAAGTGGTGGACCAATGACCATGGACGCAGGGTGATTTGAATTAGGTTGTGGACCAATGACCATGGACGCAGGGTGATTTGAATTAGGTTGTGGACCAATGACCATGGACGCAGGGTGATTTGAATTAGGTTGTGGACCAATGACCATGGACGCAGGGTGATTTGAATTAGGTGGTGGACCAATGACCATGGACGCAGGGTGATTTGAATTAGGTTGTGGAGCAATGACCTTGGATGCAGGGTGATTTGAATTAGGTGGTGGACCAATGACCATGGACGCAGGGTGATTTGAATTAGGTGGTGGACCAATAACAGATGACAAATATAAAACAATGAAAAAAGTTGACATATAAAGTGATAAATAAACATGTAATCAAACCTGTCTTCAATGGCACCTATATATAACAAATACCTGTGTACAAAGGTCACCTATATATAACAAATACCTGTGTACAATGGTCACCTATATATAACAAATACCTGTGTACAATGGTCACCTATATATAACAAATACCTGTGTACAATGGTGACCTATATATAACAAATACCTGTGTACAATGGTCACCTATATATAACAAATACCTGTGTACAATGGTCACCTATATATAACAAATACCTGTGTACAAAGGTCATCTATATATGACAAATACCTGTGTACAAAGGTCACCTATATATAACAAATACCTGTATACAAAGGTCACCTATATATAACAAATACCTGTGTACAATGGTCACCTATATATAACAAATACCTGTGTACAATGGTCACCTATATATAACAAATACCTGTGTACAATGGTCACCTATATATAACAAATACCTGTATACAAAGGTCATCCATATATAACAAATACCTGTGTACAATGGTCACCTATATATAACAAATAACTGTGTACAATGGTCACCTATATATAACAAATACCTGTGTACAGACATCACCTTTATATGATAATTATTCATGTACAAAGGTCATCTATATATAACATCAAATACCTGTGTACAAAGGTCATCTATATATAACATCAAATACCTGTGTACAGACATCACCTTTATATGATAATTATTCATGTACAAAGGTCATCTATATATAACATCAAATACCTGTGTACAAAGGTCATCTATATATAACATCAAATACCTGTGTACAGACATCACCTTTATATGATAATTATTCATGTACAAAGGTCATCTATATATAACATCAAATACCTGTGTACAAAGGTCATCTATATATAACATCAAATACCTGTGTACAGACATCACCTTTATATGATAATTATTCATGTACAAAGGTCATCTATATATAACAAACAACCTGTGTACAAAGGTCACCTATATATAACAAAAGGTCAACTTTATTTAACAATAATCTTTGTTTAACTTCATATATACTAAACAAACATCTGTATATAAATACAACTGGTTTAAAGTTCAAACATCATTCCATTCATAGTGCTAAACCTCTATATAAAGGCAACAGTATTGAAGTGTACCAGTATTGAGGTCATCTTCCCCGCTCCTTTATAGACAGGTTAGACTATAAGATATGAAATAATTGAAGTGGAAGCCACTCTGTATTGTACAGAAGTATAATGAAAAATACTGGCCTCCAAGGAAGGGACCTTGTGTGTGTTCTGAAAAACAATTCATTTTGCTAGGGTTTTTTTATTTCATAATTTCAATTATTCACAAAATCACATGTACATGAAATGCTCAAATTAAAATAAATAAATATCTTTCTTTAGAGCATTTTCATGAAAAAATAGGTGAACATGTTAGAGGGGGATATTGGTGTCAGTATAGGGGTGTCATAGAACATGTTAGAGGGGGATATAGGTGTAAGTATAGGGGTGTTATAGGACATGTTAGAGGGGGATATAGATGTCTGTATAGGGGTGTTATAGAACATGTTAGAGGGGGATATAGGTGTCAGTATAGGGGTGTTATAGGACATGTTAGAGGGGGATATAGATGTCTGTATAGGGGTGTTATAGGACATGTTAGAGGGGGATATAGGTGTCAGTATAGGGGTGTTATAAAACATGTTAGAGGGGGATATAGATGTCTGTATAGGGGTGTTATAGAACATGTTAGAGGGGGATATAGGTGTCAGTATAGGGGTGTTATAGGACATGTTAGAGGGGGATATAGATGTCTGTATAGGGGTGTTATAGAACATGTTAGAGGGGGATATAGGTGTCAGTATAGGGGTGTTATAGAACATGTTAGAGGGGGATATAGGTGTCAGTATAGGGGTGTTATAGAACATGTTAGATGTAGATATAGGTGTCAGTATAGGGGTGTTATAGGACATGCTAGGGGTTGATATAGGTGTCAGTATAGGGGTGTTATAGGACACACTAGGGGTTGATATAGGTGTCAGTATAGGGGTGTCATAGAACATGTTAGAGGTGGATATAGATGTCAGTATAGGGGTGTTATAGGACATGTTAGAGGTGGATATAGATGTCAGTATAGGGGTGTCATAGAACATGTTAGAGGCGGATATAGATGTCAGTATAGGAGTGTTATAGGACATGTTAGAGGGGGATATAGATGTCAGTATAGGGGTGTTATAGGACATGTTATGGGCTGATATAGGTGTCAGTATAGGGGTGTTATAGAACATGTTAGAGGGGGATATAGATGTCAGTATAGGGGTGTTATAGGACACACTAGGGGTTGATATAGGTGTCAGTATAGGTGTGTTATAGAACATGTTAGAGGGGGATATTGGTGTCAGTATAGGGGTGTCATAGAACGTGATAGAGGTGGATATAGGTGTCTGTATAGGGGTATTATAGAACATGTTAGAGGGGGATATAGGTGTCTGTATAGGGGTGTTATAGAACATGTTAGAGGGGGATATAGATGTCAGTATAGGGGTGTTATAGAACATGTTAGAGGGGGATATAGATGTCAGTATAGGGGTGTTATAGAACATGTTAGAGGGGGATATAGGTGTCAGTATAGGGGTGTTATAGAACATGTTAGAGGGGGATATAGGTGTCAGTATAGGGGTGTTATAGAACATGTTAGAGGGGGATATAGATGTCAGTATAGGGGTGTTATAGGACATGTTAGAGGGGGATATAGATGTCAGTATAGGGGTGTTATAGGACATGTTAGAGGGGGATATAGGTGTCTGTATAGGGGTGTTATAGGACATGTTATGGGCTGATATAGATGTCAGTATAGGGGTGTTATAGAACATGTTAGAGGGGGATATAGGTGTCTGCATAGGGGTAATATAGAACATGTTAGAGGTGGATATAGATGTCAGTATAGGGGTATTATAGAACATGTTAGTGGTACATCACAACATTTCTCCTGCACAATGCACTACAAACAAGGATGGCGACTTATTGGATTCACTCCATAGTTCTTTAGCTACAAACTTTTTTTCATGCATTTCAGTGTCTATTTGTTGTACATACATGTAGTAAATGTGTTCTTACTAAATACAAGAGTTCCTCAGAATTGTATGTGTCGCCTGTATAAATTGTCATGGTCACCCAGAAATGGAACTGGATGTCAAAACTAATATGTACCCTTCCGAATTTAATCTATACCCTTCCAACAAAGTTCAAAGGTGCATAACTCAGCCAAGAAGGGTCACAGACAGCCGGATATCAAACTTAATCTGCACCCTTCCAACAAGAAGCCATACACTAAATTCCATTTTGATAACCCAAAGCATTACCATAAAAAGTCTGGAAAGTTTTCTTACAGAAGCCGCCAACGTGTGACGACAGACAAAGTGATCCCTAAGTGTCCGCCAGCTCTGCAGGCCACACAAAAACAATGGTCTATTTCCAGTTCATTTACATGGTACCTGCTGCTTGGATCCAACATTGCGCTTTTACTTTCGACATCATTAGGTAATGATTGTGCTATATTTAGATTGGTCTAATTTCAATTGGCCTGGGGTATTTCCTTCCAATTTGTTTATGCAAACTGACTACTGGAAAATATTGTGATGTTGATATTACATTAAAATGCCATTAAGTTCATAATGGGGATAGAACAGTCAGAAATATACCACTTTGTCTACAATGTCCTGTAAACGATAAGTATCACATCCTACAGGTGTGTGCTTTCCTGTTCCTGTGCCACTTGAATGTGTTCGTTCACATTTCTGGTGGTAAGGATTTTCAATAAATCATGTCGACCAAGTCTTTGTAATATCTTTTTGAGCTCGATGTGACGACATGATGGCAATGTCTCGCGGCGCTTTCTTGACAGCATCATCCAATAGGACAAAATAATGAACATGGGCCACTCATGGTATGTGTAACAGAAATGCTGGATGATTTCTATATCTCGTATTGGCAGCCCTGAGAATAAAAAAAGAGTAGAAAATAGAGACAACAGAACAGTTTTGTTTTTCTTCATCGTGGCCCTCATGCCTTTGTAGCAAGGCTACCATCCGATAAAGATTCCAATAAATCATTTTCAGGAAAAAAAAAAAAAAAAAAACACCCCAAAAATACAATGATGTGTGATTGTCTTCAATGATTTAATGATAATAAATTTCACTCAATCTTAATTCGGAAATAGAATTCTGGAGTGATTTTCAAAATTTTGATTTTGAAAAAGTCAGCTAAGGTGAGCTTTACAAGAGTTACAATTTAAGCACTGATACTTTAAACTTTTTATCTATTAACAGTAGAAGGATGAAAATGTCACAGGAACAAAATGAAATGAAACAATATTTAAAGAAGCAGCTTTAATTAATTTTATCACATCAATAACAAATTTTTCTGGCAATTATGTGGAACTTAATATACACTCAGTGACATTTGATTTGTCAATTTTGAAATAAAATGATAATGGTTGTTACGAGATGTACACTGATTTGGCCTCTGATGAACCCAAAAACTTTACAGCATTCTGTATGAAGTCATATGAGATTAAATATCGTAAAAATATTAAGCAGAAAGTGAAATTTTAGACAGCTGTACACCCAGTATACCATGATACAATATGTCTAGAGAGAACATCAAAATGGAATCACATAAAGTTACCTAGGATATCTGCAAAGTCCTTCCAGTCCTTGGCTTTAACATGGAGTGTCCTGACATCAAGGTGAATAAAGAGAGCCACTAGTTGTTCCCATGTCACATCCAAGGCTTCCATAAGTTCGGACTTCCTAAGCTTAGACTCGAACACTTGCTGAATACATAGACATAACTGAAAATACAATGTATCTTTTGAGTATTTTTAAACATGGCTGCAGAAAACTTGCCACCAATACTGTTACTTTACTGTTTTGAACATGTAACACTTATTCAGTATAATACACATGTGCAGTACCTCTGTGAAGTAGGTGACACCTGATAAGTATAGAACACATGTGTAGTACTTTACCTCTGTAAAGTAGGTGACACCTGTTCAGTATAGGACACATGTGCAGTACTTTACCTCTGTAAAGTAGGTGACACCTGTTCAGTATAATACATATGTGCAGTACTTTACCTCTGTAAAGTAGGTGACACCTGTTCAGTATAGGACACATGTGCAGTACTTTACCTCTGTAAAGTAGGTGACACCTGATAAGTATAGAACACATGTGTAGTACTTTACCTCTGTAAAGTAGGTGACACCTGTTCAGTATAGGACACATGTGCAGTACTTTACCTCTGTAAAGTAGGTGACACCTGTTCAGTATAATACATATGTGCAGTACTTTACCTCTGTAAAGTAGGTGACACCTGTTCAGTATAATACACATGTGTAGTACTTTACCTCTGTAAAGTAGGTGACACCTGTTCAGTATAGGACACATGTGCAGTACTTTACCTCTGTAAAGTAGGTGACACCTGTTCAGTATAATACATATGTGCAGTACTTTACCTCTGTAAAGTAGGTGACACCTGTTCAGTATAGGACACATGTGTAGTACTTTACCTCTGTAAAGTAGGTGACACCTGTTCAGTATAGGACACATGTGCAGTACTTTACCTCTGTAAAGTAGGTGACACCTGTTCAGTATAATACACATGTGTAGTACTTTACCTCTGTAAAGTAGGTGACACCTGTTCAGTATAGGACACATGTGTAGTACTTTACCTCTGTAAAGTAGGCGACACCTGTTCAGTATAGGACACATGTGCAGTACTTTACCTCTGTAAAGTAGGTGACACCTGTTCAGTATAATACATATGTGCAGTACTTTACCTCTATAAAGTAGGTGACACCTGTTCAGTATAGGACACATGTGTAGTACTTTACCTCTGTAAAGTAGGTGACACTTGTTCAGTATAATACATATGTGCAGTACTTTACCTCTGTAAAGTAGGTGACACCTGTTCAGTATAGGACACATGTGTAGTACTTTACCTCTGTAAAGTAGGTGACACCTTCACATGAATATTGTATTCACAAAGTTCCATGGTCCTAGTTTTAATGCAAGCAAAGTTATGTTCTGGATGTGATATTTTAACAAAGGGCAATAACTCTGTATTGAGGAGTCATGGGTCCTGGCTTTGCTACAGTGCACATTGCTTTTGTATGACTGATGTATACATCGCATTTCAATAGTTTAGTTTAATGCAAGTAAAGTGATGCTCCATACAAGACAGCAACAGTATGCTCCAGGTAGCATAAAAACAAATTACCCACAAAAATTAACGACATAGCAGCATGCAGTATGAGACATCTGAACACACCTGTGCAGTATGTGACACCTGAACACACCTGTACAGTATGTGACACCTGAACACACCTGTGCAGTATGTGACACCTGAACACACCTGTGCAGTATGTGACACCTGAACACACCTGTGCAGTATGTGACACCTGAACACACCTGTGCAGTATGAGACATCTGAACACACCTGTACAGTATGTGACACCTGAACACACCTGTACAGTATGTGACACCTGAACACACCTGTGCAGTATGTGACACCTGAACACACCTGTGCAGTATGTGACACCTGAACACACCTGTACAGTATGTGACACCTGAACACACCTGTGCAGTATGTGACACCTGAACACACCTGTACAGCATGTGACACCTGAACACACCTGTGCAGTATGTGACACCTGAACACACCTGTGCAGTATGTGACACCTGAACACACCTGTACAGTATGTGACACCTGAACACACCTGTACAGTATGTGACACCTGAACACACCTAGGTAGTATGTGACACCTGAACACACCTGTACAGCATGTGACACCTGAACACACCTGTACAGTATGTGACACCTGAACACACCTGTGCAGTATGTGACACCTGAACACACCTGTACAGTATGTGACACCTGAACACACCTGTACAGCATGTGACACCTGAACACACCTGTACAGTATGTGACACCTGAACACACCTGTGCAGTATGTGACACCTGAACACACCTGTGCAGTATGTGACACCTGAACACACCTGTGCAGTATGTGACACCTGAACACACCTGTACAGTATGTGACACCTGAACACACCTGTACAGCATGTGACACCTGAACACACCTGTGCAGCATGTGACACCTGAACACACCTGTGCAGTATGTGACACCTGAACACACCTGTACAGTATGTGACACCTGAACACACCTGTACAGTATGTGACACCTGTTCAGTATTTAACATCTGTAGAGTTTGTGACACCTATAGAGTATGTGACACTTTTGCTTTACTTTACACCTGTACAGTATGTTACAATTGTATAAGACATTGACTTACATCAGTGTTCCAGTATACATCATCTTCCATTCCACAGGCAGTTGGATTGACAGCAGGTATTGGGATATTTAGAGAACAGTCAGTATTAGGGTTCCAGACTTCTTTTAGATTTGTTGAATTCTCATCCAGTCTAGTTATAAGTAAGAGATCATTGTAAACAAAGAAGATATATATCACTGTCAACATGGTTATTATATTAAACTATAATGATATAGGTTTACTGGCTCCGTCTGATGATACAATGATATGTACCTATCATTATACAGGTTTACTGGCCCCGTTGATACAATGATATGTACCTATTATACAGGTTTACTGGCCCCATCTGATGATACAATGATGTGTACCTATTATTATACAAGTTTACTGGCCCCGTTTGATGATACAATGATATGTACCTATTATTATACAGGTTTACTGGCCCCGTTTGATGATACAATGATATGTACCTATTATTATACAGGTTTACTGGCCCCATTTGATGATACAATGATATGTACCTATTATCATACAAGTTTACTGGCCCCGTCTGATGATACAATGATATGTACCTATTATACAGGTTTACTGGCCCCGTTTGATGATACAATGATATGTACCTATTATTATACAGGTTTACTGGCCCCATTTGATGATACAATGATATGTACCTATTATTATACAGGTTTACTGGCCCCATTTGATGATACAATGATATGTACCTATTATTATACCGGTTTACTGGCCCCGTTTGATGATACAATGATATGTACCTATTATTATACAGGTTTACTGGCCCCATTTGATGATACAATGATATGTACCTATTATTATACCGGTTTACTGGCCCCGTTTGATGATACAATGATATGTACCTATTATTATACAGGTTTACTGGCCCCGTTTGATGATACAATGATATGTACCTATTATTATACCGGTTTACTGGCCCCGTTTGATGATACAATGATATGTACCTATTATTATACAGGTTTACTGGCCCCATTTGATGATACAATGATATATACCTATTATTATACAGGTTTACTGGCCCCGTCTGATGATACAATGATATGTACTTATTATTATACAGGTTTACTGGCCCCGTCTGATGATACAATGATATGTACCTATTATTATACAGGTTTACTGGCCCCGTCTGATGATACAATGATATGTACCTATTATTATACAGGTTTACTGGCCCCGTCTGATGATACAATGATATGTACCTATTATTATACAGGTTTACTGGCCCCGTCTGATGATACAATGATATGTACCTATTATTATACAGGTTTACTGGCCCCGTTTGATGATACAATGATATGTACCTATTATTATACAGGTTTACTGGCCCCATTTGATGATACAATGATATATACCTATTATTATACAGGTTTACTGGCCCCGTTTGATGATACAATGATATGTACCCATTATTATACAGGTTTACTGGCCCCGTTTGATGATACAATGATATGTACCTATTATTATACAGGTTTACTGGCCCCGTTTGATGATACAATGATATGTACCCATTATTATACAGGTTTACTGGCCCCGTTTGATGATACAATGATATGTACCTATTATTATACAGGTTTACTGGCCCCGTTTGATGATACAATGATATGTACCTATTATACTGGTTTACTGGCCCCGTTTGATGATACAATGATATGTACCTATTATTATACAGGTTTACTGGCCCCGTTTGATGATACAATGATATGTACCTATTATACCGGTTTACTGGCCCCGTTTGATGATACAATGATATGTACCTATCATTATACTGGTTTACTGGCCCCGTTTGATGATACAATGATATGTACCTATTATTATACAGGTTTACTGGCCCCGTTTGATGATACAATGATATGTACCTATTATACCGGTTTACTGGCCCCGTTTGATGATACAATGATATGTACCTATTATTATACAGGTTTACTGGCCCCGTTTGATGATACAATGATATGTACCTATTATACCGGTTTACTGGCCCCGTTTGATGATACAATGATATGTACCTATCATTATACTGGTTTACTGGCCCCGTTTGATGATACAATGATATGTACCTATTATTATATAGGTTTACTGGCCCCGTTTGATGATACAATGATATGTACCTATTATTATACAGGTTTACTGGCCCCGTTTGATGATACAATGATATGTACCTATTATACTGGTTTACTGGCCCTGTTTGATGATACAATGATATGTACCTATTATACAAGTTTACTGGCCCCGTCTGATGATACAATGATATGTACCTATTATACTGGTTTACTGGCCCTGTTTGATGATACAATGATATGTACTTATTATTATACAGGTTTACTGGCCCCGTCTGATGATACAATGATATATACCTATTATTATACAGGTTTACTGGCTCCGTTTGATGATACAATGATATGTACTTATTATTATACAGGTTTACTGGCCCCGTCTGATGATACAATGATATATACCTATTATTATACAGGTTTACTGGCTCCGTTTGATGATACAATGATATATACCTATTATTATACAGGTTTACTGGCCCCGTATGATGATACAATGATATGTACCTATTATTATACAGGTTTACTGGCCCCGTTTGATGATACAATGATATGTACCTATTATACAGGTTTACTGGCCCCGTCTGATGATACAATGATATGTACCTATTATTATACAGGTTTACTGGCCCCGTCTGATGATACAATGATATGTACCTATTATACAGGTTTACTGGCCCCGTTTGATGATACAATGATATGTACCTATTATTATACAGGTTTACTGGCCCCGTTTGATGATACAATGATATGTACCTATTATACCGGTTTACTGGCCCCGTTTGATGATACAATGATATGTACCTATCATTATACTGGTTTACTGGCCCCCTTTGATGATACAATGATATGTACCTATTATTATACAGGTTTACTGGCCCCCTTTGATGATACAATGATATGTACCTATTATACAGGTTTACTGGCCCCATTTGATGATACAATGATATGTACCTATTATTATACAGGTTTACTGGCCCCATTTGATGATACAATGATATGTACCTATTATTATACCGGTTTACTGGCCCCGTTTGATGATACAATGATATGTACCTATTATTATACAGGTTTACTGGCCCCATTTGATGATACAATGATATGTACCTATTATTATACCGGTTTACTGGCCCCGTTTGATGATACAATGATATGTACCTATTATTATACAGGTTTACTGGCCCCGTTTGATGATACAATGATATGTACCTATTATTATACCGGTTTACTGGCCCCGTTTGATGATACAATGATATGTACCTATTATTATACAGGTTTACTGGCCCCATTTGATGATACAATGATATATACCTATTATTATACAGGTTTACTGGCCCCGTCTGATGATACAATGATATGTACTTATTATTATACAGGTTTACTGGCCCCGTCTGATGATACAATGATATGTACCTATTATTATACAGGTTTACTGGCCCCGTCTGATGATACAATGATATGTACCTATTATTATACAGGTTTACTGGCCCCGTCTGATGATACAATGATATGTACCTATTATTATACCGGTTTACTGGCCCCGTTTGATGATACAATGATATGTACCTATTATTATACAGGTTTACTGGCCCCATTTGATGATACAATGATATATACCTATTATTATACAGGTTTACTGGCCCCGTTTGATGATACAATGATATGTACCCATTATTATACAGGTTTACTGGCCCCGTTTGATGATACAATGATATGTACCTATTATTATACAGGTTTACTGGCCCCGTTTGATGATACAATGATATGTACCCATTATTATACAGGTTTACTGGCCCCGTTTGATGATACAATGATATGTACCTATTATTATACAGGTTTACTGGCCCCGTTTGATGATACAATGATATGTACCTATTATACTGGTTTACTGGCCCCGTTTGATGATACAATGATATGTACCTATTATTATACAGGTTTACTGGCCCCGTTTGATGATACAATGATATGTACCTATTATACCGGTTTACTGGCCCCGTTTGATGATACAATGATATGTACCTATCATTATACTGGTTTACTGGCCCCGTTTGATGATACAATGATATGTACCTATTATTATACAGGTTTACTGGCCCCGTTTGATGATACAATGATATGTACCTATTATACCGGTTTACTGGCCCCGTTTGATGATACAATGATATGTACCTATTATTATACAGGTTTACTGGCCCCGTTTGATGATACAATGATATGTACCTATTATACCGGTTTACTGGCCCCGTTTGATGATACAATGATATGTACCTATCATTATACTGGTTTACTGGCCCCGTTTGATGATACAATGATATGTACCTATTATTATATAGGTTTACTGGCCCCGTTTGATGATACAATGATATGTACCTATTATACTGGTTTACTGGCCCTGTTTGATGATACAATGATATGTACCTATTATACAAGTTTACTGGCCCCGTCTGATGATACAATGATATGTACCTATTATACTGGTTTACTGGCCCTGTTTGATGATACAATGATATGTACTTATTATTATACAGGTTTACTGGCCCCGTCTGATGATACAATGATATATACCTATTATTATACAGGTTTACTGGCCCCGTCTGATGATACAATGATATATACCTATTATTATACAGGTTTACTGGCTCCGTTTGATGATACAATGATATGTACCTATTATACAGGTTTACTGGCCCCGTCTGATGATACAATGATATGTACCTATTATTATACAGGTTTACTGGCCCCGTCTGATGATACAATGATATGTACCTATTATACAGGTTTACTGGCCCCGTTTGATGATACAATGATATGTACCTATTATTATACAGGTTTACTGGCCCCGTTTGATGATACAATGATATGTACCTATTATACCGGTTTACTGGCCCCGTTTGATGATACAATGATATGTACCTATCATTATACTGGTTTACTGGCCCCCTTTGATGATACAATGATATGTACCTATTATTATACAGGTTTACTGGCCCCCTTTGATGATACAATGATATGTTCCTATTATTATACAGGTTTACTGGCCCCGTTTGATGATACAATGATATGTACCTATCATTATACAGGTTTACTGGCCCCATTTGATGATACAATGATATGTACCCATTATTATACAGGTTTACTGGCCCCGTCTGATGATACAATGATATGTACCTATTATTATACTGGTTTACTGGCCCCGTTTGATGATACAATGATATGTACCTATTATACTGGTTTACTGGCCCCGTTTGATGATACAATGATATGTACCCATTATTATACAGGTTTACTGGCCCCGTTTGATGATACAATGATATGTACCTATTATACAGGTTTACTGGCCCCGTCTGATGATACAATGATATGTACCTATTATTATACAGGTTTACTGGCTCCGTCTGATGATACAATGATATGTACCCATTATTATACAGGTTTACTGGCCCCGTTTGATGATACAATGATATGTACCTATTATTATACAGGTTTACTGGCCCCGTTTGATGATACAATGATATGTACCCATTATTATACAGGTTTACTGGCCCCGTTTGATGATACAATGATATGTACCTATTATTATACAGGTTTACTGGCCCCGTCTGATGATACAATGATATGTACCTATTATTATATAGGTTTACTGGCTCCGTCTGATGATACAATGATATGTACCTATTATTATACAGGTTTACTGGCCCCGTTGATACAATGATATATACCTATTATTATACAGGTTTACTGGCCCCCTTTGATGATACAATGATATGTACCTATCATTATACAGGTTTACTGGCCCCGTTTGATGATACAATGATATGTACCTATTATTATACAGGTTTACTGGCCCCGTTTGATGATACAATGATATGTACCTATTATTATACAGGTTTACTGGCCCCATTTGATGATACAATGATATGTACCTATTATACCGGTTTACTGGCCCCGTTTGATGATACAATGATATGTACCTATTATACCGGTTTACTGGCCCCGTTTGATGATACAATGATATGTACCTATTATTATATAGGTTTACTGGCCCTATTTGATGATACAATGATATGTACCTATTATTATACAGGTTTACTGGCACTCTTGGATGATACAATGGTATACAATGACCTTTTTCTGATTGGCTGATTGTAAACAATCCCACATTGCTCAAGCATTCTATCAACCCTTAATCAATCTAACAATACTTGTTCGTACCCAATTATGGAAACGAGGAACATTCTGTGATGTCATATTAGCATTCTGGATGGATAAAAAATACAGCAACAAAGGTATGTACCTCAATATAGTAACAAGGGACTTTCCATGACATCAGAAATGCACAATCCATAGTTGTTTGTTGAAAAGATAACAGACAGCAGAAGATTTGTCAATATAAATGAGGATTAATTTTAAAGACTGTTGGAAGAAAAAGACTCGAATACACCAAAAAGGCAATGGGTATAGTAGTGAAGATTTTTCATTTATTTCATGAAAAAATCAAGCCAGCTGACTGCTAAAACTTTGGTGAATTGGATGAAGCTGTAGATTGTTGGTGAAATTATAATGGAATTGTGTTGCACATCATCATTTACATGTGGTTCCTATCACTGTAGGCGACTAAAGTCGACATGCAGACAGGCCGCCATATATTTTTATAATATTTGGCGCTGAGCTGTACATTGTGAAAGATATTTTGCGCTGACCTGTACATTGTGAGAGATATTTGGCGCCGAAAAGGTTAACATGTAACAATTGTAAATGTACAGTTTGACTGATAAGAATCTGACCAACCTTGAGTAAATTTTGTCGATGCTTCGTCTTTTGAAACTCACATCAAACCAGTATTCATGTTTCCTCATGGCTGTAATGTTGACATCACCAAACTCAGAGCTAAGCCGATTGTGTCGGTCATCCCTGAAAGGACAAGTGTAACTGCCATCCTCGTGTGCACGCCTCGAGTGAGATTTACAGAATTCCTCATTTTGATACACATGATTTACACATTTGCCGTTCATGCTCTGTGTTCGGAATAACCCTGGATTTCTCGGCAGGGGCGAGACCAGTTCAGGAATGAAGTCTGACTGGGCACTGTCATCATTTTCTACAGGTGATTTTTGACCATGCTGACATGGAGGTGGTAGGGTGATATGCATTTGAAAATGTGGTGTTGGGGGAGAAATTTCTTCTACATCTTCAAAGTCTTCAATAACACTACGCACTTCTAAATTGTCAAATCTCCAATTTCGGATATGTCCTGTTGGTGGCAGACTTCCCATCAAAATAGTTTCCACCTTGCTCTTGATTTCCTCCCCAAGTCCTGTCAGCACCCGTATACATTTCATACTCTGGAAATCTGTAAAAAAAAAAAGGGCTTCATTTTTATCTTGATTGGGTACAGGAAATTAAAGATGACAGCTCACTTCCTGGACAATTTTGAGCAGATAAGATATATAGAATTCTCAGTTAAACCTGGTTAGAGGGTACATTTACAATACAGGATTCTCAGTTATACCTGGTTAGAGGGTATATTTACAATACAGAATTGTCAGTAAAACCTGGTTAGAGGGTATATTTACAATATAGAATTCTCAGTAAAACCTCGTTAGAGGGTACATTAACAATACAGAATTCTCAGTTAAACCTGGTTAGAGGGTATATTAACAATACAGAATTTTCAGTTAAACCTGGTTAGAGGGTATATTAACAATTCAGAATTCTCAGTTAAACCTGGTTAGAGGGTATATTTACAATATAGAATTCTCAGTTAAACCTGGTTAGAGGGTATATTTACAATATAGAATTTTCAGTTAAACCTGGTTAGAGGGTATATTGACAATACAGAATTTCAGTTAAACCTGGTTAGAGGGTATATTAACAATTCAGAATTCTCAGTTAAACCTGGTTAGAGGGTATATTTACAATACAGAATTCTCAGTTATACCTGGTTAGAGGGTATATTTACAATATAAAATTCTCAGTAAAACATGGTTAGAGGGTATATTTATAATGTAGAATTGTCAGTAAAACCTGGTTAGAGGGTATATTTATAATATAGAATTCTCAGTTAAACCTGGTTAGAGGGTATATTTACAATATAGAATTCTCAGTTAAACCTGGTTAGAGGGTATATTAACAATACAGAATTTCAGTTAAACATGGTTAGAGGGTATATTAACAATTCAGAATTCTCAGTTAAACCTGGTTAGAGGGTATATTTACAATACAGAATTCTCAGTTATACCTGGTTAGAGGGTATATTTACAATATAAAATTCTCAGTAAAACCTGGTTAGAGGGTATATTTATAATGTAGAATTGTCAGTAAAACCTGGTTAGAGGGTTATATTTATAATACAGAATTGTCAGTAAAACCTGGTTAGAGGGTATATTTATAATACAGAATTGTCAGTAAAACCTGGTTAGAGGGTATATTTACAATATGTATGATGTTAGGTTAGTTATGTATGTAACATAGGAATGAACCACTACAATCTTGTATTCAGTACTGAGTGTTGATACTTACTGGGAGAACATGGGCATATTTCCTTGAAGTTCATTTCTAGCACATTTCTATTGTTGTCGTAACTGATAGTAATATTAGGGTTGTCTTTATCTAGTTGATGGAAGTAGAGAAGCTGCATTTTATGGTCCAATAAACACAGGTTTTGTGATGTGATCAAAAGTCTTAACTTTATTGAAGGTCCATACCCTACATCTTCCACAGTGTCCACAAACCAAGAAAAACATGGTCCTAGAAACAAGAAATATTACAACAATATAACAAAGATGTCTTACAGGATAGCGTGACAGAAATTATCAACAAGAATGCTATCTTCAGCTGATCTCACTTTAAATCAGTGAGATGAATCAAGGATTTAAAATAACACTGTTCCTGGGAGATGTTTACAAAATGGTTAGAACATGTGATTCAGAACAGAACCTTCTTCCTAAATCCACCAAATATCATGTTTTCACCTAAGATAATTGAAATATCAATGTGTACACTAAATTGAGTTGTACTTTACAGATTTAATTAGAGATGTATACAAATGCACTTCATTTGTTGCTGCAGGACTCCTACATTCTGGTTCAATAATCCAAAATGAGACCCATAGGTCCTGTATCGCTCAACTGGTTTTGTTTGGCAGATATTGCTTTGTATAAACTAAATGAAAAGGATGCTTATCAATAAAAGGCAGCCCAATAAGTCTGCATCGCTCACCTGATATTCTTCAATGTTCATAAGAAATACAATTCATCACAAATACATTAAAACATGCACCGCTGGCATTCAAACTGGACACATGTAATTAACTTTAACTAATTTCCATATCAAACATTAGCTTTTAATATTGTTCTAAATAGAGGCAGTTATGACCTAGATTAACGGTTATGTCATTTCTTTTCTCTTCCTTTTTTCCTTGAAATTTGTTGAGCTTTGACCAAGAAACATCTTTTCACCAGATATTTCCTTTCAGTCAGAGTGTGGACTTATTATTTATACACAGCTGTGGGGTTTATAGAGAGTGTGGACTTATTATTTATACACAGCTGTGGGGTTTATAGAGAGTGGACTTATTATTTATACACAGCTGTGGGGTTTATAGAGAGTGGACTTATTATTTATACACAGCTGTGGGGTTTATAGAGAGTGTGGACTTATTATTTATACACAGCTGTGGGGTTTATAGAGAGTGTGGACTTATTTATACACAGCTGTGGGGTTTATAGAGAGTGTGGACTTATTATTTATACACAGCTGTGGGGTTTATAGAGAGTGTGGACTTATTATTTATACACAGCTGTGGGGTTTATAGAGAGTGTGGACTTATTATTTATACACAGCTGTGGGGTTTATAGAGAGTGTGGACTTATTTATACACAGCTGTAGGGTTTATAGAGAGTGTGGACTTATTATTTATACACAGCTGTGGGGTTTATAGAGAGTGTGGACTTATTTATACACAGCTGTGGGGTTTATAGAGAGTGTGGACTTATTTATACACAGCTGTGGGGTTTATAGAGAGAGTGGACTTATTATTTATACACAGCTGTGGGGTTTATAGAGAGTGTGGACTTATTTATACACAGCTGTGGGGTTTATAGAGAGTGTGGACTTATTTATACACAGCTGTGGGGTTTATAGAGAGTGTGGACTTATTTATACACAGCTGTGGGGTTTATAGAGAGTGTGGACTTATTATTTATACACAGCTGTGGGGTTTATAGAGAGTGTGGACTTATTATTTATACATAGCTGTGGGGTTTATAGAGAGTGTGGACTTATTTATACACAGCTGTGGGGTTTATAGAGAGTGTGGACTTATTATTTATACACAGCTGTGGGGTTTATAGAGAGTGTGGACTTATTATTTATACACAGCTGTGGGGTTTATAGAGAGTGTGGACTTATTATTTATACACAGCTGTGGGGTTTATAGAGAGTGTGGACTTATTATTTATACACAGCTGTGGGGTTTATAGAGAGTGTGGACTTATTTATACACAGCTGTGGGGTTTATAGAGAGTGTGGACTTATTATTTATACACAGCTGTGGGGTTTATAGAGAGTGTGGACTTATTTATACATAGCTGTGGGGTTTATAGAGAGTGGACTTATTATTTATACACAGCTGTGGGGTTTATAGAGAGTGTGGACTTATTTATACACAGCTGTGGGGTTTATAGAGAGTGTGGACTTATTATTTATACACAGCTGTGGGGTTTATAGAGAGTGGACTTATTATTTATACACAGCTGTGGGGTTTATAGAGAGTGTGGACTTATTATTTATACACAGCTGTGGGGTTTATAGAGAGTGTGGACTTATTATTTATACACAGCTGTGGGGTTTATAGAGAGTGTGGACTTATTATTTATACACAGCTGTAGGGTTTATAGAGAGTGTGGACTTATTTATACACAGCTGTGGGGTTTATAGAGAGTGTGGACTTATTGATACACAGCTGTAGGGTTTATAGAGAGTGTGGACTTATTATTTATACACAGCTGTGGGGTTTATAGAGAGTGTGGACTTATTATTTATACACAGCTGTGGGGTTTATAGAGAGTGTGGACTTATTATTTATACACAGCTGTGGGGTTTATAGAGAGTGTGGACTTATTATTTATACACAGCTGTGGGGTTTATAGAGAGTGTGGACTTATTATTTATACACAGCTGTGGGGTTTATAGAGAGTGTGGACTTATTTATACACAGCTGTGGGGTTTATAGAGAGTGTGGACTTATTATTTATACACAGCTGTGGGGTTTATAGAGAGTGTGGACTTATTTATACACAGCTGTGGGGTTTATAGAGAGTGTGGACGTATTTATACACAGCTGTGGGGTTTATAGAGAGTGTGGACTATTATACACAGCTGTGGGGTTTATAGAGAGTGTGGACTTATTTATACACAGCTGTGGGGTTTATAGAGAGTGTGGACTTATTTATACACAGCTGTGGGGTTTATAGAGAGTGTGGACTTATTATTTATACACAGCTGTGGGGTTTATAGAGAGTGTGGACTTATTATTTATACACAGCTGTGGGGTTTATAGAGAGTGTGGACTTATTTATACACAGCTGTGGGGTTTATAGAGAGTGTGGACTTATTATTTATACACAGCTGTGGGGTTTATAGAGAGAGTGGACTTATTATTTATACACAGCTGTGGGGTTTATAGAGAGTGTGGACTTATTATTTATACACAGCTGTGGGGTTTATAGAGAGTGTGGACTTATTTATACACAGCTGTGGGGTTTATAGAGAGTGTGGACTTATTTATACACAGCTGTGGGGTTTATAGAGAGTGTGGACTTATTATTTATACACAGCTGTGGGGTTTATAGAGAGTGTGGACTTATTATTTATACATAGCTGTGGGGTTTATAGAGAGTGTGGACTTATTTATACACAGCTGTGGGGTTTATAGAGAGTGTGGACTTATTATTTATACACAGCTGTGGGGTTTATATAGAGAGTGGACTTATTTATACACAGCTGTGGGGTTTATGAGAGTGTGGACTTGGACTTATTTATACACAGCTGTGGGGTTTATATAGAGTGGACTTATTTATACACAGCTGTGTGGTTTATAGAGAGTGTGGACTTATTATTTATACACAGCTGTGGGGTTTATAGAGAGTGTGGACTTATTTATACACAGCTGTGGGGTTTATAGAGAGTGTGGACTTATTATTTATACACAGCTGTGGGGTTTATAGAGAGTGTGGACTTATTATTGACATACAGCTGTGGGGTTTATAGAGAGTGTGGACTTATTTATACACAGCTGTGGGGTTTATAGAGAGTGTGGACTTATTATTTATACACAGCTGTGGGGTTTATAGAGAGTGTGGAGCTGTGGGGTTTATAGAGATTTATACACAGCTGTGGGGTTTATAGAGAGTGTGGACTTATTTATACACAGCTGTGGGGTTTATAGAGAGTGTGGACTTATTATTTATACACAGCTGTGGGGTTTATAGAGAGTGTGGACTTATTATTTATACACAGCTGTGGGGTTTATAGAGAGTGTGGACTTATTATTTATACACAGCTGTGGGGTTTATAGAGAGTGTGGACTTATTTATACACAGCTGTGGGGTTTATAGAGAGTGTGGACTTATTATTTATACATAGCTGTGGGGTTTATAGAGAGTGTGGACTTATTTATACACAGCTGTGGGGTTTATAGAGAGTGTGGACTTATTTATACACAGCTGTGGGGTTTATAGAGAGTGTGGACTTATTTATACACAGCTGTGGGGTTTATAGAGAGTGTGGACTTATTTATACACAGCTGTGGGGTTTATAGAGAGTGTGGACTTATTTATACACAGCTGTGGGGTTTATAGAGAGTGTGGACTTATTTATACACAGCTGTGGGGTTTATAGAGAGTGTGGACTTATTATTTATACACAGCTGTGGGGTTTATAGAGAGTGTGGACTTATTTATACACAGCTGTGGGGTTTATAGAGAGTGTGGACTTATTATTTATACATAGCTGTGGGGTTTATAGAGAGTGTGGACTTATTGATACACAGCTGTGGGGTTTATAGAGAGAGTGGACTTATTATTTATACACAGCTGTAGGGTTTATAGAGAGTGTGGACTTATTATTTATACACAGCTGTGGGGTTTATAGAGAGTGTGGACTTATTTATACACAGCTGTGGGGTTTATAGAGAGTGTGGACTTATTTATACACAGCTGTGGGGTTTATAGAGAGTGTGGACTTATTTATACACAGCTGTGGGGTTTATAGAGAGTGTGGACTTATTTATACACAGCTGTGGGGTTTATAGAGAGTGTGGACTTATTTATACACAGCTGTGGGGTTTATAGAGAGTGTGGACTTATTATTTATACACAGCTGTGGGGTTTATAGAGAGTGTGGACTTATTATTTATACACAGCTGTGGGGTTTATAGAGAGTGTGGACTTATTATTTATACACAGCTGTGGGGTTTATAGAGAGTGTGGACTTATTTATACACAGCTGTGGGGTTTATAGAGAGTGTGGACTTATTTATACACAGCTGTGGGGTTTATAGAGAGTGTGGACTTATTATTTATACACAGCTGTGGGGTTTATAGAGAGTGTGGACTTATTATTTATACACAGCTGTGGGGTTTATAGAGAGTGTGGACTTATTTATACACAGCTGTGGGGTTTATAGAGAGTGGACTTATTTATACACAGCTGTGGGGTTTATAGAGAGTGTGGACTTATTATTTATACACAGCTGTAGGGTTTATAGAGAGTGTGGACTTATTATTTATACACAGCTGTAGGGTTTATAGAGAGTGTGGACTTATTATTTATACACAGCTGTGGGGTTTATAGAGAGTGTGGACTTATTTATACACAGCTGTGGGGTTTATAGAGAGTGTGGACTTATTATTTATACACAGCTGTGGGGTTTATAGAGAGTGTGGACTTATTATTTATACATAGCTGTGGGGTTTATAGAGAGTGTGGACTTATTTATACACAGCTGTAGGGTTTATAGAGAGTGTGGACTTATTATTTATACACAGCTGTGGGGTTTATAGAGAGTGTGGACTTATTTATACACAGCTGTGGGGTTTATAGAGAGTGTGGACTTATTTATACACAGCTGTGGGGTTTATAGAGAGTGTGGACTTATTTATACACAGCTGTAGGGTTTATAGAGAGTGTGGACTTATTATTTATACACAGCTGTGGGGTTTATAGAGAGTGTGGACTTATTATTTATACACAGCTGTGGGGTTTATAGAGAGTGGACTTATTATTTATACACAGCTGTGGGGTTTATAGAGAGTGTGGACTTATTTATACACAGCTGTGGGGTTTATAGAGAGTGTGGACTTATTTATACACAGCTGTGGGGTTTATAGAGAGTGTGGACTTATTTATACACAGCTGTGGGGTTTATAGAGAGTGTGGACTTATTGATACACAGCTGTAGGTTTATTAAACACTTACAGGTGTATCATCCTTATATCTACCCTATTTTGTTAATTGTAATTAATCATTTTCTCATACCTAAAATTGAATCTAATCTTCTTTTCAGTGTTGCTATCTTCTTGATGCAAATTTCACCACTGTTAGATTCTTCATAAAACCTTTGAAGGCTTGAGGTTTTTTTCTGAATATCATATGTCAAAACACAAAGGGTATGGAAACGCTTGCGTTGAAATTGTTTCTTTGCAGTACCACAAAGGTGCTGGACAGGGCCTGGAACTTTATACTCCAGTTCATCCCTCTCAAGAAAACATAACTCCTCTTGTTGAAACTGTACATCAGCAAGCTTGACTGTAAATTGTAAACATACAACACAATTGTCAAACACTATATGTCTATAAATCAAAAACAACAGTATCAGTGAATCTAATGAAAACAGCTCCATTAGAAATAAAATTTTCACAAAGGGCAATAATTCTGTAATCAAGAGGTTGCACACACTGGCTTTAACATGATGCACATTGCCTTAGCATGACCTATGTATAAACCACATGAGTGGTCGGGTGGTGCAGTGGTAATGCACTTTCTTTCACCTAGCCTGCAAGGGTTAGAATCCTTTGAATAGACATGTAAATGTATGGAGTCACCTGCCTGACTACATATGTTTTCATCGCATACTCCAGTTTCCACGGTGATATCCACCATACGCTTCAATCGGGGCCAACAAGAATGATTAATAGAAGTTGATAGCTTTTTTCACAATTGTTGTAAAATAAATAAAGTTTATATTTATTCAAATTTATATTTCTGTAAACCAGTTTTTATTGTCCTAGTTTAAATGCAAGCAATTCATAGTTATGCTCTGAACATTAAACTTTTAACAAAGGGCAATAACTTTGTACACTGGATATTGTCTTAGTATGATCATTGTATACACCAAGTTTAATTATTCTAATTTAACTGCAAGTGAAGATATGCCCCAACCATGGAATTTAAACAAAGAGCAATAACTTTAAGGGGTTGTGGGTCCTAAATATGATACACTACACATCATCTTTATAAGACTAATGCATACACCAGGTTTCATGATTGCAACTTAACTAGGGGCAAAGTTACATTCCCGACATGAAAGGATGGATTGAAAACCGACAGAGCGGCAACTATATACTCTCCAGAAAATTATTTACAGAGTTATGAAGCACTTTTTGAAGTGTAGTTTTTTGTTTTGTAGGTACAGATGTATAATGATAGAGGTTTCATGTTGTAAAATTTTTATTCAGTATCATCAATACTTACAAAAAGAAAACTCCTCTCCAATTTTCTTCTCCTTCAAAATAACTTTCTTCTAAAAAATAAAGACATACTATAACTATTATAAATATAATTAGAACAAAAAGTTAAATACAAAATATGACAATAACTTTCAGTAACATATTTCCACATAGATACCACAACACTACCTGGAAGTGCCTCAAGTCATTACTTCCTCTCCCCAATCAACACTAACTGGTTGTCCCATTATCCATTTACCAATAATTGCTTGTTGCCCCCAATCAACATCACCCTGTTAATTGAATGTCTAACGATCCAGTCACCACTAATTACTTAGATGTCCCATTTTCTAATTGTGTTACCACTGTAATTTGATGTCCCACTATCTTGTCACCACTGATTACCTGGTTGTCCCATCATTACCATTATTTTTCCTGCAACTCTGTCACATTTTCATCAGATGTCCAATAATGTTAAGTGACAGTTCTACTACCAAGTCAGTGATTTGGGGATAACTTTTACTCTCCTGCCCGTGCTACATTTCCAGAGTTTGGATAAATGAGACTTGATATCATGTGAAGCAAAGCCATGGACAAGTTAGTTGTACCTTTTTAAGGACAGTTGCTTGACCTTTCGTGTAGTAAAGATGCTCGTTGTACAACAGTTGCAGACTGGCTTCTCTTCCCATATTCATATTGATGGCATCAAGTTGAGTTTAAATTTCTCAAGCAGGAAAATCATCCTTCTGAAAAAGAAACCAATTTAAACTAAAAAAAACTGCTTTTGTGCATGACAACATAATCATCATACACCCCTTACTACATTTGACAAGAACAGCTGCTCATTACAAAATATCAATAAACAACTTGATAATGAAATTTGGCCCATGATCTTGACCTATGGTATCAATTATCTTTGACTAACAGATAGAAAATTTAATCTGGATCTTGACCTCTGACCTTGGATCATGTACTTACTCATTTCATTCAGATCAGCTTTTCTTTATCATATCAAACAAAATTTTCATCTGACCTTTATTCTCAACACAATGACCTTAACTTTCATTCAAGTGTCTTGACCCAGGCTGTTAGTCTAATGATTGTTTAGCCCTTTTTTGTTAAAGCTGCTTGGCATTGTAACAAAATACCTACAAAATCTGTAAATTTTGACCCCAACTTCTAATCTGATGACCTTGACATTTCAGTTACTTTTTGATCTGTGAGCTTGTTGCTAGTCCTTCATTTCAGTAACTTTCCATTTTTCTGTCAAAATTTATTCTATTTTCCATTTGCCCCCCTTTTTCCTTACATATATTGACCAGGTAAGTGATATGAAAGCAGATCCGAAGATTAAATTAATTTTAATTTCAGATCTTTAATTTCCCATTTCGAGTTCAATCACATATTTAAAAATAGATCTAGCATAAACCAACCTTCTTTCATGGCTACTAACTTTAGTGATTTCAGTATTACAACATGTTTGCAGTAATTTACTTTTGTGAATTCTGAGTCACCATCATAGAAATTCAAAGTGCAAGGTGAGCTAACCTTAACATGTATGAGGGATACAGTCAGTAGTGACCTGTTAATAGCCTGGTGTGACACCTTATTAATGGTAAAACATCCAGAGGGATAAACCAGTGGAATAAACTTTAAAATTGATAAGGTGTCACATGTTTTTATTAGATAACAATGGAAAGGTTGATCATAGTTATGTAAAAGCCTCTGTGGCTTTGTATTAAAGGTAACCTATTGATGAGTTTAAAACATACTACAGATCTCCACTGTTTCATTTACCTAACAAACATATATCCCCAGAATCTAACTTTTAAGGGAATGAATTGTTCTTGAAACTTAGTTTAACCATGGATTTAATGAGTCATTATTATAACAAACCATGGATTTAATGAGTCATTATTATAACAAACCATGGATTTAATGAGTCATTATTATAACAAACCATGGATTTAATGAGTCATTATTATAACAAACCATGGATTTAATGAGTCATTATTATAACAAACCATGGATTTAATGAGTCATTATTATAACAAACCATGGATTTAATGAGTCATTATTATAACAAACCATGGATTTAATGAGTCATTATTATAACAAACCATGGATTTAATGAGTCATTATTATAACAAACCATGGATTTAATGAGTCATTATTATAACAAACCATGGATTTAATGAGTCATTATTATAACAAACCATGGATTTAATGAGTCATTATTATAACAAACCATGGATTTAATGAGTCATTATTATAACAAACCATGGATTTAATGAGTCATTATTATAACAAACCATGGATTTAATGAGTCATTATTATAACAAACCATGGATTTAATGAGTCATTATTATAACAAACCAAACATTTACCATACAAATCTGTGTTCATTATCCATTTATTGATTTATAGCAATAATGTTTTGCAATTTTGCTTTGATTGGGAAATTGGTAAAAGTATATTGTGCACAAAAGCTGCTTTATAGTAAAAGAACAATCTCTCCTTGAGTGCTAATTGCATAGAATTCAAAACTAACCTCTATTTTACTGTCACTTTAGTTTCTAAAATAGGAGAGTTCCATAATGATCACCTAAATCTGGAGACAAAAATGAGCAAAAATCTATCAAAGTGTCTTTTGGAATAAATGTATGCTACTGCCAATGATTTGAATCCCTCTCAATATAATAGATTTATATAATAAACATATTTCAAAAAGTTCTGGATAGAACACACAGAACTATGGACTTACATTACCGATAAACTGCGCCCAAGTGGCAGATGCGATTCAATGCAGACAAGTGTAAGGTCATATGGGTCACCAGGAAGAGAACCCAAATGACAAATGTATGCTTAATCCACAGAAACAATCTACAGACATTCCCATCAGCTAAGTATCATGGGATACACATACTGAACAAATTTTCTTGGGACAAGCATATAGATACCAGTTGTAAAAAGCTTATCGATGTCTTTGTCCCTATAAAGTATGTCCAGTTAATGTGAAGACTAACTTCTACACCACCTGTGTCTGTGTATGGAAAATGGATCCATTATATGGAACACTCGTACCCAGAACAACATCCATTATCTGGAGAAGGTTCAACGAAAGGCAGCTCAGTATGCTTTGGACAACTACAGCCAGTATAGCAGTGTCATGAGTACACCTCAGAAACTAAGTCGGAGCTACCACCTGGAGTGCAGATTTAAGGCCCAGCAGATTGATGCCGTGTCCTCAATGACATCAGAATGGAGGCCTACATTCAACCAGCAACAACATCAGCTAGGACTAGAGTGCATGACCTGCAACAACATCAGCTAGGACTAAAGGGCGTGACCTGCAACAACATCAGCTAGGACTAGAGGGCGTGACCTGCAGCAACATCAATTAGGACTAGAGGGTGTGACCTGCAACAACATCAGCTAGAACAAGAGGGTGTGACCTGCAACAACATCAGCTAGGACAAGAGGGCGTGACCTGCAACAACATCAGCTAGGACAAGAGGGTGTGACCTGCAACAACATCAGCTAGGACAAGAGGGCGTGACCTGCAACAACATCAGCTAGGACAAGAGGGCATGACCTGCAACAACATCAGCTAGGACTAGAGGGCGTGACCTGCAACAACATCAGCTAGGACAAGAGGGCGTGACCTGCAACAACATCAGCTAGGACTAGAGGGCGTGACCTGCAACAACATCAGCTAGGACAAGAGGGCGTGACCTGCAACAACATCAGCTAGGACTAGAGGGCGTGACCTGCAACAACATCAGCTAGGACTAGAGGGCGTGACCTGCAACAACATCAGCTAGGACTAGAGGGCGTGACCTGCAACAACATCAATTAGGACTAGAGGGTGTGACCTGCAACAACATCAGCCAGGACAAGAGGGTGTGACCTGCAACAACATCAGCTAGGACTAGAGGGCATGACCATCAATACACCAATACCAACACTCCTATTTAATCTACTGTGTGGACATGGAACCTACTACCGACCTCAGTTAATTGTGTCATTACCATCCGCTGATGTTGAAGTTATTCCACTTACAGCATCAGTAAGGTCCGTTTGAAAGCCATCCTCCCATAGCTACCATTTAAAATTTAACCTGTTATAACTATACTTTAGACTATCATTGATATGCTTATAGGTTAGGAAAACCACAACAACGGAATGTCTCTACCATATTTTGGGCCGATATAGAAATTCTACAACAAAAAATTGACATAAGATGCCAAAGATTTTAATCATGACTCTCCTTTGTGTGTGAACATTTAATATTTAGGCTAGCTTTCAGAACCAGCTAAGTACAGGAGATCTGAGACTCAAATTTCTATGTTTGAAAGTTGGCAGAAATGATCAAGTTGTCATGTATGTCAATGAAACATTTGCGTCCAAATTACGAGATCAACAAGGTAACAAGTTTATAGTCTGACATGTAATTTGTGTTGTAAACTTAAGAACCTTATTACCATTTTCAGTACAACAAGACAATCTCACATGGTTAGGTTCTTGACTGAGAGATTGTAACATATAACTGGCATTGTGTTCACCGTCACACGTGACAGTAATATTTCGTTTTATTTTCGAACTCTATTCCGAAATGTGCTTATAAGCTTCAGGTTTATGGAGGAAATGACGATATATATCAATAAGGAGAAGAAAAACGACATCAGCATTAAAAATAATGTTAATTACTGCAAAACTTACCCCGTATCGTAACAGCACTAATTAGAGAGAAGTTAAATGCGTGTTACCTGAAGGCAGGCACTACAGTTAACCACCCAAAACTTTATCCTCGGCCCATGTCTGCTTGAAATTAACGTCAGCGTCCATATAATGACTTGGGTTCTTGAAGTGTGTTGTCAAACGCACAATATACGCGTATATCCTTTCCAACAGGTCTCATGAACATTGATATTGACAAATATCATTGGTATGACAAAAAGATTAATGGATCAAGCAATTTGATTGGCCAAGATATTTTTACCTCTTAACTTGTGTTGAAAAACGGAAGTCTTCCATTGATGACATACAAACACAGAATATGTCAACTTTATCGAATTATGAGGGATTGTTCAAGTGGTTGACGTGTGTCTGCATCCTTCTGTCTGGTAATGTTGAATACGCGATGTTTTTTTTATAGTGTCATAACTTTTTCCTAGTATACGGGTTATAACCAGCTAAAGTGAAAGTACAAGTATGGCTGTACGAATCTGTCTTCCTGTTGCTGATCATTTTTCGTTTCATATTGAAATTAAGATTTGGGGTTCAATAATAAATAGCTTCTTATGGTTTCTCTGATTTTATCGTCCGCAGTCTGGTTAAAAAATGGATACATAGAGTTCATACTGTACCACATTTTTGCTTGGATTATGTAGAAACGAATCATGGTATTTTATGCCCTCATTTCAGTCCGTTTGTTCGTCCGTCCCGTCCATCATAATTTTGTCCAGAGCATACCACAAACAAAAAATATAAGAGGTATCAACATCAACCTTCATAAGTAGATATATCTTGATAACGAGAAGCGCTGTGTACAAGAACCACAACCCTCTTTGTGTAATGTAGGAGTTATTGCCCTTCGTTATTTTTCATACTTCAATCTTATTAAAATAAGCCCCTTTGGAACTTGTACTTTTTCAGGTAGCACCCATACAACTGTGATTGGGCATAGACAGACATAGATAATCACTTTGAGTTATCACATAGTTGTTGATCTCATTTGTGGGCCATGGTAGTGACTTTGATAAGCCTGAGTTACATATGAATCCTTACATAGGCCTATATACCAAGTATACTCTCATTTTTTCAGTTGCATTGTTCTCTGTAGAAAATGGGGTATTGTTCGTCGATGTTATAGTTAGTGATTTAGGAGGAATAAGTTGACACATGCAGCATGTAACTGACCAGGAGAACACTTTGGATCCAGTATGCATAATAGCTTGCAAAATTATTTGTGAAAATTAAAAGGGAGAAAACAAAAAGCAAATTACTGCAAGAGCAAGAGGTAGCAAGAAATGACTTCCCAACTGGAACATCTAGGAACAGTTGACATTCAAGGATGTACGTGTCTCCTAGATATGTTCCAGGGAAGCAAGTTGAAGTGTGATTGATGTAACTGTTCCTGCATCAGATTCTAGGATTATGTTTTTAAAAAATAGGAAATTCTATCAAAATGACATTATCATTTTGTTCTGTGCCCCATGCAAAGTGACAGTCTAAAAGACAGAAAGAAAGAAGATCTATAGACTTCACTAGGTAGGTACCAGTGTTAGGGGTCTATAGACTTCACTAGGTAGGTACCAGTGTTAGGGGTCTATAGACTTCACTAGGTAGGTACCAGTGTTAGGGGTCTATAGACTTCACTAGGTAGGTACCAGTGTGAGGGGTCTATAGACTTCACTAGGTAGGTACCAGTGTTAGGGGTCTATAGACTTCACTAGGTAGGTATCAGTGTTAGGGGTCTATAGACTTCACTAGGTAGGTACCAGTGTTGGGGGTCTATAGACTTCACCAGCTAGGTATCAGTGTTAGGGGTCTATAGACATCATCAGCTAGGTACCAGTGTTAGGGGTCTATAGATTTCAGTAGGTAGGTACCAGTGTGAGGGGTCTATAGACTTCACTAGGTAGGTACCAGTGTTAAGGGTCTATAGACTTCACTAGGTAGGTACCAGTGTTAGGGATCTATAGACTTCACCAGCTAGGTACCAGTGTGAGGGGTCTATAGACTTCACCAGCTAGGTATCAGTGTTAGGGGTCTATAGACATCACCAGCTAGGTACCAGTGTTAGGGGTCTATAGATTTCAGTAGGTAGGTACCAGTGTGAGGGGTCTATAGACTTCACTAGGTAGGTACCAGTGTTAAGGGTCTATAGACTTCACTAGGTAGGTACCAGTGTTAGGGATCTATAGACTTCACCAGCTAGGTACCAGTGTGAGGGGTCTATAGACTTCACTAGGTAGGTATCAGTGTTAGGGATCTATAGATTTCACTAGCTAGGTACCAGTGTTAGATATCTGTAGACTTCACCAGATAGTACCTGTGTTAGGGATCTGTAGATTTCACCAGCTAGGTACCGGTGTTACGGATCTGTAGATTTCACTAGCTAGGTACCAGTGTTAGGGATCTGTAGACTTCACCAGCTAGGTACCGGTGTTAGGCATCTATAGACTTCACCAGCGAGGTACCAGTGTTAGGGATCTATAGACTTCACCAGCTAGGTACCAGTGTTAGGGGTCTATAGACTTCACCAGCTAGGTACCAGTGTTAGGGGTCTATAGACCTCACCAGCTAGGTATCAGTGTTAGGGATCGATAGACCTCACCAGCTAGGTACCAGTATTAGGGGTCTATATACTTTACCAGCTAGGTATCAGTGTAAGGGGTCTGTAGACTTCACCAGCTAGGTATCAGTGTTAAGGGTCTATAGACTTCACCAGCTAGGTACCAGTGTTAGGGGTCTGTAGACTTCACTAGCTAGGTATCAGTGTTAAGGGTCCTTGTCTTTTATCTAGCAAAGTTTTGTTGAATTAACCTTTTTTGTGTGTATTCTTACCACCTAATGTACATGTGGAAGATCACTCATTCAGATTGTGTTCACTATTATCACTGTTTTGTCACACTTCTTTCCTCCTTTGTGTATGTCAGTTTATATTACAGGCAAAAATGTCTGTGATTTAGCTCACTTGAAGGGCCAAGTGAGCTAATTGTGTACCATGGTCATCTGTTATCTGTCTCGTCAACTTTTTCTACAAATTACTACTAGTCATGAACAACTGACAAGATTTTGACCAAATTTGGTTAGAAGCCTCCAATGGGGAAAGGTAGTCAATTCTGTATAAATGGTAAGCCATGGTCTGCAGGGGCCTGAGGGACAGAACCAAAAGGAGAAATTTTACAAGTTCTTTAAAAACCTACTCCTGTTAGAATAATTGGATTTTGTTCAAATATTATTAGAAGCATTTTTTAGAGAAGGGAAAGTGTATAAAGGATGGGTCTTGGCTATCTGCAGCAGGAGGGTCAACTCCCAATATGAGCAAATTGAGCAAATTCTTTAAAATCCTGCTTCTTCTGAAGGAATGATTGGATTTTTTTCCAGATTTGGTCTGAAACATTCTTGGGTGAAGGGGAATCAGTTTTGTATTAATGGTGGGTCTCAGTCTCCTGAGGCAGGAGAGGCGGGGCACAATACGAGAAAGGAGCAAATTCTTTAAAATCCAACTCCTTCAAATGAAATTATTAGATATTGCCCAAATTTGGTCTGAAGCATACTTTGGTGAAGGGGAATCAGTTTTGTATTAATGATGGGTCTCAGCCCCTTGGGGAGGAGAGATAGGGGCCAATAGAGGAAACGAGCAAATTCTATAAAATCCTTCTTCTTCTGTAGGAATGTCAAGATTCTGTCCAGATTAGATGTAAATGATTCTTGGGTGAAGAGGAATGAATTTTGTGTAGGGGAAATTCTTATTCTTTATCAATGATTTAGTTGATAAAGCAATTTCAGTGGACTAAACCAGATGAGAGATACATGCCCTATGTGCCTCTTGTAATAACATATCATGCACTGTATACCTTGGTGCATATAGTCTTTAGGCTGGTCATTTGTCTGGTAAAGGTGACAGGGTAGGGATCAAAGTGTCACACCTAATGTTCCTAACTGGTGGTGATCTCAGAACATCAATATATCCTGTTGACTTGAAGAAATAGTAACTACTGCTGTATTTACATCAATTCAGATAATAGTCAGGAAGTCATGCAAGTCATGAAAGATCAAAACTCATGTCAGTTGTCCTAGTCATAACCATAATGTGGGAATATTGAGATGTGTTATGTTACATTTGTTATCTCCATGTTGACACAGTTGTTAGGTAGGGTGTACCTTGAAAATTGATGTTCCTGGTTGTACTACCATAAGCAACACTTCCTAGTGCAAGATGAGATCCTTGTTACAAGTGTTCATTCAGTGAGGTACAGTGAGTGTAACTAAACAAAGGCAGCCTTCTGACTTAGATAAGGTGGTTTATGTTGTGTAAACAGAATCTATACAGGATATTGAGACAAGCTGAGGAATTCCGTGAACTTTTATAAAAAAGTAAAACAAGACTATGAGAATCCTTGAATCCAACAGTAATTTGTTACCTGTCCAAGCTCAATGTGTAATGCCTAGAAAAGTACATGGCATATGGAACACAAAGTCCTTGATAAGGATTGATGTGGGAAGGGTTTAATATTTGTTGGTCTTTACGGGATTTAATAAAACATCAATGTGTAAATTACACAAATATTTCAAATGTTTCAATTATTTTATGTGTGAGTCATTTCCTTGCAAGCTGCATAATTATTCACTTATCATGTTAGTCCACAGGATTAGATGTTATTTTGGAGAGCTTGAGACTGTTTACCTGGAGGCTCTGGTGTCATCAAGTCCTGAGAGACTGACTTTAAAGGGAGATAATTTGTAGCTCACCTGGCCTGTCTGTCCGTCAACTTTTTCATACAATCACTACTAGTCATAAACAACTTACAGGATTTTTTTTACCAAATATGGTCAGAAGCATCCCCAGGGAAAGGGGAACAAATTTTATATAAATAATTGATTGCTGCTCCCAGTGAACTGTGGGGCGGGGCCTGAATGGAGAAATTTTCAAATTCTACTACTCCAGTAGCATTGCAGGCCTATTTCTTGTTTTGTGTAAATTTTGTTTCAGTTTATGAAACCAGCTGTGATATCTTTTTCCTTACATGAAAACATGGTCAGCATTGAAAAGTAATGTATTAAAATTTCAAAATTGTTTGAATTTTAACAGTATACTGTTGGTCCATTTCCAATTTCCTGGCTTGGGATTGGTTGAAAAAATTACCTGTGTTATCTGATTTTATTGTATAAGTTTTGAACATAATTTTTGGCAAAGTATTATTTATGATTGTGGACGTAGAATGGGGAACTGATGTAATGGGCTGCGTTACAATTATAATAGCATAGTTACCACTGCAGTTGCATGATGGTTATGGAACCAATGGGCATCTTGTTGATGTGTGATGACGTAAAATTTCAGTTTCCTTGAGTTGTGGACAGCAGACATCACAGTACTGGGCATATGTGGATGTACGGGAAAAGGCCCATATGTTTTACTGGTTGTATGAATCCCCAGCAACTGATGCACCATTGATTATGTGGCTACAGGTAAATTTATATAATGCATCAATGTTCTGTTTAACTGAGGTAGTTAATGTACATACAGAAGATCTGTCAAAGTCAAATGAAAAAATTATGTTTTACAAATCTCATAAGAAATTGAGACTCATTTAAGATTCTGTTATAAACTTTTTGTATGTTTGCAAACATTTGTGTAAACATCACTTTATTATATTGAAACAAAATATCTTGATCATGTCTTTGGTGATGTCACAACATGTATGACTTCATGAAGTTATGATGTCACATCAGTTTAATTAACAGATATATACTGGTATTTAACTTTAGATGATAAATCTTTTGAAGGGTGGACCAGGCGGGTCATCCACTGGATTTGGTAACTTTGAAGAGCTAGGTCCATTGGATATAGACCTGAAGCCCAGAAATACAACATGGGTAAGTCTACCCTTTAGTTTGTGTTGTAATATTAATAACTGTCTATTAACATAGGGAGAGTGTTATCTTGTTTGTGATGTTTTATATTGTGACTTTCCATCATAATATAGACATTCTCTATGTAGTGATGTTGTACAGTATTTTTACTGAGTTAAAATTATATCTATGATCTGTGTCAGAGTAATGATGATATATTGTGGGAATATTGTACAATATTTTAACTGAGGCGATGTTATATCTGTGTCAGAGTAATGATTGGGAATATTGTACAATATTTTAACTGAGGCGATGTTATATCTGTGTCAGAGTAATGATGATATATTGTGGGAATATTGTACAATATTTTAACTGAGGCAATGTTATATCTGTGTCAGAGTAATGATGATATATTGTGAGGATATTGTACAATATTTTAACTGAGGCGATGTTATATCTGTGTCAGAGTAATGATGATATATTGTGGGAATATTGTACAATATTTTAACTGAGGCAATGTTATATCTGTGTCAGAGTAATGATGATATATTGTGGGAATATTGTACAATATTTTAACTGAGGCAATGTTATATCTGTGTCAGAGTAATGATGATATATTGTGAGGATATTGTACAATATTTTATGTGAGGTGATATTTTATCCATGATCTGTGTCAGAGTTATGATATATTGTGAGGATATTGTACAATATTTTAACTGAGGCAATATATCTATGATTTTTGTCAGAGTAATGAAGATATATTGTGGGGATGTTGTACAATATTTTTTTTTGAGTTGATGTTATACCAGTAAGGAAATTTTATATTCCCACTATGTTATAATAACAGAAATTAAGTACATGTTTAGGATAGTAGATAGGACTGAGTAGTCTATAGAGTTTTTGTCTCCCCAGCTGTCAGCAGCTAGTCTTCTGTTTGTCGACAATCCTGTGGGCACTGGTTTCAGCTACGTGGACACACTTGATGCTCTAACAACAGACGTGAACATGATTGCAGACGACATGCTTGTCTTGCTGAAGTCTTTCTTCAAGGAATCAAAATGGGGTACAAAATATCAGGTATCGTCTCTGTTTCATTAGCTTTTTATGTGAGCTGACAAAAATTTTAACTCAGTTTTACTTCCAGATTGTATTTAAACATGAGCTAATGATGTGAGTGAGGTTGCTATTGTCTCACCCTTAACAGTTTTTTTTATTTTTAACCCCACATAGTCTCCTTAGTCTCTGTCTTTTATACAAAATGTACAATCATAAGATTAAGTAATGACTGAACTGTATAACCACCAGGTCTGGCTCATGTTTTGGGGGTTTATGCTGTTCTGTTGTTCTAGCTCTGAAATGACTTGCTCATTAATTAACAGTTGAAAAGTCACCTAATACATCATTTGTGGATTATAAAATACTGAACTACAAATCAGAACCATTTTCTACCATTTTTGTCTTGATGAACATTAACATTGGTTGTGTGATAGGAAATAACTGTGATGGAGGATGTATAGAAGTATATAAAGAAGGTAATTAAAAAGATAACGGAACATTGGACATTTTGTTCACATAGAGTGTATTGTTTAATTGTCACATCATAATGCATAATATAAAGCTGCTCGCAATTTTAGTACCTTGGCCAAGAAATTTTACAATACTGTGTCCTGATGAAGACAAGTTTTAGGGCAAATCCTGTAAATATAACAATAAATTACTAGAAACCACCTACAGCCTGTTGTGATTGATTCTTCGGATTTGAAAAAGTGGATATTTTTTAACTTTTTTTTTTTCTGCCTTCTGAATTTGTTTTGAAAATATGCTTGATAAATTAAATATATCTTAACTCTTGATGATTACATCACAATATTTTTACTGTAACAGCTTTTTGGAAACATGTAAGCATTTTGCTATGGCTTATTATGTCAGTGAGCTTCACAAACAAAGATTAAACTTGTCTCCAAATACCAAGAAAAAACTGTTTTAACCTGATCTAATTAAGATTGACACGAATAAGATTTAAGTTAATATTTCATTAGTGTTATATATGTTAACTTTTAATAAAATTTTGAATTGATTTTGTAGCACACTCCATTTTACATATTTTGTGAGTCTTATGGTGGAAAGATGACAGCTGCCATTAGTGAAGTCCTTTACAAAGTAAGCATTTTATTGGTGAAATCCTATATAAAGTAAGCTTTTTATTGGTGATGTTCTTTATACAGTAAGCTTTTAATTGGTGATGTCCTTTATAAAGTAAGTTTTATATTGGTGAAGCCCTTTATAAAGTGAGCTTTTTATAAGTGAAATCCTATATAAAGTAAGCTTTATATTGGTGAAGTCCTTTTATACGGTAAGCTTTTTATTGGTGATGTCCTTTATAAAGTAAGCTTTTTATTGGTGAAGTCCTTTATAAAGTAAGCTTTTTATTGGTGAAGTCCTATATAAAGTAAGCTTTTTATTGGTGAAGTCCTATATAAAGTAAGCTTATTATTGGTGAAGTCCTATATAAAGTAAGCTTATTATTGGTGAAGTCCTTTATAAAGTAAGCTTTTTATTGGTGAAGTCCTTTTATACAGTAAGCTTTTTATTAGTGAAGTCCTTTTATAAAGAAAGCCTTTTTTAGTGAAGTCCTTTATAAAGTAAGCTTTTTATTGGTGATGTCCTTTATGATGTAAGCTTTATATTGGTGAAGTCCTATATAAAATAGTCTGTTATTAGTGAATTCCTTTATAAAGTGAGCTTTTTATTGGTGAAGTCCAATGATAAAGTAAGCTGTTATTAGAAGTCCTTCTTAAAGTAAATAGTTGTAAGAGAAGTCATATTACTTACTGGTAATAATTTTTTTATTGTTATAGGCTATTGATAGAGAAGAACTTCATTGCAATTTCAAGGGTTTGGCACTTGGCGATTCCTGGATATCTCCAATAGACTCCATGTTAAGTTGGGGTCCCTATTTACATACAAATGTAAGTCTATTGTGTCTGTGTTATTACATACAAATGTAAGTCTGTTGTGTCTGTGTTATTACATACAAATGTAGGTCTGTTGTGTCTGTGTTATTACATACAAATGTAAGTCTGCTGTGTCTGTGTTATTACATACAAATGTAAGTCTGCTGTGTCTGTGCTATAACATACAAATGTACGTCTGTTATGTCTGTGTTACAAATATCACGGTAAGGGGAAGAATCAACACAAACACTAGTCTGAAATATTTCAGCAATGCATTCTAGGAGAATTTTCATTGCAAATACTTTGATCTGATTGGTAAAAAATAAGTGAAAATATTGCTTTTTATTGGAATCTTTATATATCACTGCAAATATGTTGTACATAGAGTAACAATACCTATGTACACAGATAAAGCTTTCGTTCACAGTCCATCGTGGATAAACAGGGTCTGACCAGGATCAACGCCTCAGCTAACAAAGCATTACGCTACATTCAATCTAGTCAGTGGACTACTGCGACTGATCAGTTCAATATATGTGAGGGGGTTGTTGAAGAAACTTCCAACGGAGTGAATTTCTATAATATTCTGAAGTGGGGTTCGGAAGAATCACAAGGAAGTAATGTGGGGAAACGCAGTAAAAAACGTAAGTTATCAAGACCATGTGACTTTCATGTCTGTGTTGTACAAGGCACCTTTGCTTACTGATGCTGTAATAAAGTGACCTCCATCGTAAAGTGATTATCAATTTAAGGTGACTTCTTTCCATAACAACTCTCTGTGTGCACTTTCAGGTAGTATCTGATTGCTCACAGGCTCCTGACTCGTAAAAATCAACTAGCTGTAGTTACTTTTATATTTACTGATGCCAAGCTATCAAGCAGACAATAAACCAGAGTGTCACACATGGTTTATACAGTATAATATCTGGTTATCACTGTTACTTTGATCAAATATTTTTATTCATGTTTCAGACATGCTAGAACCAAGAATACTGAATGTTTTGCAAGCGGACAAATTGACAGTTTTGATGAATGGACCAATCAGAGAGAAGCTTAAGATCATTCCATCACAGGTCCAGTGGGGAGGTATACAGTAACTACAATGTATCATCACAGGTCCAGTGGGGAGGTATACAGTGTGTAACTACAATGTATCATCACAGGTCCAGTGGGGAGGTATACAGTAACTACAATGTATCATCACAGGTCCAGTGGGGAGGTATGTAACTACAATGTATCATCACAGGTCCAGTGGGGAGGTATACAGTAACTACAATGTATCATCACAGGTCCAGTGGGGAGGTATACAGTAACTACAATGTATCATCACAGGTCCAGTGGGGAGGTATACAGTAACTACAATGTATCATCACAGGTCCAGTGGGGAGGTATACAGTAACTACAATGTATCATCACAGGTCCAGTGGGGAGGTATACAGTAACTACAATGTATCATCACAGGTCCAGTGGGGAGGTATACAGTAACTACAATGTATCATCACAGGTCCAGTGGGGAGGTATACAGTGTGTAACTACAATGTATCATCACAGGTCCAGTGGGGAGGTATACTGTGTGTGTAACTACAATGTATCATCACAGGTCCAGTGGGGAGGTATACAGTAACTACAATGTATCATCACAGGTCCAGTGGGGAGGGGTATCATCACAGGTCCAGTGGGGAGGTATACAGTGTGTAACTACAATGTATCATCACAGGTCCAGTGGGGAGGAGTAACTACAATGTATCACAGGTCCAGTGTCAGTAACTACAATGTATCATCACAGGTCCAGTGGGGAGGTATACAGTGTGTAACTACAATGTATCATCACAGGTCCAGTGGGGAGGTATACAGTGTGTAACTACAATGTATCATCACAGGTCCAGTGGGGAGGTATACAGTGTGTAACTACAATGTATCATCACAGGTCCAGTGGGGAGGTATACAGTGTCCAGTGGGGAGGTATACAGTGTGAACTACAATGTATCATCACAGGTCCAGTGGGGAGGTATACAGTGTGTAACTACAATGTATCATCACAGGTCCAGTGGGGAGGTATACAGTGTGTAACTACAATGTATCATCACAGGTCCAGTGGGGAGGTATACAGTGTGTAACTACAATGTATCATCACAGGTCCAGTGGGGAGGTATACAGTAACTACAATGTATCATCACAGGTCCAGTGGGGAGGTATACAGTAACTACAATGTATCATCACAGGTCCAGTGGGGAGGTATGCAGTAACTACAATGTATCATCACAGGTCCAGTGGGGAGGTATACAGTAACTACAATGTATCATCACAGGTCCAGTGGGGAGGTATACAGTGTGTAACTACAATGTATCATCACAGGTCCAGTGGGGAGGTATACAGTGTGTAACTACAATGTATCATCACAGGTCCTGTGGGGAGGAAGGTTTGGTATAACTAAACTCTCATATTCAGTTTGATATAAATCTTTGTTAAAAGAAATGCTAAACTGTTAATGTTTTGTCTCAGATCTTTTGGTTTTATTTCATTCCATGTCAATTTATTTTACAGGTCAGAGTGGGGAAGTGTTTCAGCACATGAAGGAGGACTTTATGAAACCTGTTGTGGATGTTGGTATGGTTCACATTTTATTACAAATACCATGACTTGATCATAATCAAACTATTAACTATAAACACCAGACTAAACTATAGACACGGTATGAATGTAATGTTGTGCTAGTAAGTGAAGGAATTTATAACAAAGAAATGTAGCCCACTGAGAAAACATCACATGACCTAGGTTCATCAGATCTTAACAATATACTATTATCTCCATTGAGTAAAAGTGAATATTGAAATAAAATCACTATTGCTGGAATGTAAAAGGTTTATCATTTATAGCAGACATTTTGTGTGCTCTATTAATAACCTTGATAATTAACATCCACATCACACCCTAATGGAAATTAACAGGATAACTCTGGTTTTCTTGTAGTCAACAGATTAATTGAGAAGACAAGCCTACAAGTAGTTGTTTATACCGGACAATTAGATCTGATCTGCTGTACTCCAGGTGAGGTTTAGAGAGAGGATACATGCTCTGGTTGTTTATACCAGACAGTTAGATCTGATCTGCTGTACTCCAGCTGAGATTTAGAGAGGATAAATGCTCTGGTTGTTTATACTGGACAGTTAGATCTGATCTGCTGTACTCCAGCTGAGGTTTAGAGAGAGGATACATGCTCTGGTTGTTTATACCAGACAGTTAGATCTGATCTGCTGTACTCCAGGTGAGGTTTAGAGAGAGGATACATGCTCTGGTTGTTTATACTGGACAGTTAGATCTGATCTGCTGTACTCCAGGTGAGGTTTAGAGAGAGGATAAATGCTCTGGTTGTTTATACTGGACAGTTAGATCTGATCTGCTGTACTCCAGGTGAGGTTAAGAGAGAAGATAAATGCTCTGGTTGTTTATACTGGACAGTTAGATCTGATCTGCTGTACTCCAGGTGAGGTTTAGAGAGAGGATAAATGCTCTGGTTGTTTGTACCAGACAGTTAGATCTGATCTGCTGTACTCCAGGTGAGGTTAAGAGAGAAGATAAATGCTCTGGTTGTTTATACTGGACAGTTAGATCTGATCTGCTGTACTCCAGGTGAGGTTTAGAGAGAGGATAAATGCTCTGGTTGTTTATACTGGACAGTTAGATCTGATCTGCTGTACTCCAGGTGAGGTTTAGAGAGAGGATACATGCTCTGGTTGTTTATACTGGACAGTTACATCTGATCTGCTGTACTCCAGGTGAGGTTTAGAGAGAGGATAAATGCTCTGGTTGTTTATACTGGACAGTTAGATCTGATCTGCTGTACTCCAGGTGAGGTTAAGAGAGAAGATAAATGCTCTGGTTGTTTATACTGGACAGTTAGATCTGATCTGCTGTACTCCAGGTGAGGTTTAGAGAGAGGATAAATGCTCTGGTTGTTTATACTGGACAGTTAGATCTGATCTGCTGTACTCCAGGTGAGGTTAAGAGAGAAGATAAATGCTCTGGTTGTTTATACTGGACAGTTAGATCTGATCTGCTGTACTCCAGGTGAAGTTTTGGGAGAGAGGATAAATGCTCTGGTTGTTTATACTGGACAGTTAGATCTGATCTGCTGTACTCCAGGTGAGGTTTAGAGAGAGGATACATGCTCTGGTTGTTTATACTGGACAGTTAGATCTGATCTGCTGTACTCCAGGTGAGGTTAAGAGAGAAGATAAATGCTCTGGTTGTTTATACTGGACAGTTAGATCTGATCTGCTGTACTGGACCAGGTGAGGTTTAGAGAGAGGATAAATGCTCTGGTTGTTTATACTGGACAGTTAGATCTGATCTGCTGTACTCCAGGTGAGGTTAAGAGAGAAGATAAATGCTCTGGTTGTTTATACTGGACAGTTAGATCTGATCTGCTGTACTCCAGGTGAGGTTTAGAGAGAGGATAAATGCTCTGGTTGTTTATATAAGACAGTTACATCTGATCTGCTGTACTCCAGGTGACGTTCTCTAAAACATAGTGTCCCCGAAATAGGAAACGAAGGGGACATTTTAATTGATTATTGAAATGAAAAAAAAAAGAAATATGCATAAGTTTCTATGCTAAAAGATTTTTTCTTTTATGAAATGAAGAACTCATTGAAAGAGTTGATTGCAAATAACATGTACTTTATCTTCAGGGACTGAGAAATGGGTGGAAAGTTTAGATATCTATCCTCACTTTCTTACATCGAAGAGAACAACCATTCCAGACCCTGTGACTGGTCTCACCTCAGGTTATGTGAAAACTTACAAGAACTTCTCCATGTACTGGATCCTGGGAGCTGGGCATATGGTAAAGTATACTGTGGTAGTCATTTGAGATGTAATAAAGAACATTCGATCAATTTATCATCTTACTTTTTGCATGAAAAGTTGTTTTTTTCCACAAATCATAGATAATGATACTGTGTTGAAAATCTGGGCAACTTAGTTTATATTTAAAGTTTTGTTGAAACTTTGTATCCTACCAACGCATTGTTCAATGTCCTCTGTTAGAAAAAAGCTTGCAGGGAGTTCCAACTTATGATGTTTTCCACCATTGATATCGCAATCACCTTTTGTCCATCACCATCTGCACATCTTCTCATAAACTCTTAAATCAATAATAATGAAAATTTGCAATGAAGCAAATTTGTGAATAATATGGACACCCTGCCCACCCCTTCTTTCCCAAGGGGCATGGGGAAGGGGCCAAACTCTAAAGACCCAGATATGGTAGAATAAATTATTTACATGGATAGAAGTGTCTTCAGGTGTTGTACTGTCAGGAGCATAACTTTGCCCAATATTAAGCAACCTTGATTGAAATTTTGTTTCATAAGCATAGGTTTGCTTGCATTAAAATCAGGATGATGAATCTTGGTGTATACATTGTCATACTAAGAAAATGTGCAGTATAGAAAATTCAGGACCTGCAACCCCTTTTTTACAGAATTATTGCCCTTTGTTAAAATTTTGTTGTTTTCAGCGAGCATTCATCAGTTTCACTACCACTATTGTTTCTGGGGAGGGGATAGAATTTACCAGTTGATATAAGAAAATTGCATTTTAGATCACCAAATTTGTTCAGATGAATGACCTTGACCTACTTTCAAGGTCACAGGGGTCAAATGTGTTAAAGTCATTTTAATGACTTCTTTGTGCTCAATAACCCAATGACCCAGGGTCATGATATTGGGCCAGTAGCATGCTGGGATGAAGGGCTATCCTGTTTGTTCTAATGAATGACCACAACCTTCTTTAAAAAAAGGTTACAGGGGTCAAATATGCTAAACACCACCAACAAGACAGTGTTATCAGTTGGGTTTAATTGAAAATGAAGCCTTCAAACTTCGAAATAACAAAAACTTTGTAAGAATGCATATACATATCAGTTGTGTTCTGTCTGCCTTAATCATCATGGACTGAAACTGCCCAAATACCTCGGGTGACCTTTAAGGCCAATAGGCCTCAAGCTAAGCATTATCTTTTTAATTTCCGTTGGAAATAGCTCAGACTTTATTAGAATTATCAACATGGAATTGTCCTTGATGTTAAATAACTTTTCGTATCTACATATCATAAGCAATGTTATCAAAACTATCTTACCTTTTTAACAAGATGGTTTCTGTGAATGTTATGACAGCTTGTAGAACTCAGGTAATTTTGTGGATTTGAATCACAGATAATACAAAGCTTTTTTTACTGTACAGGCTCCACAGGACAATGGACACACAGTGCTTGCTATGGTCAAGAGGGTGACATATGGTCATAATTCCAAATCTATGAATATGGATTCAAACTGGATGAACAAAGAGTGGAACAAGAATGTTTTTAAGGGGTCAAATTGAGGAACAAATTGAGGAACAAATTGAGGAATCATGCCGAAGTTTTCTTTAATTTCAATTGCAATTTTTGAAATATTTTACCGGTTTGGATGCTGGTCTGAAGGTTGAGGTATTTCTTTGCTCTCACTATTTTTTGGGAATAGGGAATTTGTTTTTACCATGTTCCATCCTGTCTTATTGTGTCACGTCCAAAATCATCACTCAATTTTCTTTCAACTGTGTTTTATGGAATTTTATTTATATAAAGGTCAACTTGAATAACTTGTTGAATTCATGATACATTTGATTGTAAATGGTTCAAATTGTCTTTGTTGTGTCTTATTCTTTATCATCCAAGTTCTGATATAGCAAGTGACCTTGACCTTGGAAATCTGAAATGCAAACTGAAGTATTGTAAAATGTTATATGGATTCTGGATAAAGTTCAATCAAAATCCCTCAAAAAATGAAAAAGTGAAGATGCTTCAGTAAAATTAATTCAGGATGGAATGAAAAGATCCAGACAGATATTAGAGACACTGTTTTCACACCCATAAAGGGCATTAGCATATTTTAAGAAAAAGCACTCTGTGGTCTTACCATAGGTTAAGCAGGGACAATGTATTACTACCTTAACACCATTTGTCCTTAGCTGTAGGTATTTCATATTGAGACTCATAAGAACAAAACGTGTGGGTGAGACTGGTCGAACATGTAAGTACTGAGTGCAAGTTGTTGATACTGTCAGAAGTGCAGTGCACCAGAAACATCATTCTCTTCTGCATAATTTAGGAGTCATTGCCCTTTGTTATTTTTCATACTGAAATTTTGTCCCATTCAGGTAGCATACCCTGTCTCCAACAGCCCTTGTTGCTATCTAGTGTAACTGTACACTGGTGAAGTTTAGATTAGCCTGTCTATTACCAAAGTACCTTATGACTACCATACAGAACAAAATGCAGGAGGCCCATTACAAAGCAACTAGGTCAGTGCCTTGTTGAGGACATAACCACAAAAGCACATAAGTTATATTCTAAATTATTTCAACATTCCATTAACTTTCTTTGTATATGACAGTCTGGCATCAACTCCAGACCAATCTACAAAAGTTGTTAGAACATCAGAATTAGACTGTTAGTTTGATGGTTTTATCACCCTGTGATCAGTCACAGTAATTTTGTAGTACATGGTGACTGCCCAACTGAACAACACATTTGAGGCCCTTTACATGCTATTTACAGAATTAGAGTAAAGTGTCTTGTCAAAGACACAACCACATTGGCACTGACTGGTCCATTTTCTCTGCTTCCAGAGAAACAAACCAGCAAGGGTAGATTGATTTGGTTGTAGGCTTGATTTTCTCAAACACCACATTTTGAAGATGATACATTCATAGATTTTACATTCTCCGACTCTTTTATGTTAGATCTATACAGGAACAATATCAGGGATGATTCTCCGACTCTTTTATGTTAGATCTATACAGGAACAATATCAGGGATGATTCTCCGACTCTTTTATGTTAGATCTATACAGGAACAATATCAGGGATGATTCTCCGACTCTTTTATGTTAGATCTATACAGTAACAATATCAGGTTGATGATTCTCCGACTCTTTTATGTTAGATCTATACAGTAACAATATCAGGGATGATTCTCTGACTCTTTTATGTTAGATCTATACAGGAACAATATCAGGGATGATTCTCTGACTCTTTTATGTTAGATTTATACAGGAACAATATCAGGGATGATTCTCCGACTCTTTTATGTTAGATCTATACAGTAACAATATCAGGTTGATGATTCTCCGACTCTTTTATGTTAGATCTATACAGGAACAATATCAGGGATGATTCTCCGACTCTTTTATGTTAGATCTATACAGGAACAATATCAGGGATGATTCTCCTACTCTTTTATGTTAGATCTATACAGGAACAATATCAGGTTGATGATTCTCCAACTCTTTTATGTTAGATCTATACAGGAACAATATCAGGGATGATTCTCCGGCTCTTTTATGTTAGATCTATACAGGAACAATATCAGGGATGATTCTCCGACTCTTTTATGTTAGATCTATACAGGAACAATATCAGGGATGATTCTCCGACTCTTTTATGTTAGATCTATACAGTAACAATATCAGGGATGATTCTCTGACTCTTTTATGTTAGATCTATACAGTAACAATATCAGGGATGATTCTCTGACTCTTTTATGTTAGATTTATACAGAAACAATATCAGGGATGATTCTCCGGCTCTTTTATGTTAGATCTATACAGGAACAATATCAGGGATGATTCTCCGGCTCTTTTATGTTAGATCTATACAGTAACAACCTCAGGTTGATGATTCTCCGACTCTTTTATGTTAGATCTATACAGTAACAACCTCAGGTTGATGATTCTCCGACTTTTTTATGTTAGATCTATACAGGAACAATATCAGGGATGATTCTCCGACTCTTTTATGTTAGATCTATACAGAAACAATATCAGGGATGATTCTCCGGCTCTTTTATGTTAGATCTATACAGGAACAATATCAGGGATGATTCTCCGACTCTTTTATGTTAGATCTATACAGGAACAATATCAGGGATGATTCTCCGACTCTTTTATATTAGATCTATACAGGAACATTATCAGGTTGATGACTCTCCGACTCTTTTATGTTAGATCTATACAGGAACAATATCAGGTTGATGATTCTCCGACTTTTTTATGTCAGATCTATACAGTAACAATATCAGGGATGATTCTCCTACTCTTTTATGTTAGATCTATACAGTAACAACCTCAGGTTGATGATTCTCCGACTCTTTTATGTTAGATCTATACAGGAACAATATCAGGGATGATTCTCCGACTCTTTTATGTTAGATCTATACAGGAACAATATCAGGGATGATTCTCCGACTCTTTTATGTTAGATCTATACAGTAACAACCTCAGGTTGATGATTCTCCGACTCTTTCATGTTAGATCTATACAGAACAATCTCAGGTTGATGATTCTCCGACTCTTTTATGTTAGATCTATAGAGTAACAATATCAGGGATGATTCTCCGACTCTTTTATGTTAGATCTATAGAGTAACAATATCAGGAATGATTCTCCGACTCTTTTATGTTAGATCTATAGAGTAACAATATCAGGGATGATTCTCCGACTCTTTCATGTTAGATCTATAGAGTAACAATATCAGGGATGATTCTCCGACTCTTTCATGTTAGATCTATAGAGTAACAATATCAGGGATGATTCTCCGACTCTTTCATGTTAGATCTATAGAGTAACAATATCAGGGATGATTCTCCGACTCTTTCATGTTAGATCTATACAGAACAATCTCAGGTTGATGATTCTCCGACTCTTTTATGTTAGATCTATACATTTACATAGTATTTTAAGTAGCTGTCTATCCAAATTTTGAATTTTCCATAAAAGAACTAATTAGTATTTCTAACATGTGCTAATCTGTTTAAGACTGTATAATAACCAATTCTTACTTTCGAAATTGATGTATTCTAAGGGAGAGGGCTTGTATAGGCATTGCCTGTTGCCCACTTTGTGTTAAATCTTTGATTTAATAAATATTTTGAAATGAAGTTCTTTCACCAGGGAAGCAGTTTGAGGAGTAAATGACTCAAAGCAACTGAAGAACGGTTGTGGTGTTGACCCTCCTCAACATCATGGCTGTATAAAGCAGACAGAAACATGGACAAAAGTATCACCAAACTGTTCTAGTAGTGTTGTATAAATGATGTCAATATGGTGACATTCAAGTACTTGTATATGCCTATTGTATTAGTACTGCAAACATCTCGTTATCAATAATCTATTTTTGTGTAAATGTTTTCTTTTATTATATTTTCCATGTCTTGAATACCAACAAAATTCCATATGAATATTTTAATATTTTCATTTTCAATGTCTTTAATAACACCATATTAGGGATTATTACAAGGGAAAAATTCTTTCACTATCAAAGAAAATATTCATATCTGTAGCATTTAAAATATCAATGAAAAATTTTGAATTCCTCTACATGTAAATTGTATAGCACCCGAGAAGGCAGAATTTTCTTACCATACAAAGTCAATATAAACCACCTTAACAATACCAACTTAATGTAGCTATTGTAACATATGTATTTGAACACACTGTTTATAAAATTTATACATGCTAATAAATTTTGAATATTTTCATTTTCTCTCATCTCTCGTGTTATTTTTGACATTTCAAACCTGAAGTAGCGATGAAAGATCCTTTTTTTAGGTCATCTGACCTGAAGGGTCGGGATGACATAACTATTGTGTTTCCTATGCCATCTTCCATGCGTAAACTTTCCATTCAAATGACTTCTTCTCTATAACCCAAAGGCCCAGAGTGCTTATAATGGGATTGTAACATGCTGGCATAGAGAGCTTCCTAGTTTGTTCATATTTTTTTTACCTTGACCCACTTTCAAAGGTTGCAGGTTTCAAATAAGTTTAAATGATCTCTTTTAAATTTACAAACAACACAGGATGCTGATATGGAGTTAGTATCATCATGGAATAAAGTGCATCTTTCAGGGTCACAGGTTTCAAATATGTTGAACTCTTTAAATGACTTCTCCTTGATCATGCTGGGATGAAGGGTTTTCTCTTTTAAAAGGTCACAGGGGTCAAATGTGTTAAAATCTTCAATTGGCTTCTTAATAATGAAATTGTCAAGGCTGTTGATATTGGTTCTTTAATAAAAGTGGATGGAGGCCTACCAAATTTTTTCAAATATTTGACTTTGACTTGGGTCAAATGAGTTGCGATCTTAAATGATTTTTTTTTCAACATGTAATAGGTTCCGAGTAATGACATTTGTGAATGTCAAGGATATGAGTTTGCAAAGACTTTAAAAACCAACATTGTCTTCTATGGAAGCTGTAGATTAGTTGAGGTTAGGTCTTTAAAGTCAGATGACCATTAAAGCCCGTGGGCCTCTTGTTTTCTTCAATGGAGGGTTGGGGGTGCATGTTTCTTATCAACTTAACATTTCTGTCTGGAATGTCAACCTTTTCATGAATGCGTTTGTTTTCAAAATTTTGAATATTCTCAGTTGTCATTGTAACAACCTACCAAATAAGCAGATCTTGGCAGATGTTTTGATTTGCTGGGAAAATCAATGTATCATTTCATTGTTGAGCAATGCTAAAAAAATGAGCCTTAAAGTGATAGTGTACTGCTATTGCTTTTTCATTTATTTAAAATCCCTTTAAAATTATAAAATAGCTACAGCAAGAAGGAACTCTGAAAAATAAATATAGATATTTAACGTTGTTTGAAAAACACACCTGTACGGATTGAGTGTTGACCCCGTTTTGAGTACACGCAGATCTGTGATGTCACAGAAACCCTCATACTTTGATATTTCAACCAAATCTGATTTTCTTTGGGTCCTAAATTCCTAGAGAGGTCATTCAGATGATTTCTTCATTTATGTTTATCAAATAGAACTTGATAGTAAATCTCTCAGTTTGATGTTTCATCTTCATATTTTAATACAGTTTAATCCAGCTCCCCCTTCCATCCTCCATGTTTTTACTGAATTGATAATCAATTCCTTTTCTATACTAAAAAGTAAGAAATGTTCTGGAGGTTACTAAAACATCTACAAAAAGCATCAGGACCTGTATCAGTCTCTGAATTGAAATTTATACCTAGTCAAAGTATGGAATTTTTATGTTTGAAATCTGAAATGTTTTCAAATAACATTACAAAATGATGCAAGTTCTACATCGAACATTAAGCCATTTTAAACATAGAACTTGTCTCTGGGACACTAAATGGACACAGATCCTGGTACTTGTACTTTATTTTTAAGCTTTAATCAGAATGAATTAAAAGCAAAAGTCTGAAGGACATCTTGGCAAATTGCAAAGTAAATCCAATTTACTGTTAAGGATATGTTTTCACTGGAGTATTTTTTTCAGGTGTCCATAGCTGTTGAAATTTTGTGATAGATAACATTTGTAAACGCTGTTAATGCTCTTCCAAATCAGTAGAATTATAGACCCTGAAAAATAATATCCAGTTTGAAAATCCTCTACAGTGAACTGTTTTCACTTCAGATTGCAGTATTGAAATGGAAGAAAGAACAAAAAAAAAACCATCAAAATTTCATAAAAATTTATTCATATGTACAAATACCCTTTAAAAAGATCAATATTGATTTACAATCTATTTTAAAATGCCCTGCTAAAATAATTTGCTCAATTGTATTTTATCATTTCATTTGGAAATTAACAGCTACATCACCAGTTTCAGCTATATTATTTATCTATTAGTGCTGAGAAGTACATCAGGTATGGATCCCATAACGAAAACCTGTTGTAAACTTAAACATATAAAAACATTCACTATGAATGTTTCGGCAAAATATGCATTTTTCTTCAATGTCTGTACCACATTTACAGCATGTAAATATAATCTCCAATAGCACATGAACCCTTCACATCAGTTGTCTCCTCCAAACAGTCTTTTTTCTGTCTTACTGACATTCCAAGATTACCAAAAAGTCCAGGGTCTTCTTGATAAGATGCAACAGTTTTTTCCCCATAAAATATGCAATGGTTAAGTATATCTCAAATACATAGCAAAGCAACATGATGTCAAATCTGTATAAACTTTTACGTCTATGTACTTGTGGAGCCCTTACCTTCTAATCTTGATTGATTGGAGATGATCAGTGTTCCAATTACTGAATGAATCTGGACAAAATTGGCACACCATCACTGTGTTGAGATGAAGTTAAAATTCTCAATAGAAAATTAGTCCTTGTGGTAGGTTTTGGGTTATCTATATCAGGTTCTCTATATATCTTGCATATTCTACTACAATCTGGAGCCTCAAAAAAGCCAACAGGAAACTACAAGTGTCTTAAATATCAATATCATTGAATTTCCAAAATAAACTGAAAATTAGAATGAGTAGCATTTGTTTTTCTCTATAATCTTATCTGTATTGATATCTTAAGATGAATACTGAGTATAGAAGCACGACAGTTAATAAAACACACATTTGCATTCTGTTGAAATTGCTAGTATTTTTTGCTTTCCCTGTGATACTGCTCTACAATCTGCTTATTTCTCCTTCAGAAACAGTTGCAAAACTCCGTAAATATCCTGATTCAAGATATCTGACACTGCATCAAAGTAATAACATTTTGCAATTCTAGAACGAGACAAAAACTTGACCCAGTGAACAATGTGCTAGTTGGCAGTTTATGGTGTACCTACCGGTGAAGAGCTCACCAGTCCGGATAAACACCCTAGACCTTGTCTGCTTCTTGGCTGCACAGAGAAAATAATGACATTATCATATAGCAATGCACAAGACAGTAATGCAGATCTCCATTGCTCATATCTTCCATTAACATTTTAAAGGTTTTCTTACAAAATAATATGCTAATGAAATACTTTTTCAAAAGTCTTACTCAAATCAGAAAAAAGAATGATCTATCCCACATCTGGTTATAATCAAAGTTAAACGTTAATACCACCAATGCCTGTAAAACTGGAGTCATGAAATATTCACGCAAGCACAATTTTACAGAAGCCATGCAACAGTGAAAAACAAAACCATTTTGTCAACAATCTAGTCACCAACATTGTTGGGGGCACAAAACCCAACAGCAAGTCTACTTGCTGTGACCAATAAACAACACATGTAAAGAATATAAATAACTGAAAGCAGTCACCAACACCATGTTGGGGGCCTTAGCCCAACAGCTTGTCTCGCTGTGACCACTAATAACTAATCGCGAGCTTTCAGTCACCAACAGGTTAAGTTGGGGGTACTCGGACCCAACAGCAAGCTTAGTTGCTGTGACCACTTGCCTTGATCATTGTTCCCTGCAACCCGAGTCTAATGACCTTCATATTCAAAAGCTTACCCTGGACACAGATTTTTGGTAAACAAATAAGTTCATTCATAATCACTGTAAAACAGTGTATCCCACATTTTCTGGATTCTGTACATGTTTGTTTTAATCTTCAGTGGTTGTGTCCAGAGTACTCCGACAAAAACACAGGTAGTCACCAACAGAATGTTGGGGGCAACTAGGCCCAACAACAAGAATACTTGCTGTGACAACTTGCCTTGATCACGGTCACATCCGACCTATCGTCATAGAACCCGAAACAAAAGTAAGAAATATCGCCAACTGAAGTTGGGGGCTGGACTGCCCAACAGTGAAGATTATCTCTTGCACTGTGACATTATTCACTTGCCTGCTGGAGTTGATGGTATGTATGTGGTTAACCAGCTTTGTAACACTGACAATGGTATAAACAGTAATTCAAAGTAAATTATCAATGAGTTTTACATCACTTGCCTTGCTTTCTGGTACACCAAATAAAGTCAGCTCAACTGTACCAATCTTACAGAAAACATCCTAATTTTTTGCTTATCATTTTCACAAAACATAATATTGATCAAATATAAAAGGAGATCCAGCTGCTTGCATGAACATTATTTTACTTCAATCGTATTTTCAGTCATCAGTGTAATAGTTTCATAGAGAACAGGCAATCAAGTTCAACTGACTTCATCCATGCATTAATGTCCACAAGCCTTTTTATAAAAATTCAGACGGCTCAGTTCTTGGCTGTTAATCAAGGCACTGACGTCTCAGCTATACAAGGATATTGACAATTCTTTCTAATACATAAAAGTAAACAGCTCTGATTGTGACTTTAACAATGCAAATATTGCATCAAGACCTTATACTAAAATAATTGTTTTAAGCATGAACAAATTCACCTACAATCATGAACATATTTATCTGAAATAATATCCTGATTTAATGAAATACAAACAAGGTCCACCAAAAACATAAATAAGAAATTCATGAATATTGTGTGTTGTACAATGACTTGATAGTTTTATTGATAAAAATTACAATTCTTCATGCTATCTGACAACATTTCTTAAGATCAATTATCCACAAGCTATACAACTTATTTCAGAAATTAATTCATATACAAACTGATCATAACACTTACCAGCATCTGGTCAACCCCAAAGTGTTCTATGATCCTTCATTTTTATTCAAATTTAAAACAGTTCTGTATTAACCTGGCTAAGTCTTACCTTCCACTTAAAGCACACAAGACCAGCCATACACCCAAAGGGCTCTTTATCTACAAAATATTGTTCAACAGAAAACACATCTCATAATTTAACTTTAAATTTAACAGATGTGAATGTTAAGATCATGCATTCCTGTCCACATAATGACTTCTGATTAACTTAACTGAACAGCTGCCATCTGGACAGAACTGAAAGTGGGTTGAAGCACACAGCTATGATGGAGGATGAGAGTGATCTAAGTGGCACTGTAGTATGTAGGCAATCTCAGTAGTGACTTCCCTGTTGTATCTGTGGTCTAAATCCTCCCCACTGGTTCTCGTTCATGCCTCCCATTCCAGCAGATCCTCCCCTCATACCTTCAATATCAATAAATGCACAAACATTAGTCATTCACACAAATGAAAGATCAGAAGTAATTTACCTCCCGATCTTTTGTAAAAACACAGCATAATAACTGTCCATCCCTTATCACAAAATACAAAATGATACTAACAGGCCTATAGAACCTGTCTGACTATCGGGCTCTCTATCTATCACACAATACAAAATGATACTAACAGGCCCATAGAACCTGTCTAACTGTCGGGCTCTCTATCTATCACACAATACAAAATGATACTAACAGGCCTATAGAACCTGTCTAACTGTCGGGCTCTCTATCTATCACACAATACAAAATGATACTAACAGGCCTATAGAACCTGTCTAACTGTCGGGCTCTCTATCTATCACACAATACAAAATGATACTAACAGGACTATAGAACCTGTCTAACTGTCGGGCTCTCTATCTATCACACAATACAAAATGATACAAACTTGAAATTATTCAAATTGGAATCATGTACTTAAAACATTTCACTGCTCTTCAAGTTAACAATATAATTTTAAAACCTTTCAAGCTTACCTCCAGCTGATAGCATTTGCTTGTATTTTGGTAATGTGGCTCTCCTTTCCTCCTGTTGTACACATTAAAAAAAATTGATTATTGATACTAGTACCATTCATCTGCATAAAAAAATATAGATAGAACATGCCTATAGATTTCAAAATTCATTTTGTAATTGAAAACTTTACATTGCAGTAGTTCTGCTTAGATATGTTATTTTCATCGAAGTTTGAAAACTTTGACAGAGAGCATACTCGTATCCTCTGCCTCTCCTATCCTTTACAATAACACAATGAAATGTTATTCTGTTATGTAACTAGTTTTTAATGTTTCTCAATCAATCATATAAAACCACATAAGGGACAAATAAACTTAGTTTCAGTTATTTCCACTAAGCCATCATGTTGGGCAGAAGGACTAACGTCCAACACCCAACATGTATGAAATATCTGTATCTACTTTCTAGCAGTTCAAATCCATACCTTTAAGATTTCGCAGAAAATGAACACAACCTTTTTTCAAATCCATACCTTTTAAAAATTTTACAGGAAAAAAATACAAAGTGATTAAATTGGTGCAAAAACATAAGTAAATATCATTACTCCTACCTTTCAATGTTGATTATGTCATCATCATTATCAAATAAGGACTTACCAAGGAGATATCCTCATCAGGGTGCATGAGTTTAGAGGTCAAACCTGAGCTAGACTCTGGTTTCTTTATCTGTGGCGCACCAGTAATTGTTGCCCTTGATGGAGAAGAAGAGGTGGTGTTTGTAGCTGCTGCGGCGGGGAATGTTGGCTTCGCTTGACTGTTGATTGCTGATGACTTGTAGGACTGGCCCGATGATGATGAGGCTATAGATGACTGCAATTCCACAATATCAACATCTTTACATTTCAATCATACAAGGTACATCAAATATTAATGATAATTTTCTTTCACATTTCAAAAACATTTCAACAAAGTTTTGGCACTTAACTGGTATGTATACACATAATACTTTCATTCAAAATATTCATTCTTATACCTGAAAAACATTTCAGGGTATCCACGATTTTTCATAACATCAGGAATCGTTGTAAACAGGGACTGGTATCATCAATATTTTGGATTTCATTGTATTTGTAAAGCTGACTTCAAGGTCAATGAAAATCCGGATGACAACACATAATACAAACTTTTTTGTCATTATTCAATGTTGATTTCATGGTCAGGCACATGTACTAAAAGTTTACAGAAGACCATGCTCACCTGAGCTGCAGCAGGAAATAAAGGCTTTGAAGGTGCAGATGATGACATAGGTGGCTGCATGGGTGGTGGCGGGCCATTACCCGGCATGAAATTCCTGGGGGGCATTGGTGGCATCCCTGGGGGCATCCTACAATATTCCAATGTAAAGTTCTAGAAATCTTAACAACTGACAAGGCACATTTGAATTTCATTTCATACTCATGGGTGTACCAAACTTCCATGAAGATAGATATTATGTCTGAACTAGAGATGTTTTTTAACAATCAATATGGAAATATGGGTTGAATTAATAGAGTTTCCAATAATCTGTTTGGTTGAATTTTAGCTCTAGTTTTGATTACTGACCTTAACAGCAGACTTCTGGGACAAAAGCTCTAATCAGGTAAATTGTGCAGCTTTAACATGGTGAACAATTCAAGAGATGCATTACTGACAGTACAAATTACTGGTGGTAAGCTTTTACACCTTTAACCTTAAAACTGCCCTAATATATCACTTTAATTAGAAATGAAAGATGTAAACTTTACTGATATTAAGAATTTTAAGTGGAAACTTTTATTAGATATGCTTCTGTCAAGTTATTATATTTTACAGTATTTATTTTGCAACCTAAGAAATATCAAATCAGCTTACCCCATTGGACCCATAGGACCTGTAAACAAATTATTATAGATAATGAGTAAATATTACAACAGTTAGAACATCATTAATTCAAAATGTCATTACATTACAACCTACTCCAATAACATCACTAAAATCAGAAACTATGAAAATTTCACATACGTGATAATTTTTATTTTGATGGTTTGATATGACAATAACAGACATAGAAAAAGAGTTAAATCTTAATAGACATTAATCAGACATAACAAATTAGGTGGGTTCTTAAAATTATCAGCCAGAGTAATTTCACCCAGATATACCAAAAATTATTACAATAAATGGCATTCCATTTTTTTATACCTAAATAAACTTACCCATTGGTGGCATGGGTCCCATAGGCCCCATAGGACCCATTGGTCCCATTGGACCCATTGGTCCTGGTGGCATAGGTGGCATACCAGGTGGCATGCCAAATGGAGGCATGCCTGGCCCCATTGGGGGAGGCATACCATAATTGTTATATTGATTATTATTTCCTTGATTGCTGTCATCTTCATCGTCATCATCATCCTCATTGTCCTCTCTCATTCTTTTACTGGGTGGTTCTACAACAGCAATTCACATTTTAAAGTTGACTCAGAATATCTAAGCAGGAGTTTACATATGAATATGAAAGAGTCAACCCAAGAAACATCACTCAGTAGAAGGTTAGCACATTCTTTTCTTCATCCAACAACAAAATTGTAGGCCAGAATGTATTCATCACAGTGATACCATGTGTGTTTATTCTGCTCCCATCTCCCACTGCTATCAAATTGTACGTACCAGGGAAGCTATTTTTTGACTGTAGAACATCTCTTTCTGTTTTAATATATTTTAGTTTAGTACTTATTTCAATATTAGATTGTTTCCAAATGTCTTGACATTGAACCCATGAAGTAAAAATTGAAACAATTTCATCAGCCTGTACATACATGTTAAGTCTCCTAACCATGACCTGTCAATACTAACATTAGTTTATCCAAGCAAACCTAGCAAGGCTGAGAATTATTGTATACATAAAATTTAGTATCTTAACATCTTCACAATCCAAACTTGAGTGGATGATTCATAATTATAAACAGGATGCTACTCTAAATGAACAAATTACTTCAAACTTTTAAAGCTGAAGTACAACAAAACCCATGACATCAGTACTTGGAATTATGACCATTTATGAAATTGGCTGTACATAAACTTTTGTAAAAATACATTCAAAGAAAGCCACTTGAATTGTGCATTACCCTGTTTTTGTTTCTCATGGTCCTTAATATCTCCATCCGGAATACCTTCCATGCCATATATTTCAATTTCAACATTATTTCTTCCTGGTAAAGCATTTGGTATCTTGTCAATTTTGTCCTTGTGAACCTGGAAATAAGAATGTATTAAAAATCCTTGTCTATTAATTGTTGCATAACACATCTTCACAAATTCCAGTTTTCTTATCAATATATCAAAACCATTTGTGGACCAAACAAAACTTCTTTGCAACACTCTTTATCCCACATTTAAGCCATAATTTTTCAACTTTCTGTTTACAGGATTTAGGAACAATCAGTTTATGACAGCTATGGCTGCCATTTTGAATTTTAGTATGATGTAGGGGTACTGTTTGTTATATCAATTGGCACATAATTAGTTAAGTCTTGTTTACTTACAACTTCCTATTCATCAGAAGTAGCAATAACAATTTTTTTCAAGATGCCTGATACATATACACTCAGTATTAGAATTTTGTCAGAACTGCACCCCACTCACTTACCTGCATACAATGTATAGACAAACCAGGTCCAGTGTACAATTTCTTGTGACATATGTGACATTTGAAGTGTTTTGCTTTCTGATGCTGAATCAGGATCTTTTCATCATCAAACTCCCTGTTGCAGTACCTAAAATTCTTGTTAAGAAAATAAAATACTCACAACTTTCAAACTTTGGTATCCTCACTCAAAATGACATTAGTCTAAGTCATATTTACAGATTCTTCATGAACTTGTTGACATCATCTTAATCTAAACACATATTTAATCGTAAGTTCACAGTGGCATGGTTAGGACACATGTAATAAGCATACTTTGAGAACAACAAGATGACACGGGATACAGTAGACTCTCGCAGATGAGTTGGAATATTCTTAGTGCTCATGGGAATTGGTGGAGCTTTATTATCATCAATGATCAGTTATTACCAGTATATTGTAATTGGCTGTGGAAAACAGAATAAGTTCCAATAATTACTTGATTATTCATATAATTAACTAGTTTTGTGACCAATTACATTCCATCAATTCAATGTTTATTTGAACACTGCACAATTTAGTTTCCTAAATAGTCATTCTCACACTTAATATCACATAATTTTTTGCTCACGATGGTTCACTACCAGAACTGTCGCTGATCTTGATATCATTACTGATCTTTATTAGCACATCTACTGCATGACAAAATCTACGCACTGCTTTGTCTCATATTTAGCTAGTTTCTTGACCCCATTTGATTTACATAAAAATAAATCTTTCATGCTCTCGGTCATTTCTTGTCCATGATTACAAACGACGATAGAGCACACATTAATCTAGGAACAGATCCAGAACGAAACTAAAAACCGATTGATCGCTTGTGTTAGTTTTTTAACACTCTTTAAAATCTATAATAAATACTACATGGGAACCCCTATTCACATTACACCAGGAAGTATGGTGTATATAGCAAGTCTCAACAGAGTTATATCTATGACACGTTCAACACAATATTTAAGACAATACGTCAGTCGACATTTTGTTTTCTTTGTCAAATAATCTGAGTTTGGTTTCCAAATAAACTACTTAGAACTAAATCATATATGTTTTATCGTGGCGATCACGCCAATTTTGAAGGATACCAACACCAGGGCTTCAACTGCTTCTTCTTTTTCCTTCCCATTTTGTTTCGGAAAATACACACAGGAAATGGCGTCTCAACGAGTGGAAAATACCCGGATGTACTCCCAAAGGGAATGTATTATGATGTATTGAAAACCGTTATATTTCTGAGTATATCGCCCATATATAGTCAAAAGAAATTTTCTTTAATATAAAATTCCTTTTTTATTTGGGATATAATAGTCAAAAGTCAATCTGATGATCGTTCACTTTAACTTTGTTAACTATTTTCATTTTACAACGATGTCTCCCTACATGGAGGCTCCCAAAGGGAGAAAAACCTGTATGTAAGATAATATGAAGTTATGTTTCTATATACAAATGTCTGAAGGGCTTCTTTGCGTCCACGTTTGTATGGTCTTTGTGGTTACTCTTTGTAATATATTAGCATTAGCGACCGTCTTGCGATCAAAGACTCGTTAGTTGGAACCTGAGCTGGGGCAGGGAGGTTTTCTTTCTACCGTAAAAGTAGTCTACAGAGAAATAGTTTATTGTTTGCACATCACTACTTTTACTCCTCCCTATAACCAGAGACGTATATAACACATATATACGTCTCTGCTATAACAGGGACTTCGATCTTTGTCAGCACAAAAATTGATAAGGCACTGTTGGTAATATTGGTGTGGATCTGTTACACTGTTGGTGACATTGGTGTGGATCTGTTACACTTGATAATATTGGTGTGGATCTTTTACACTGTTGGTAATATTGGTGTGGGTCTGTTACACTGTTGGTGACATTGGTGTGGATCTTTTACACTGTTGGTAATATTGGTGTGAACAGGACCTACATAAGATATTACAGAAACTGCAATTATCAAAATGTAATATGGCTGCTTGTTGATGACATTGGTGTGGATCTGTTACACTGTTGGTAATATTGGTGTGAATCTGTTACACTGTTGGTAATATTGGTGTGGATCTGTTACACTGTTGGTGACATTGGTGTGGATCTGTTACACTTGATAATATTGGTGTGGATCTGTTACACTGTTGGTAATATTGGTGTGGGTCTGTTACACTGTTGGTGACATTGGTGTGGATCTTTTACACTGTTGGTAATATTGGTGTGAATCTGTTAGACTGTTAAATTGATAAGGCACAATATACGGGACCAACAGGACCTACATAAGATATTACAGAAACTGCAATTATCAAAATGTAATATGGCTGCTTGTTGATGACATTGGTGTGGATCTGTTACACTGTTGGTGACATTGGTGTGGATCTGTTACACTGTTGGTAATATTGGTGTGGGTCTGTTACACTGTTGGTGACATTGGTATGAATCTGCTACACTATTGGTAATATTGGTGTGGGTCTGTTACACTATTGGTAATATTGGTGTGGATCTGTTACACTGTTGGTGACATTGGTGTGGATCTGCTACACTATTGGTAATATTGGTGTGGATCTGCTACACTATTGGTAATATTGGTGTGAATCTGTTACTTTGTTGGTGACATTGGTGTGGATCTGCTACACTGTTGGTGACATTGGTGTGGATCTGCTACACTGTTGGTAATATTGGTGTGGATCTGTTACACTTTTGGTAACATTGGTGTGGATCAGTTACACTTTTGGTAATATTGGCGTGGATCTGTTACACTGTTGGTAATATTGGTGTGGATCTGTTACACTGTTGGTAATATTTGGTGTGGATTGGTTACACCGTTTGTAATATTGGTTTGGATCTGTTTAAACTGTTGGTAATATTGGTGTGGATATGTAACACTGTTGGTAACGTTATTATGGATTTGAAGATTGATATTAATGATAAGGATGTGGACCTCCTTTGTTTATATTTGGTTCTTAAACTTCACAAGAATTCATATAAACAGCATTTCAATACTGGCTTGTCTGGCTTTTCAACTAAATTTTTGTCCAACCATCTTCATGGACAAACTCGTAACACAGGGTTTCGAAAGATGCAGGCTGATAAAAATTACAGAGAAGTTTACGGTGGCCATAGTGATCTCATAGAGGAATATTCTATTTCTTTGTGCGATATGAAGTTGGACGTGTTTGATGCTAATTTTGCCTGTTGATTTTGTTTTTGTATACCTTGATTTCCATGGTGGGTGCCGTCAGTAAAGCAGAAAACGCTTAGTCTTCCAGATTACTGTTTTATTATCCTTTTCCTGGAATCTCTGTGTAAATCTTCATTGAGGCTGATTGTGATTTGAGTTTGGATTATGTTCACATGTTGGTCATACTTTGTTGTTTCTGTACTTCGTATGACTTTTGAGAAAGATAAAGTACAATAGGGCACTTCCATCCATGAAGAGTATTTGGTTCTACATTATCTGGGTACTGAGAAAAAGACTTTTGAAACTTCAGGCAATTTGACCTTTATTTTTTGTCCTGTTCCTCAGCCCCGCAGGTTCAGGTGAGGTCAATATGTGCATCTTGTGCTAGTGGTGGATCTTGTGGTTCAGCAGGAGCTGAAGTAATGTTTGGGAACCAGACTGTCAGAGACCCTGCTGCTTTAGCATTGCACTGGGTGGGGGGTATTTCTCTGGTATTTACTCCCACTATACTTTGACAATAACTTTCCATCTGTCAAATCCCAGTTGGCAGAATTCCTATGTCATGATGCTCCAGCAACAAGCTCTTCCAAAATAACTTTTACAGTGGATGAAGTTGACCTTACCTGTAAAAGTCTTCCTCTTGGAAAAGCTACTGGCATTGACTCTATTGTATATGAACACCTAAAGTATGCTTGCAATTCACTTTATGTATGTCTTTGTACATTATTTAATGCTTTCATAAGGTTTGAATATGTACCTGTGTCACTCAAACATGGTTTGATTTGCACATTATATAACGGTCATAATAAGCCAAAGAATGACCCAAATAACTTCAGAGCGATTTCTCTTCTACCCGGTATTCTAAAAGTGTATGAAAAACTACTCTTGAAAAGATTAGAGTCTATGAACCTTTTTCATGTAAATCCATTACAGCATGGTTTTCAAAAACAAGCTAGTAGCTCTATGACTTCATATATCATGCAAGAAACAATCGCGTACACTTCTGAACATGATAGTAAATTGTTCACTTGTTTTTTAGACGTGTCTGAAGCCTTTGATTGTGTCTGGCTCGACAGTCTGTTTTTTAAACTATCACGTTCGGGTTTTGACAGAAAAAATTGTTAGTATGATTATGTCTTTACACAAGGATATGTATAGTGTTGTTATATATCAAAACTTTGTGTCTGAAGTGTTCGAGATAAGCCAGGGAACACATCAGGGCAGTATTATCTCCCCTTGGCTCTACTCTGTTTATATCAACGATTTGTTGAATGATCTTAGTAGTTCTGTATACTCGCTAACTATATCTGATGTTAATGTCATGTGCCCTACGCAAGCAGATGATATTTGTCTTCTTTCACTTACCAAACACAATTTAGATATGCTTATAGATATTTGCTACAAGTATAGTTGTAAATGGAGATTTAAATATAATGCCTCCAAATCAGTAGTTATTGTCTTTGACGAAAGTAGTAATGTTTGCTCACAATCGTATCACACTTGGTATCTAGGTGACAATGTTGTTAATGAAAGCACAAATGTTAAACACGTGGGTATTAATTTGAATAAATTTAAACCAGGTCGGCCTGATGTTGACGATGTTGTCCACATACTGCTAGGTCAGTGTTTTGCTCTACTAAATTGTAATTTATTTGGTCCCAGTATCAATCCTATGACTGGATTCCATCTATATTTGTCTGTTGTACTCCCTAGAGGTATTTTCGGTTGTGAGCTCTGGATATCTCTCTCCAACTCTGATTGGCATTGCCTAGAATCAGTCTATCATTTATGTGCAAAATTAATGCAAAATTTCCCACTTCGTACTAGGTCTGATGTAGCATTGGGAATGTTAGGTTTGTCTTCTATACATCTTTACGTAGAGCAATGTAAGCTTCGTTTTTTCGGAGCTTTGTGTAATAACAAAACAACTTGTACTTCAAAGCGTTTATATCAAAATCATCTTGGGGTAAATAACGCGAAGAAAGGTTTCAACAACGACATTTGGGATGCTTTACACAAATACAACTTCCGAGGCATCTTACTTGATTTTCTTAATTCTGGGAAATTTCCATCCAAACTTGGCTGGAAATATCTTCTAAAGAATGTCCTTCTGTGTAGAGAATCTGATGACTGGCGTTTACGTATAAACAGTTCTTTAGAATTTTATAGATTCTACATTCTTCATCCTGATATGGTTCCTACAGTAATTTGGTCATTTTCTAAACGCCATCCAAATTTTAACAGGACATGTAAAACTGTGGCAAAAACGTGGATTGCCCCTCTTACTTGTTAACTTTTATGTGCTCCATGTAAAGGCACTTTTGAAGACGCAGTCACCCATTGTTTACTTGACTGCAAAGAGCCCATATTAACGTCTCTGCGAGATAATCTTTTTACTAGTTTTGTGGACAAATATCCAGTTAATGTGTATGTATCATTTGACCAGGCGGACAGAGATGTCCAGATAGCGTCTCTGTTGGGTGGCCCCAGTGAGGACATTTTTTAATAATTTTCTGATGATTCATCTTTGTTTACATTTTTTATTAAAGATTGTCTAATGTTTTCTGAAAAGGCCTACAATATGACTTTTCAGTAAATGCCATCTCCTATCTAATGTTTGATGTGTTCTGCTAGAAATCTCCATTATTGATGGATTTGTAATTTACATTCATTGTTCAATATTTATATACATATATTCTTTTTTTTTCTTTAATTTTCACCTTAATTTATCATAATTATCATTGTAATTACTCTTCAATTTTTGGAGGAAATAAAGAAATGATGATGATGACTTTTGACTTTCTCTTTACTAGCACACAATTATTGTATACATGAAAATAATCACAACAGAAATTAGATTACATCATTAAATTGTTTTATCTTTAAATACATAAAACATAACAATTAAATAAATTTGTTAATATCACAACTAGGACTGTTACTTGTGTGGACATGTCTTTCTTGTGTGTCCTGTGGGAAGAAAAAGAAAAAAAATTAACATTGACATCATCATTTATTTCATAATTAAATTCTACATTTTCTTAAAATGGATCTAGACCTGAAGAAGTTCAAAAAAAATTCTGTTGTATTATGTGTATACCAAAAAGATACACTGAACAAAAGGCCCACGGTCACCTGAGTCACAACGCTTCTTGAAATGTCATAGAAATGATTTTGTTAATAAAAAAGTAACATAACTTTAACTACATTGCACACATAATGCAACTGTAAATGGTACATAAACTTAACCACAGTTCCATGCTAAAGCTTCTAGCCAGGTTTAAATCAAAAGAAATTAAACTCAAAAACTGAACTTTAATATACAAAATCTTCCATCCATGAACAGTAGAACATCTTTGAAATTTCAGTCAATTTTCACCCCGTCTATCAGTCACAGGGGGTCAACTGTGGTCAGTATGTACACTTATCAAAATGTCAGATCATACTAATAATTCTAACCAAGTTTGAACTATTTATAAAAGAAAATAAGGAAATAATGCTCAAAAATTTAACTTTCCTATATAAACTTTAGTAAATGTTACCCCCTCCCCGAGGGGAAATGTAAGACCCTGGGGTCATGAAATTACACTTTTGGTAAAGCACCATAGGACACTTCCATCCATGAAGAATATTTGGTTCTAAATTATCTGGGTACTGAGAAAAAGACTTTTGAAACCTAGGTCAATTTGACCAATTTTTGGTCCTGTCCCTCGGCCCCGTGGGTTCAGCCAAGGTCAATATGTGCATCACATCAAACTGTCAGTTCATACTAATAATTCTAACCATGTCTGAACTATTTCCAATAGAAAATAAACAAAAAATTTTGTATAATTTAATTTTCCTATATGAACTATAGTAAACTTTACCCCCTCCCCAGAGTGAAATGTGAGACCCTGGGGTCAGAGACCACATAATTTACAATTTTGGTGCACCTTTAACCATGGAAGGTTTTTGTAAAATTTCAAATTTTAAAAGTTCATGAGTTTTCCAGCAGAAGTCGAAAATGTTCAAAGTTTAATTCGCACTATGCCAGACAAAAGGGGATCGCAATAGGTTACACAGAGACTTTATCTCGTTTGACCTAGAAATCAGAGAACAGACATTGGAACAAGTCCTCACAGTATGGCCATACCTTTCCTTTAAAATGGAACCCCTTTGACATTTACCTATGATTCCTCTTTGATGTTTTTAACATCTGTATGTATTTTGCTGTTGGGCTAAAACCTTATACCCAAACTGATAAAAAGTGAACTGAAGTGGAAGTTGGGGATAGATACATACTACTAAATATCATGATGTTTAAACACTGATGTCTATCTCAAATCAGGCCAACACTTATGCTTCACAAAAAACAAATTTAAACAATATTGAATATTTGTGGAGGTCCCTTTGTATGCAGATCATTAATACAAATCATGTAAACACTTCTTCACTGTTACTACCGAAGCAGGATTTTAAAATAACCACGATCAGTCTCTCAACTCTACCTCTTTTTTCATTAAAACTATTAAAGATGTCAGAACATATTTCATGACATACAGCAAGTCCACCTACCTTCCTCTCCACATAAGCCACATTTCCTTGCCTTCTTGGTAGTTGGTCCCCCACTGTTAGATCCCCCATGTCTCTTGGAGTCTCCTCCTTTGTTCCACATACCACCTGTATTTTCTGCAAAAAAAAAAAGAACAAAAATTTAAATGTTACTCTGCTTCTAACATTTTAAATTTGGAAAATCATTTGTCTGATGTGTAAACAGGCTTATCTGAATTTACTACACAATAGCAAATATTTATAACATACATTATGAGTGGGCAGTATTCAAAAGATGAGTCAGAAATGTGCAAAAACAGGAAAGGTAGATTGTGTACTGTCAATCTAGCACTTGGCATTAATCAGAGTAATTGTCAAGTTAATGTGTGTAGATTTGATTTATTGTGAACGTTGAAGCACTGAACATTCTACGGTGGGTAAGCTAGAAGTCAATGTATATGCTCTGTGTTTCAGTGGTTTATAAGTTGTAAAACAAAAACAAAAAAAACTCAATTAAGACTTAGTTGCTGGCCATTTACTGAGGTCGTATTTCAAAGCCAGGTTATTTCACAATATCTTTATTGAAACTTATTTTCACCTACACCAACACACAAAACTGTGGAATCATTTGTGGAATTGAAGCAGGTTTCATGAAATTCCCTCATCCTGCTTGAAAAGTGAATAGTAAAATATTCTTGTTTAGAGGAAACCTGTACTGATACACACGGTGGAACAGAGGGCAGCAGCTTGGTATGGTGATGTAAACTAATAGATATTACAGATATTTTAATGATGAATTGTAATATTACAGATACTGTTGTGATGAATTGTAATGTTATGGATATTGTGGTGGTAAATCATGGTATGAATGATCAATCCATTCCTTTAACAGGAATAATTGGCAGACCATGGATGAAGAGTGATATTACAGAATTTTGGTGTAGAATTACAATGATAATTACCGCTACTTCCTGACTCATCAACCCATTGGAAGAAATTACAACCTTCACCACGAGGTTTATTGCATGCTAGGAATTGTCTCCCTTTGTTTGGGCCTTCCTTCTGTACTGATAACCTGAGAATGAAACAAAACTATATGCCAATCATTCAAAATACCCTGATACTTAACTACCACCTCACCTCAGTGTGATCTTGTGTGACTTTTGACCCTTCGACTAGACTGATGACTATCAAATTCTGATCTTGTAATTTTACATAACAATACTACAGAAATCAGAGTGATCTTGGCACCCAAACTGTTAGCTCTTTATTTTCTTTTGAAAGTTGGATTTTTTCCCTTCTTTTCTCCCCCACCCTAAATTATTTGGAATTTGAAAATTCCTTTTCAAGGAAAATAGATAATACTCTTGAACTGTCAAACTTTGTAACATGTTTGCCAAGAAAGAATTAATTACTTGATGTTGACTTTAAATTAGAACTAATCTTCATTCTTTCACAGTACAACTCAATCATTATTTAAAACAGACTTTTACATCTCAATAGTAAGCTTGACCTCATAACCTCTCTCCCAATTACTATATGGTGTTAAAATAAGTCTGAAATTGTGACCTTGACCTTTCACTAGGTGACATTATTGAATACTAAACATTTTTGATTGGAAGCAGAATTTAAAACTTGTGACCATCATCTTTGAGCATGAAAAAAAAAATTTGTTTGCAAACTTTGATCTCTGGGACAGAGATCTGCTGAAAGACTATTTTAAGTCCATCATCTAAGAGTGTCAGGATAAAGAAATCATGGCTAGATTTACTTTTTAGGTAAGTTTCCACAGTTGCATTTGTTGTCTTCTGTGTTTGCTGCTGGTGGAGGTGGATTTCCTCTATAAGGAGTACTGGTGCTCCTGAAACAAAGATCAGAATCTTTCATTCTCAATAATGATTAACCATAGTTGATTAATGTAACATTTCAATCAGCCTGAAAAATCACTGGATTTCCCACATCAATGCTTCTAATACCCTCGACTCTTGATATCCTATATATTTCTATTATCAATTTTTTGCAGGCACAGATTGCTGTAAATGGACAGTAATAATACAACAATACAATAATGTCATACTAATATCATAAAGTAAAATATAATAAAGTATAATATAATAAAGTGTAATATAATAAAGTGTAATATAAGTAGATTTGTGTGTTAGGCATCTATTCTGTAATTACATGTACCATTTCAATGTCAGTTATAGCAGAGGGCATCACCAGTGTTATGACACTGTACTATAACTGTATCATCGTGCTTCAATATTACATTGTACTAAAAGTATGTCATTGTACTATACATATAACACTGTACTATAACATTGTACTACAAGTATAACATTGCACTATAAGTTTAACATTGTACTAAAAGTATGTCATTGTACTATACATATAACACTGTACTATAACATTGTACTACAAGTATAACATTGTACTATAAGTATAACATTATACTACAAGTATATCATTGTATTTTAAGTATCTATGACATTATCGTATTTAAATATTGTATTATATTTAATTACTATACTATAAGTATAACATTGTACAATAAGTATTTAAATTATTGTACTAAAAATACATCCTTTTAACACTAAAGTTGAAAGTATAACATTAAAAATCTTTATATATATACATATATATATATATACATATACCTGTTGTATAAGGAATGGCCTCCTCCTCCATCATCATCGTTCGGTGTCTCATCCGCCCACAGGAAAAAATTACATTTAGAGGACCCACACTTGTAAAATTGTCGTCCTGAAACAGTGTCAACACTATAAAATGCCTAGTCGACTTGCACACTTTATGAAGTTTATTTTAATGCTTAATTTCATGATACATTGGAACTTCTTGAAACAAGCCATGCATAGGACAGAAACATTTGGCCAGATTAGAGAGGGTTCAGATCGCAGAAATAAACAATGATGACCAGTCTGAATCCGATTACATTCTGTACATTACATGGATACACATTTATCCATGCCTTACATTCCCTCTGAACATCTATACTGCACATATCCTAGTCTCTGAATTAAGAAATGTCAATGTACCTCCATAAAACACAGTGTATATCAGCCTAATGGCATAAACATCTCCTAATGGCTGAGTAGAGCTGATATGGATATTGGGTCCCTCCTTACTTACTGCCAGTAACTAAGTGACATAGTTAGACCCTTAATAACCTACCTGTATTGGTCCCTCCTTAACTGCTGCCAGTAACTATGTAACACAGTCAGACCCTAGATAACCTACCTGTATTGGGTCCCTCCTTACAGTAACTAAGTGACACAATCAGATCCTTACATATCCTACCTGTATTGGGTCCCTCCTTACGTACTGTCAGTAACAAAGCATCCTCCCCACAGGAACATACAATGGCATTGCCATCACCAGTTGGAGCATTCCTGTTGAATGGTGATACAGATACTAGGGGAACACGACCTCCCTGGTTACCGTACCCTTCCTGGGTATTATTGGTGTTATTATAAGACTGCCTCTGGCTGGTTGTCTTACTCTTATTTTGTCTATTGTTACTGCCATTTGACAAGGAGGTAGTTTGTCTTCTCTGATTCTGGGTAGCCTGTGTTGGTCCATTGCTGGTCCTACCACTGCAGTCAGAGCTGTATGTTGAACCTATTCCACTATCAGACAGATTTGATTGGTTGGAGAATGAAGTAGGTCTTTGACTGGAACCTAAATAAAAAGTTACAGAACATGAATTGTATGGCCAAAATGTCTATTAACCTATGTTAACCTTCTGAATACTCGTGGTGGGTGTATAAACAAGCTGTACGTCTATCATAAATTCTCTGATACAACAATGTAGGTGATAACTTTAATCTTGTCCACTGTCCTCTACCCATGTTTCTGTTCAGATTCAGGGCCTGTAAAGCTTTACAATAGTTACCAATGTTCCTGTTCAGATTCATGGCCTGTAAAGCTTTACAATACTTACCCATGTTTCTGTTCAGATTCAGGGCCTGTAAAGCTTTACAATACTTACCCATGTTTCTGTCCAGATTCAGGGCCTGTAAAGCTTTACAATAGTTACCAATGTTCCTGTTCAGATTCAGGGCCTGTAAAGCTTTACAATACTTACCCATGTTTCTGTTCAGATTCAGGGCCTGTAAAGCTTTACAATACTTATCCATGTTTCTGTTCAGATTCAGGGCCTGTAAAGCTTTACAATACTTACCCATGTTTCTGTTCAGATTCAGGGCTGTAAATGGGCAATGTAAAGCTTTACAATACTTACCCATGTTTCTGTTCAGATTCAGGGCCTGTAAAGCTTTACAATACTTATCCATGTTTCTGTTCAGATTCAGGGCCTGTAAAGCTTTACAATACTTACCCATGTTTCTGTTCAGATTCAGGGCCTGCAAAACTTAACAATACTTACCAATGTTTCTGTTCAGATTCAGGGCCTGTAAAGCTTTACAATACTTATTAGGGCCTGTAAAGCTTTACAATAGTTACCAATGTTCCTGTTCAGATTCATGGCCTGCTTTACAATACTTACCCATGTTTTTGTTCAGATTCAGGGCCTGTAAAGCTTTACGATACTTACCCATGTTTCTGTTCAGATTCAGGGCCTGTAAAGCTTTACAATAGTTACCAATGTTCCTGTTCAGATTCATGGCCTGTAAAGCTTTACAATACTTACCCATGTTTCTGTTCAGATTCAGGGCCTGTAAAGCTTTACAATAGTTACCAATGTTCCTGTTCAGATTCATGGCCTGTAAAGCTTTACAATACTTACCTATGTTTCTGTTCAGATTCAGGGCCTGTAAAACTTAACAATACTTACCCATGTTTCTGTTCAGATTCAGGGCCTGTAAAGCTTTACAATACTTACCCATGTTTCTGTCCAGATTCAGGGCCTGTAAAGCTTTACAATAGTTACCAATGTTCCTGTTCAGATTCATGGCCTGTAAAACTTTACAATACTTACCCATGTTTCTGTTCAGATTCAGGGCCTGTAAAGCTTTACAATACTTACCCATGTTTCTGTTCAGATTCAGGGCCTGTAAAGCTTTACAATACTTATCCATGTTTCTGTTCAGATTCAGGGCCTGTAAAGCTTTACAATACTTACCCATGTTTCTGTTCAGATTCAGGGCCTGCAAAACTTAACAATACTTACCCATGTTTCTGTTCAGATTCAGGGCCTGTAAAGCTTTACAATACTTACCCATGTTTCTGTTCTGATTCAGGGCCTGTAAAGCTTTACAATACTTTCATGTTTCTGTTCAGATTCAGGGCCTGTAAAGCTTTACAATACTTACCCATGTTTCTGTTCAGATTCAGGGCCTGCAAAACTTAACAATACTTACCAATGTTTCTGTTCAGATTCAGGGCCTGTAAAGCTTTACAATACTTACCCATGTTTCTGTTCTGATTCAGGGCCTGTAAAGCTTTACAATAGTTACCAATGTTCCTGTTCAGATTCATGGCCTGTAAAGCTTTACAATACTTACCCATGTTTTTGTTCAGATTCAGGGCCTGTAAAGCTTTACGATACTTACCCATGTTTCTGTTCAGATTCAGGGCCTGTAAAGCTTTACAATAGTTACCAATGTTCCTGTTCAGATTCAGGGCCTGTAAAGCTTTTTGATACTTACCCATACTTCTGTTCAGATTCAGGGCCTCAATCAGAATATCATCACATCCTCCTATACAACCACAATATCTGCAGATAAAACAATCATTACTTATAGATTCTCTAGCATAAAGTCCAGTCTTTTATCAAGTTTTAATGTACAGATTAAAGCCATAATGGCCAAGACATGCGTAAAATAGAAACCTGTATTTCAGTAATTGTATGAGGTCATATAGAAGTCACTGTATGTCTAATGTAGAGTGGAAAATATAGATTTCTAATGATGTAACTGTATCTAATGTTGAAAGTCTATATGTGAAATCATGGTCAAACTTTACTGAAGAAACTTGAACAATGTATTTTGAAACTGGAAATCACATAAAGGTACCAGTGATTCCATTTTGTACACATCACAACTCTTCTTAATGTATCACAGTGCTGAAGGTTAGAGTCAAACATCAAATAGAGGTAACAGTGACCTAATTTTATTATATGAAAGACTAACTGACGTAGTTATCACCAAGCTTAAATTTTACTCACTCTGTCGGCACCATGGGAGGGACTGATCCTCGTTTAAATTTGAATTTGATCAGGCGAACTCCATCACACTGTCAGAGATAACAATATAAACTGTTGTGAAAAAGGACATTAGTTTTAACAAATTAAAATTATATCACACATGTAGAAAGCACTAATATACAGCCCCAAGCTGCTGGGATATATTGTATATCTATGGTGCATCTATTGACATAATGCTGTGTTCAGCCATCATTAAATAGTCTAAGATGTGACACTGAAGAAACAGACTAGTACAAAATATTTATATATTTAATGAAACAATTCATCAAATAGCATCACAAGGTTAATTATGGACAAGGGAAGCATTACAATTAGAGATACCGTGATCAGGATGAGAACCAACATTGCCTAGTGATAAATCTGATTACAAATACATATGTATTATAAATATTCAGATTATAAAATGTTATGACCCAGTCAGATATTGAATGACCACAAGAGTCCTCAGTAGTAACCTCCAGTACACTTGACTTACTGTATGACAACTGGTGTCCTCAGTAGTGACCTCCAGTACACTAGACTTACTGTATGACAACTGGTGTTCTCAGTAGTGACCACCAGTACACTAGACTTTCTGTATGACAACAGGTGTCCTCAGTGTCCGTACACTAGACTTACTGTATGACAACTGGTGTCCTCAGTAGTGACCTCCAGTACACTAGACTTACTGTATGACAACTGGTGTCCTCAGTAGTGACCTCCAGTACACTAGACTTACTGTATGACAACTGGTGTCCTCAGTAGTGACCTCCAGTACACTTGACTTACTGTATGACAACAGGTATCCTCAGTAGTGACCGCCAGTACACTAGACTTACTGTATGACAACTGGTGTCCTCAGTAGTGACCACCAGTACACTAGACTTACTGTATGACACCTGGTGTCCTCAGTAGTGACCACCAGTACACTAGACTTACTGTATGACAACAGGTGTCCTCAGTAGTGACCACCAGTACACTAGACTTACTGTATGACAACTGGTGTCCTCAGTAGTGACCACCAGTACACTAGACTTACTGTATGACAAAAGGTGTTCTCAGCAGTAGCCTCCAGGACAAAGTCAGGCAGCCACACAGCATTCCTACAATCTGGATAACCCATACAACCAATATAGAATCTACAAAAAGAAAAAAAATTTAAAAAATCAAGCTTCCAGTTTCTTGTTACTGAAACAGAGCCATCATAGCATTAAGTTTGAAACAGAAATATATCTTTGCTGATTTTCAGTACTTCTACTCTCAGATTTTTAACAAGAAAGTGAAATCTCCTCACTCTGAGATTTTAACACTGTGGAACACTTTGGGTTAATATCCCTGTATCATGTATGGGTTGTGGAGTATTATAACTGTATCATATTGGTTGTGGAGTATTATAACTGTATCATGTATGGGTTGTGGAGTATTATAACTGTATCATGTATGGGTTGTGGAGTATCATGTATGGGTGTGGAGTATTATAACTGTATCATGTATGGGTTATGGAGTATTATAACTGTATCATATTGGTTGTGGAGTATTATAACTGTATCATGTATGGGTTGTGGAGTATTATAACTGTATCATGTATGGGTTGTGGAGTATTATAACTGTATCATGTATGGGTTGTGGAGTATCATGTATGGGTGTGGAGTATTATAACTGTATCATGTATGGGTTGTGGAGTATCATGTATGGGTGTGGAGTATTATAACTGTATCATGTATGGGTTGTGGATTATTATAACTGTATCATGTATGGGTTGTGGAGTATCATGTATGGGTGTGGAGTATTATAACTGTATCATGTATGGGTTGTGGAGTATCATGTATGGGTGTGGAGTATTATAACTGTATCATGTATGGGTTGTGGAGTATTATAACTGTATCATGTATGGGTTGTGGAGTATCATGTATGGGTGTGGAGTATCATGTATGGGTGTGGAGTATTATAACTGTATCATGTATGGGTTGTGGAGTATTATAACTGTATCATGTATGGGTTGTGGAGTATCATGTATGGGTGTGGAGTATCATGTATGGGTGTGGAGTATTATAACTGTATCATGTATGGGTTGTGGAGTATTATAACTGTATCATGTATGGGTTGTGGAGTATTATAACTGTATCATGTATGGGTTGTGGAGTATTATAACTGTATCATGTATGGGTTGTGGAGTATTATAACTGTATCATGTATGGGTTGTGGAGTATTATAACTGTATCATGTATGGGTTGTGGAGTATTATAACTGTATCATGTATGGGTTGTGGAGTATTATAACTGTATCATGTATGGGTTGTGGAGTATTATAACTGTATCATGTATGGGTTGTGGAGTATTATAACTGTATCATGTATGGGTTGTGGAGTATTATAACTGTATCATATTGGTTGTGGAGTATTATAACTGTATCATGTATGGGTTGTGGAGTATTATAACTGTATCATGTATGGGTTGTGGAGTATCATGTATGGGTGTGGAGTATTATAACTGTATCATGTATGGGTTGTGGAGTATTATAACTGTATCATGTATGGGTTGTGGAGTATTATAACTGTATCATGTATGGGTTGTGGAGTATTATAACTGTATCATGTATGGGTTGTGGAGTATCATGTATGGGTGTGGAGTATTATAACTGTATCATGTATGGGTTGTGGAGTATTATAACTGTATCATGTATGGGTTGTGGAGTATTATAACTGTATCATGTATGGGTGTGGAGTATGTGGAGTATTATAACTGTATCATGTATGGGTTGTGGAGTATTATAACTGTATCATGTATGGGTTGTGGAGTATCATGTATGGGTGTGGAGTATTATAACTGTATCATGTATGGGTTGTGGAGTATTATAACTGTATCATGTATGGGTTGTGGAGTATTATAACTGTATCATGTATGGGTTGTGGAGTATCATGTATGGGTGTGGAGTATTATAACTGTATCATGTATGGGTTGTGGAGTATTATAACTGTATCATGTATGGGTTGTGGAGTATTATAACTGTATCATGTATGGGTTGTGGAGTATTATAACTGTATCATGTATGGGTGTGGAGTATTATAACTGTATCATGTATGGGTGTGGAGTATTATAACTGTATCATGTATGGGTTGCTTCTCCTGTGATATTCAGTGTGAGTATTATAACTGTATCATGTATGGGTTGTGGAGTATTATAACTGTATCATGTATGGGTGTGGAGTATTATAACTGTATCATGTATGGGTGTGGAGTATTATAACTGTATCATGTATGGGTTGTGGAGTATTATAACTGTATCATGTATGGGTTGTGGAGTATTATAACTGTATCATGTATGGGTTGTGGAGTATTATAACTGTATCATGTATGGGTTGTGGAGTATTATAACTGTATCATGTATGGGTTGTGGAGTATTATAACTGTATCATATTGGTTGTGGAGTATTATAACTGTATCATGTATGGGTTGTGGAGTGTCATAACTGTTTCATGTATGGGTTGTGGAGTATTATAACTGTATCATGTATGGGTTGTGGAGTGTCATAACTGTATCATGTATGGGTTGTGGAGTATTATAACTGTATCATGTATGGGTTGTGGAGTGTCATAACTGTATCATGTATGGGTTGTGGAGTATCATAACTGTATCATGTATGGGTTGTGGAGTATCATGTATGGGTTGTGGAGTATTATAACTGTATCATGTATGGGTTGTGGAGTATAACATCTGTAACCTTTATTAGTGTTGAGAATTGTACCTTTATCCTAATTGGATGTGCAGTGTACCTGTAACCTATATAGGTGTAGGGTAAACCTGTTTCTCAGGTGAAGATCTGAGGTATGAGGCTGATCTGAGGGTAAACCTGTTTCTCAGGTGAAGATCTGAGGTAAGAGGCTAAATCCCTACCCAGGGTGGTTTGTGTTTCTATGGAAGGTAAAACCTTAGACTCTCCTAAGCAGTTGTGGTTGTCTCCCTTGGCTTCTCCTGTGATATTCAGTGTGGTAGTCATCACCTACTGTAAGGAAGTTCTGTCTGTGGGTATGGGGTGTACCCCTCTATTGGTGTAGATTAATCGTTTGTCCTTTATGAAGTGGGGTTTATTGATTTTTTAGCGGAACAACTGCTCACCCTTTTCCATCTTTCTTTGTTTTCAACATCATATCCTGACCACAGTTTGGGCATTTCTTGATTGGTGAAGACGCTAAAGTTTCTAATGCTGGAAATAGACATTTTACTTTGATATCAATAGAAAGTCTCAAAAATAATGTTCTAGTTTTATAGAAAGGAAAACTCTTAATCAGGAATAACAAAAACCCAAAGATTTCTTCCTATAGGCTGATAAATGACAAGAACAAGTCTGATATGTACCTAGTACAACATCAGTATAGAACAAGACTGATATGTACCTAGTACAACATCAGTATAGAACAAGTCTGATATGTACCTAGTACAACATCAGTATAGAACAAGACTGATATGTACCTAGTACAACATCAGTATAGAACAAGACTGATATGTACCTAGTACAACATCAGTATAGAACAAGACTGATATGTACCTAGTACAACATCAGTATAGAACAAGACTGATATGTACCTAGTACAACATCAGTATAGAACAAGACTGATATGTACCTAGTACAACATCAGTATAGAACAAGTCTGATATGTACCTAGTACAACATCAGTATACTGACATATGTACCTAGTACAACATACCAGTATAGAACAAGACTGATATGTACCTAGTAGAACAAGTCATAGAACAAGACTGATATGTACCTAGTACAACATCAGTATAGAACAAGACTGATATGTACCTATATGTACCTAGTACAACATCAGATATGTACCTATACAACATCAGTATAGAACAACTGATATGTACCTGATATAGTACAACATCAGTATAGAACAAGTCTGATATGTACCTAGTACAACATCAGTATAGAACAAGTCTGATATGTACGTAGTACAACATCAGTATAGAACAAAGTAATGTTAGATATACTGACCATGTTCTGCAGGTAAAGGCTGGGCCTCCCCAAGGTACTTTGCTAGTGCTTCATCAATCTTTAAGGCCTACAGACAGAAACAAGGTCCTGTGATACAATGCATTTACCTGTCAGTGTTTACATTAGTTCAAAACCAAAATAATGTCTAGCAATTAAACTGGAATAGATTTCTTTTTTTTTCAGTAAAGATTGGCAAGAAATATATTTTATCCCTGACAGTGAGGTAATGAACATTAGATATGAAATATTAGGGTAAACCACTGATAAACCTCAGCATTTCTTTGATACTTATCTCGAACGTAAAAATGATCCCACACCAATATTCTATTGTACAAAGACAAGATCATATGTCAAGATACTGAGCATGTCAAGCTTTCTGAAGATTATAAAGGCTATCAAACCTACCTGTGTCAAAACACTGAGCATTCAAAGCTTTCTGAAGATTACAAAGGCTATCAAACCTACCTGTGTCAAAACACTGAGCATTTAAAGCTTTCTGAAGATTACAAAGGCTATCAAACCTACCTGTGTCAAAACACTGAGCATTTAAAGCTTTCTGAAGACTATAAAGGCTATCAAACCTACCTGTGTCAAAACCCTGAGCATTTCAAGCATTCTGAAGACTATAAAGGCTATCAAACCTACCTGTGTCAAAACACTGAGCATTTAAAGCTTTCTGAAGATTACAAAGGCTATCAAACCTACCTGTGTCAAAACCCTGAGCATTTCAAGCATTCTGAAGATTATAAAGGCTATCAAACCTACCTGTGTCAAAACACTGAGCATTTAAAGCTTTCTGAAGATTACAAAGGCTATCAAACCTACCTGTGTCAAAACACTGAGCATTCAAAGCTTTCTGAAGATTACAAAGGCTATCAAACCTACCTGTGTCAAAACACTGAGCATTTAAAGCTTTCTGAAGATTACAAAGGCCATCAAGCCTACCTGTGTCAAAACACTGAGCATTTCAAGCTTTCTGAAGATTATAAAGGCCATCAAACCTACCTGTGTCAAAACACTGAGCATTTCAAGCTTTCTGAAGATTACAAAGGCTATCAAACCTACCTGTGTCAAAACACTAAGCATTTCAAGCTTTCTGAAGATTACAAAGGCTATCAAACCTACCTGTGTCAAAACACTGAGCATGTCAAGCTTTCTGAAGATTATAAAGGCTATCAAACCTACCTGTGTCAAAACACTGAGCATTTAAAGCTTTCTGAAGATTATAAAGGCTATCAAACCTACCTGTGTCAAAACACTGAGCATTTAAAGCATTCTGAAGATTATAAAGGCTATCAAACCTACCTGTCGACATGCTTCTATAAAGACTTGTTTGTATTTCTGTTTCTGCTCTTCTAGGACAACTACAAATCAATACATGATATCCAGTGATGTAGCTTCAGTATATCATCGTTATTGTTTGTGTCCTTTCCTAATTAAATCTCACTATCTGTTGAACTGACAATTATGCCAGCAGAAAATTGGCCATGTGTAAACATGATTTAAAATTGTAACTGTTGTGTTTGATATTGTCTTTAGACTATTGTGAGCTAATTTTTTTAATTGTTGTGTTTGATGTTGTCTGGTGGCTTTGGTGTGCCAAAACATCTACTTATTGTGTTTTCTAATGTCCAAAGGCTTTGGTGTGCTAAAGATTCTAACTGTTATTTTTGGTATTGTCTGAAAAATTTGGAGAGCTAGAAGTTCTACCTGTTGTGTTTGGTATTGTCTGAAGGCTGTTCTATCTGTTGTGTTTGGTATTGCCTACAGGCTGTTCTATCTGTTGTGTTTGGTATTGTCTACAGGCTGTTCTATCTGTTGTGTTTGGTATTGTCTACAGGCTGTTCTACCTTTTGTGTTTGGTATTGCCTACAGGCTGTTCTATCTGTTGTGTTTGGTATTGCCTACAGGCTGTTCTATCTGTTGTGTTTGGTATTGTCTACAGGCTGTTCTATCTGTTGTGTTTGGTATTGTCTACAGGCTGTTCTATCTGTTGTGTTTGGTATTGTCTACAGGCTGTTCTATCTGTTGTGTTTGGTATTGCCTACAGGCTGTTCTATCTGTTGTGTTTGGTATTGTCTACAGGCTGTTCTATCTGTTGTGTTTGGTATTGTCTACAGGCTGTTCTATCTGTTGTGTTTGATATTGTCTGAAGGCTGTTCTATCTGTTGTGTTTGGTATTGTCTACAGGCTGTTCTATCTGTTGTGTTTGGTATTGCCTACAGGCTGTTCTACCTTTTGTGTTTGGTATTGCCTACAGGCTGTTCTATCTGTTGTGTTTGGTATTGTCTACAGACTGTTCTATCTGTTGTGTTTGGTATTGTCTGAAGGCTGTTCTATCTGTTGTGTTTGGTATTGTCTATAGGCTGTTCTATCTGTTGTGTTTGGTATTGTCTACAGGCTGTTCTACCTGTTGTGTTAGGTATTGTCTACAGGCTGTTCTATCTGTTCTGTTTGGTATTGTCTGAAGGTTGTTCTATCTGTTGTGTTTGGTATTGTCTACAGGCTGTTCTATCTGTTGTGTTTGGTATTGTCTACAGGCTGTTCTATATGTTGTGTTTGGTATTGTCTGAAGGCTGTTCTATCTGTTGTGTTTGGTATTGTCTACAGGCTGTTCTATCTGTTGTGTTTGATATTGTCTGAAGGCTGTTCTACCTGTTGTGTTTGGTATTGTCTACAGGCTGTTCTATCTGTTGTGTTTGGTATTGTCTACAGGCTGTTCTATCTGTTGTGTTTGGTATTGTCTGAAGGCTGTTCTATCTGTTGTGTTTGGTATTGTCTACAGGCTGTTCTATCTGTTGTGTTTGGTATTGTCTAAAGGCTACAGTGAGCTTAAAATAAAGAGCAATAAAATTATGAGCTATAATACAAACTTGTTATCATGAATAAAAGAAAAAAAAATAAGAAACAAAATATGTAAAACTACATCTATGATAACTGTACTGTTAAGTAAATTACATAACACGAAAATTGATTCATCTTCCTTTCTTTGCTAAATCTTTAATCAAAACGTAATGTTAAACCAAAATAATTAACAGCAATATTGTCTACAATTGAATTTTAACAGTAAAAGAAATATCAGTAGCTGTATGTAAACATCACATATACTTTACCATTTTTATCCTTTTGGCCGGCACAAATCCTAAGAGAACATAAAAATAAAATGTTTATTAGGTTACCAGTGAAATGTGAAATATTGAATTTATGTAGGAACTATTTACGTTTTATCAAGTATGTAATGACTGTAGATCTCTTAACTGATTATTTCTGACCTTTCAGTGGTCAAAACAAGTTTAAACATTAAATGATGTTCATTAATCAGAACACTTAATTATCTGAATAATTTTAAAGTATTTACCTTGTCAGATCTGCCTCTAATTCTGCTCTGAGGTGTGGTTTGGACATTTCATATCCCATAGCATCATATCCTGATAAGGACATCAAAGTCATAGTGTTAGGTAGACATCGAAAATTTTTTCATATACAAAATTATCCTTACCCTCAACAATTCCCAAATAAAGTATCACAGTATTATATACGTTACCTCAACAAGTCCCCTACAAAGTATTCAATATTATATAATTAACCTTAACAAGTCCCATACAAAGTATTCAGTATTATATATTTACTCTCAACAAGTTCCATACAAAGTATTCAGTATTATATACTTACCCTCAACAAGTCTCATACAAAGTATTCAGTATTATATATTTACCCTCAACAAGTCCCATACAAAGTATTCAGTATTATATACTTACCCTCAACAAGTCTCATACAAAGTATTCAGTATTATATACCTACCCTCAACAAGTCCCATACAAAGTATTCAGTATTATATACCGCACTTACCCTCAACAAGTCCCATACAAAGTATTCAGTATTATATACTTACCCTCAACAAGTCCCATACAAAGTATTCAGTATCATATACTTACCCTCAACAAGTCCCATACAAAGTATTCAGTATTATATATTTACCCTCAACAAGTTCCATACAAAGTATTCAGTATTATATACTTACCCTCAACAAGTCCCATACAAAGTATTCAGTATTATATACTGCACTTACCCTCAACAAGTCCCATACAAAGTATTCAGTATCATATACTTACCCTCAACAAGTCCCATACAAAGTATTCAGTATAATATACTTACCCTCAACAAGTCCCATACAAAGTATTCAGTATTATATACTTACCCTCAACAAGTCCCATACAAAGTATTCAGTATCATATACTTACCCTCAACAAGTCCCATACAAAGTATTCAGTATTATATACCGCACTTACCCTCAACAAGTCCCATACAAAGTATTCAGTATCATATACTTACCCTCAACAAGTCCCATACAAAGTATTCAGTATTATATACCGTACTTACCCTCAACAAGTCCCATACAAAGTATTCAGTATTATATACTTACCCTCAACAAGTCCCATACAAAGTATTCAGTATTATATACTTACCCTCAACAAGTCCCATACAAAGTATTCAGTATTATATATTTACCCTCAACAAGTCCCATACAAAGTATTCAGTATTATATATTTACCCTCAACAAGTCCCATACAAAGTATTCAGTATTATATACTTACCCTCAACAAGTCCCATACAAAGTATTCAGTATATATATTTACCCTCAACAAGTCCCATACAAAGTATTCAGTATTATATACTTACCCTCAACAAGTCCCATACAAAGTATTCAGTATTATATACTTACCCTCAACAAGTCCCATACAAAGTATTCAGTATTATATACTTAACCTTAACAAGTCCCATACAAAGTATTCAGTATTATATACTTACCCTCAACAAGTCCCATACAAAGTATTCAGTATTATATATTTACCCTCAACAAGTCCCATACAAAGTATTCAGTATTATATACTTACCCTCAACAAGTCCCATACAAAGTATTCAGTATATATACTTACCCTCAACAAGTCCCATACAAAGTATTCAGTATTATATATTTACCCTCAACAAGTCCCATACAAAGTATTCAGTATTATATACCTACCCTCAACAAGTCCCATACAAAGTATTCAGTATTATATACTTACCCTCAACAAGTCCCATACAAAGTATTCAGTATTATATACTTACCCTCAACAAGTCCCATACAAAGTATTCAGTATTATATATTTACCCTCAACAAATCCCATACAAAGTACTCGGAGTAATATACTTACCCTCAACAAGTCCCATTCCAAGATGACCAGGAATGAACCTGTTGTCTCCCTGTAGTCCAACATACATCCGACTTTTGATGGTCTCTATATGCTCAGCATGTGTGGCATCAGTTCCTGTTATACATATAATCAGTATTACTTTACTGCTGCCTTCTCAAGGCCTTGAATAGGAGACTATTACTGCTGCCTTCTCAAGGCCTTGAACAGGAGACTATTACTGCTGCCTTCTCAAGGCCTTGAACAGGAGACTATTACTGAAAGTCCTTTTAGATAGATTGAGAACTGGATATTGATATTCTATTTCATTACCATTAACATTTCAACAGGATGGTAACCAAACTTATGTATCTATATGTAACAAAGCATAAATGATGCACCAATTCCATGTTTGTCCATCAGGGCAATCAGGTCTGCCTCAGATAACAGAGATGGAGCGCTGGTCTCTGATTCAATCATCTGCATGAAAAAAGGAAAACATCACACTGACAGAATTGTTCTTTTGGAAGTAAAAACCATGTAAAATTGTTTTAAATTCTAATATTGGTAAAATTTGTGATGAAATTAATTGTCTACATACTGAAAAATTCAAACAAGCATACTGTGTATTGCTAAAGTAATAGATGTCCCCTTACTAATGACTAATGAAGATGGGAGTGCTTGGTGTTCATTTGGGAAAAAAAAGTTTACAATTATAATTGAATTCAATGTAATAATACAATAAATAAATATGACAATCTAACAATACAGTTTCATCACCAATGTGTAATAATGTGTTATGGTCATTTGTAAGTGTATAAGGTTTAACTAAAATTCTGTAAGGAATGAACGAATAAAGTGCTGACAATCATTTTCTAAAAACGACCTTGACTCTAATTAAACAACCCTGAAACTCAGATATGATAAGATATTTTAGAGCTTTAAAAGTATATGAAATATATAGTATATGAAATTTGATGAAAATCCCTTCAGAAATGAGGCCAGAGGAGATTTGATAATCATTTCCTCGATGCTTTATGTGTAAAATCTGATGCAAATCCCTCCAGGCATGAAGCTGCTAGAGCACTGACAAACTTTTGTGTTACACATGTCTATGTATGTAGACTAACAGATTGAAAACTTGAAAACTATTGTCCCCCCCTCCCTCCCTTCATCAACCCCCCCCCCCCCCCCCCCCCCCACTTTCACCAATAGGGGGAATTATACCATAATGAAATATCTGAGAAATTTATAGAGAGAAAGTCTTCTAATGGGAAACATTTGTATACCTCAATGGAGTTTGGCTGGAAACTGTCGCCTTGACTGTACACAGGAATAACCTACAACATAGAGGCACACATCACAACAGACAGGGTAGAGTTGTTCGTTAGTGAGCTAATTAATGAAAAAATATCATTTATCTGTAATTTAATCAGTCCATTAAATTCATGACATACCTGATAGAAAAGGTATGGGGTCACCTGAACAACAGCTTTCCCCCTAGGAAAACTAAAGTGTCATCCCACTGTAATACCATCAGCGTGCTTTAATACGACCCAACAAGAGTGAATATAACCTATATGATTGTTTTGTAATTGTTCAAAAAATAAATTTTATATCATAAGTCATCCAAATGTTTGTGTTTGAGATGAACCAATCAAATAATTAATTATGCACACTTCAAACTAGACAATGCCCCTACTAGAAGATTCCAGAACTAGTGTCTGAGTGTATTAACCAATATGTATGTTTGGACATTACATATACCTTGGCATTCCATCGCTCATATGGGTACACATCTAGGTAGTTCCTCGCAGTAATCATTAGGCCTTGAGCTGAAAACTAAATATACATAATTCATTACAAGACCTTCAACTTGACGGGTTGGTTTAAGTAGCAGCATTATAACACAATCTTACTGTGTGCTATATTTATAGATAATCAATCACATTAAATATTGGGTCAAAATAAAACATGTCTATATTCATTAAGTATTTAACTTGTAGCCAAAAGATATATAAAAAATGATCAGCAAAATTGGCAAACAAACTACCTTTTCATCAGCTATGTCTATTTCCACAACTGTTTCCTGTCCTTGGGCATCCCTGGAGCACGTCGCCAGGAAATGTCTCACAATAAACTCATAAACTCTTTTTTCGTTGCCCTGTTAGTCAAAATAAAAGAATGTAACGGTTGAAAAATATTAATATCAAATCCAGTCTTAACCTGACCATAATATCAAACTTGTGTCACAATATTAAAAATTTGAAATAACTGACTGTCAGACTTTTAACTGTCCCAGAACTCAGTGGGTCTTCAAGGGTAGCAGACTTGACTGTCAAGAGTACTTCAAGAGGTGCCTGAGGGTGACACAATGTTGCAGTATTTGGTGGGCTGAATGAGGCCGACGCAATGTCGCAGTATTTGGTGGGGTGAATGAGGGTGACACAATGTTGCAGTATTTGGTGGGGTGAATGAGGCTGACGCAATGTTGCAGCGTTTGGTGGGGTGAATGAGGCCGACGCAATGTCGCAGTATTTGGTGGGGTGAATGAGGGTGACACAATGTTGCATTATTTGGTGGGGTGAATGAGGGTGACACAATGTTGCAGCATTTGGTGAGGTGAATGAGGCTGACGCAATGTTGCAGCATTTGGTGGGGTGAATGAGGCCGACGCAATGTCGCAGTATTTGGTGGGGTGAATGAGGGTGACACAATGTTGCATTATTTGGTGGGGTGAATGAGGGTGACACAATATTGCATTATTTGGTGGGGTGAATGAGGATGACACAATGTTGCAGCATTTGGTGGGGTGAATGAGGGTGACACAATGTTGCAGCATTTGGTGGGGTGAATGAGGGTGACACAATGTTGCAGCATTTGGTAGGGTGAATGAGGGTGACACAATGTTGCAGCATTTGGGTGGGTGAATGAGGGTGACCCAATGTTGCAGCATTTGGTGGGGTGAATGAGGGTGACACAATGTTGCAGCATTTGGGTGGGTGAATGAGGGTGACACAATGTCCCAGTGTTTGGTAGGGTATACAAGGATGACACGATTTCGCAGAATTTTGAGGGGTGTATTTAAGTGAAAGACTTTTCAAAGTGGCTTGGCATATAAAAATGGCACATTGTTAAATGTACATACCTGTAGTCTGTCACAATACTTGGTAGGGTGAATTGGAGGATGTGCCTGATCTGTCTTTTTGCCATTACGGGGTTGTGGTCCTTGCTCTAAAACTCTTCTGGCAAAGTCTGTCGGTAAGAAACAGAAAACAAACCATAGTTTGAACTTCTAACAAATAATGAAAAAAGTATTTTGATGCATTGCATTTTTCTCAATCCATCTTTAATGCAAACCAGTTTGTTCTTTTAATGCAAATGGAGATCTTTTCTGGCTTTCCTGTGCGGCAATAAATTTGACAAATAAATCTATCATTTGCCTGCTGTTCATACCGAAAACTTGTTCAATCTTGTTTAATTCATATTCTATAGAATGTTTCTGCCACTCTCAATCATTTCCAGTCACTCAACACATGCATTATCAATGCATAATTTGTCTAAATAAAGACAGTTACCTCCCCAATCTCCATCAACAGTCTGCTGTTCTACCAGCCTTCCAAGGTCAAGGTCAGATGGGAACTTGTTGGTCTCTGTACGAGGGTAGCTTATGTATCCTTCAGTGTACAGCTTTTCTGCTATTTTCATTGTCTCCTTCGCATTGATTCGTAACTTTCTCGAGGCAAGCTTTTCCAATTCCTTAAAAAAATCATTTTCAAATATCTATATTAATGATAAGTTAAAATCAATGGTATGTTAAAATTAGATAGTGTGGACAAAGTATTCATGATTAGATATACACACCAAAGTATTCCCCATTAGGTCTACATACCACAGTATTCCCCATTAGGTCTACATACCACAGTATTCCCTGTTAGATCCACATACCACAGTATTCCCCATTAGGTCTACATACCACAGTATTCCCCATTAGGTCTACATACCACAGTATTCCCTGTTAGATCCACATACCACAGTATTCCCCATTAGGTCTACATACCACAGTATTCCCCATTAGGTCTACATACCACAGTATTCCCCATTAGGTCTACATACCACAGTATTCCCCATTAGGTCTACATACCACAGTATTCCCTGTTAGATCCACATACCACAGTATTCCCCACTAGGTCTACATACCACAGTATTTCCCATTAGGTCTACATACCACAGTATTCCCTGTTAGATCCACATACCACAGTATTCCCCATTAGGTCTACATACCACAGTATTCCCTGATAGTTCTACATACCACAGTATTCCCTGTTAGATCCACATACCACAGTATTCCCTGTTAGATCCACATACCACAGTATTCCACACTAGGTATACATACAACAGTATTCCCCATTAGGTCTACATACCACAGTATTCCCATTAGGTCTACATACCACAGTATTCCCTGTTAGATACACATACCACAGTATTCCCCATTAGGTCTACATACCACAGTATTATCCACATACCACAGTATTCCCCATTAGGTCTACATACCACAGTATTCCCCATTAGGTCTACATACCACAGTATTCCCCATTAGGTCTACATACCACAGTATTCCCCATTAGGTCTACATACCACAGTATTCCCCATTAGGTCTACATACCACAGTATTCCCCATTAGGTCTACATACCACAGTATTCCTTGTTAGATCCACATACCACAGTATTCCCCACTAGGTCTACATACCACAGTATTCCCCATTAGGTCTACATACCACAGTATTCCCTGTTAGATCCACATACCACAGTATTCCCCATTAGGTCTACATACCACAGTATTCCCTGTTAGATCCACATACCACAGTATTCCCCATTAGGTCTACATACCACAGTATTCCCCATTAGGTCTACATACCACAGTATTCCCTGTTAGATCCACATACCACAGTATTCCCCATTAGGTCTGCATACCACAGTATTCCCCATTAGGTCTACATACCACAGTATTCCCTGTTAGATCCACATACCACAGTATTCCCCATTAGGTATACATACCACAGTATTCCCCATTAGGTCTACATACCACAGTATTCCCCGTTAGGTCTACATACCACAGTATTCCCCATTAGGTCTACATACCACAGTATTCCCCATTAGGTCTACATACCACAGTATTCCCCATTAGACCTACATACCACAGTACTTCTCACTAGGTCTACATACCACAGTATTCCCCATTAGGTCTACATACCACAGTATTCCCCATTAGGTCTACATACCACAGTATTCCCTGTTAGATCCACATAGTAGATCCACATACCACAGTATTCCCCATTAGGTCTACATACCACAGTATTCCCTGTTAGATCCACATACCACAGTATTCCCCATTAGGTCTACATACCACAGTATTCCCTGTTAGATCTACATACCACAGTATTCCCCATTAGGTCTACATACCACAGTATTCCCTGTTAGATCTACATACCACAGTATTTCCTGTTAGGTCTACATACCACAGTATTCCCCGTTCGATATACCTACCATAGTATTCCCCACTAGGTCTACATACCACAGTGTTCTCCATTAGGTCTACATACCACAGTGTCCCCCACTAGGTATACCTACCACAGTATTCCCCATTAGGTCTACATACCACAGTATTTCCCACTAGGTATACCTACCACAGTATTCCCAATTAGGTCTACATACCACAGTATTCTTCACTAGGTCTACATACCACAGTATTCCCCATTAGTTCTACATACCACAGTGTCCCCCACTAGGTATACCTACCACAGTATTCCCCACTAGGCATACCTACCACAGTATTCCCCACTAGGCATACCTACCACAGTATTCCCCACTAGGTATACCTACCACAGTATTCCCCACTAGGTATACCTACCACAGTATTCCCCACTAGGTATACCTACCACAGTATTCCCCACTAGGTATACCTACCACAGTATTCCCCACTAGGTATACCTACCACAGTATTCCCCACTAGGTCTACATACCACAGTATTCCCCACTAGGTATACCTACCACAGTATTCCCCACTAGGTATACCTACCACAGTATTCCCCACTAGGTATACCTACCACAGTATTCCCCACTAGGTATACCTACCACAGTATTCCCCACTAGGTATACCTACCACAGTATTCCCCACTAGGTATACCTACCACAGTATTCCCCACTAGGTATACCTACCACAGTATTCCCCACTAGATATACCTACCACAGTATTCCCCACTAGGTATACCTACCACAGTATTCCCCACTAGGTATACCTACCACAGTATTCCCCACTAGATATACCTACCACAGTATTCCCCACTAGGTATACCTACCACAGTATTCCCCACTAGATATACCTACCACAGTATCCAGTGGCTGAGGTCTCCACTTGCTCTTACTTTTACACTTGACATCCTTTACTGTTGCTGTAGGATTCTGAGGGAAAAATGTTTTTAACATGAACGTTATTAATCAATAAAATCAATTATACAAAAATGAGTTGAAATAAACATATAAACCAGACCTGTTACAACGTGTGATTAAAACAGAATCAGACTGTGGATTATGTAAAAACCAGACAGTTTGATACAGTCTCAGTTGTAATTCTGGAGTTTAAGTTGAAGGCCTGTAGTATGGACAGGCTGTAGTAATTGTACAGAGCATGGTTTTTCTTCAGAATATTTCACACAAAATACTTGTTAACAAAAAGGTGAAAAATATTACTCATTGCTGGTAAACTAAAAAATATGAAGAAAGTCAAAACACAATGGAATATATTTCTTACTCTTACAACCTGAACATTTTGTTAAATAGAAAATGGAGTGAGACTTACTTCGGTGCAGTGTTCATATAAAACCAGGCATGCAGTGTTGTCAAAAAGGCGGACCCTGAAATATGACATGTATGTTAAATGGATACACTACAACGATATATCAAATACATGTATGTTAAATGGATACACTACAACGATATATCAAATACATGTATGTTAAATGGATACACTACAACGATATATCAAATACATGTATGTTAAATGGATACACTACAACGATATATCAAATACATGTATGTTAAATGGATACACTACAACGATATATCAAATACATGTATGGCCAGAAATAAATCAACAATTATCTGGATAGCAGTTTAATAGAAAAGGTAGGTATAATTCTACAGCATTATTAAAAGCATTATTAATCAACTCTATTAACCCTTTAGTGGCGTGTTAAGGAGCTGAAAGAAACCAATGATAGGAATATTCCATCCGTGACCGATTGCATACTTCTTAAAGAAGTAAGATGTTTTTGTTTCTTTTTTTTTGTTCTTGCTTTAAATCATGAAAAAATTTTAAATTCCTCTAAGAAATAGTGAAAATAATCTTCAATTGTTAAATCTTAGATTTAAGCCTGGTGGGCATTTTGGTTTTCTGATAATGAAACAGGTAAAACTACCAACCAAGGGTCACCTATGTACAATTTTTTTCTTTTAATCATCCCATACTTCTATACAGACAGACAGAAATATTCTTAGAAATCAAAGAGTCCATGTTGTTAATCTAAAATGTCCCTTCTTCTATCATAAGATCAGACAGCTGAATACATAAAGAAAACTGTATTATAATACACACCGTTTCCAGTTGAATTCTATGGTACTCTCTTCCTGTTTGTGAGTAACTGTAAAAAACATCAACAGAATTTCATGAAATATCTTCCTCTACATATATATGACTCTGCCATCTTCGTTAGACAAATAACCAGAGAAGAATATGTTCACTGAGGTGTAATGAAGTAATCACAGATAAAGAAATCATGGAAGCATTGTGTAAAATCAAATTAGTGACAGTTCCTGTGAGGACTATCTTCACTACTCATTTGATTGACTGAAATCAACAAAATAATCAAATGCAAAAAAATTCATTCACACACTGGAATCAAAGTGTTAAGGGTAGGAATAACTTACCTAGAAAAACAAAATATCAGAAGTTAAAAACTTTAAGTCGTAACAGATAAATATTTTAACACTTCATTATTTTTGAAGTATTTGGATATGTAACTTGTGACGATTGGTGATTGTAACAAAATAATATCTTTTGTTATTTTCTTCTAACCTTTTATTTTCCAAAATGGCTCTGGTACAAAAGCTTGTACCTGTTTGTACCTCTCGACCACAAAACCAAGGGTAGGGAACTGACAGCTGCCATAGCTGATTAGCTGATCTGATAAAACTTCAGGGAATATCTTCTGTAGTCTTAAAGTTTGGAATCTTGTAAAAGCAGCCCCTAAAATGTAAGTACAGTATACCATAAATTTCAATAGATAGCTATGTTTCTGTTACAGAATACCTGCAATTGGAAAAAGTAAATGTGAAGTGTGTTGCTGACAAGCAATGTTTTCAAATTATTTATGATGGAGTTTTATGAATCTGGATGTTTATGTACAGACCTATCCGAAGGTCTAATTCTTGCCGAACATCAACAGCATCACTAGTATTCTTGTCAGGTTCTACTAGGTTCCTACAGGCTCTTTGTATAGCTCTGTAAAACAAAAAATCATGACAAATATTACTGACCTACATGTCAAATGGACATTGGAGTTGTAGAATGTCTTCTGGAACCTTGACCTTTGACCTGGTACCTAGACAATTGGTCACATTGTTTTTTGTTCCGTTGTTTACAATTTTCTTTCACGATTTCCTAAAAATACATCTAGCATTTAGGAGACACGAACTTGACCACTATGACCTTGAAATTTGATCTGACCTGATGACCTAAACACCTAGATTCAGAATGTCCCTGCAATATATATATATCTGTGAACAGAAACAAACTTTGACTTCTGTGTCCTGGATCCTTTACCGTTTGTTAAATTATCAAGATTGATTCCCACTTACATTGCCAAGTTTCATCAAAATCCATGCTATATGTGGCCGAGATGAAACTAGGATTTTTCAGTTCCTGCTATTAGGTTGTATAAATCAAGTTCTATTTTAAAAAAGTGACTTAGACCTTACAAGGACAGATGTTCAAAGTGTGAATTTGAGATATTTTAGTTTATAAGATCTATGTTTTATAAAAATATGACATATGGTAGGAGGGATGGACAAAATAAAAAAGGAGACATCCTGTCAAAGGCAGGAGTAAATTACAGAAGAGACACCAATTTACTGAGCTATGATAAAATTACAGTTCCACAGGAAAGGAACTTAATAAAAAAAGCACAGGTTGACACGACAGATAGATGTTGAAAAAATGAAAATGTCTATCAACTTACTGTGGTGTGATCTCAGAAAATTTGGCTCTGTATATTGGTATGTTTGGTTTCACTGAAATGGAAATTGGCTATGTATAGTGACAAACTTTATACATGTACTAATGGGAGCATAACAGGGAAAAGATTGTAAGTCTTCTCATCTGACACAGACACTTTGTTGTGTATGTTATCACTTAAATATATATATACACAAGTACCAGTATTTTTCTTTATCAAACAATTCGTTACCAAACTTTCATTTTGTTTTAGGAAATATTCAGTTCCAAACAAAATAATGAAAGATATTGTAGTCACAAAATTTCAAACATTTAAACAGATCTCTAATGAAGTTTGTAGGCTTCTAACTTTTCATTAGTAACTTGATACAGTAATAAATATCACAAAGGCTGAGATTATTTAAAACTTTCTACCTACCACTTCTACAAACTTGAATAATTTCAAATCCAATGTTTTCCCCTTCTCTGTCACCGTCTGTCCAAATGATCAAAGAATGTGCTCCTCTTACCTCCCTTTCCAGAGTTCTCTACACATGAACAAAAATCATCATATGTTTCATGACATTATCATTTACACAGTGTCTTCCTACAATGATGACTATGTGAGTGTTATATACACGTATAAGAAAGGAAAGTTATTGCAAATTTTGTATCAGTTTCACTTCAAGGTTTCTCTTAAAATTGCATGATAGATATATAACTATGAGAGTAACTTCACAATGAAAACAAAGTGCAGAATACTAGAGTCAGTTATATCACTGACAAAGATAACGGCTATACATAACAATTATCTTATGAAAACGTAGAATACTGACTCATCAGAAACGACCATCTATGATATTCAGTTTGATCAGTACTACAATATAAAAGCATCCCCTTAAATGTCATACCACATGAACATGAGAATTGATACGTGTATGTATCACATTGAGTTTTCATGTAATCTCCATTAATGTTTTCTATATTATCATTGTTTTTCAGTCTAAAAATGAGACCAAGAGACTTAGGTTAATAATAGTTCATGAAAATCTTATCATCCCTTCTAAAGATATCGTTAAGAAAGGAATAGACCATTCAGATTGCAGCACTAAATATGAAGACTCTCCGAACATAAATCGTTAGATGACCTGCATGGGTAATAATTCTTTAACATTTTGTTTTTCTGACCAGTCCCAGACAACCTAATCACCATTGGACATCTGCAACATGAAGTGTGGGCCTACTTAATGCAGGTGCCCTTATTAAAATGATGTTTATCCTAGCTTTTTTTCATTTACATGAAATCTCCAAAATAGGTTTCAGATTTTCGAGTGTACCGTAAGTGTTATGCTATAGTTAGCTGTAAAATACTCCAAATTACACAATAAAAGGTAAAGAGAGTGTGAATGTTGTAGTTACTTCCGTTTCCAAGATATTGTGATTTATCTGAAATGCACACCTTTGACTCAACAGTGACTGCCTCAATATATCAGGAAACTTCCAGCGTGTGTTCGATATGTGAGCTTTTTAGCTACTTATGTGATATATCCCACTGACACTTACTTCTGTAGGTTATATCTAAAGTGCTACATACATATAAAAATGACTTTTTTATAATTGCAGAAAAAACGATATACACACATATGGACGCTATCAAGATTTTTTTTTTTCATTATTCATGAATCTAGTGACTGTCAATTTTATACTTTTTTTATTACCCAACTGATTTCTAGAAATTATGACAGATCTTGATTTGTACAAAACAAACCGACAACTGATTAAAAATTCTGTCAAGTTAACAAAGTGCACCTGCCAACAATTTTGTTATTTTATGCTTACTCAATCCAGTGATTTTAGGAAGTGTTAAATGTACTAACTAAATTTAGGAGATCTGCACAGGGAGAGCTGTTCGTTCAAATCTCACAAAAATAGATAATGCATCAATGAACCATATCACCAGGCTTATTCATTTCATTCATTGATAACTTTCTTCAAATCAGTCCTTATACATTTCCTTGTTAATTAACATTCACCTGCGATCTAACGTTGTATAGCTATTCTCAATATCACCTATTCCTGGCACGACAGCTGCTTCAATTCATTGAACTTGTGACAGGGTCCTATTCAGCGCAAGTCACCCTTAGGCTGATTAGTAGTAGAAGGTGAAAATTCTACACTTTATACACCAATATCCTGATATTGGGCTGTCCCATTTTGATGCAGTTTTCAAACTTTTTGATTTTGGATCACAAGAAATAATACTATATTCCCTTTTATTTTCACTCACTTTAAAATGGAGTAATGTAGAATTGCAAATTATAGACATTTGCTGCAAGCACCTGTTACTTTTTCTAATAGTAGAAAACTTGTTAGGTTGACATCACCTCCCCTCTTTCCATAGGTGGTATATATCACATGGCAAATTTGTCTGTTGTAAAGAGAAGTACCGACAAGAAAAAGAAATTCAAACAAGGTTTCCTTGCAGATCCCTGCCTAAAATGTCTGGCAGATTAGCTATCATAGTTTTCCAGCATTTTATTATGTTACCATGGTGATCCATAGAAGTATAACTTACCTTGATATCTGTGAAATTCTGAGGACAGTACTTCTCCACCTCAACATCAAACAGGGCAACAGGATTACAGCTATACCTAGAGGTTAACATGTAAGGAACAACTATCATATACATAATATTTCAAATAAATCATGATCAACTGACTCAACACCTTAAAAAAAACTATATCAACTGAAAGTTTTGTCGTTCTTTCCATATTTTATTTTTGCTAACAAATTATATCTAAGTATCAAAGAATAATTTCAACATCACATCATACAAACCATTTTTTGTAGTTTCCTACAAAGTCCAGCCCTAAAAGATGTCCGGACACAGATGTCATGGTCATAGTACAATTGTTGTGATTCAGAATGTTGTACTCATACTCATAAATCTTGTTGAATTTGGAAAATCCTTCTCTCTACAACAGATCAATATAGAATGACTAGAAAGACAACATGTACCATACCTTTTCAAACAGGTTCATAAGTACACATACTATGTACCAAGGCTAACTAACAAATTTATCTACAAGTGTAATAGCTGTCTGTGGCTATAACTGCATTACAATTGCAATATTTGGATGTACGCAGGATATTTGTTTGAATTCAATGACTGTGTTTAAGATTTTTCCAACAAACACTTATAAGGCACTATAAGAATAATTATAGGTGGTAATGAAAATCTTTTTAAAGAAAAGGACAGTTCATGTAATAATGGTGACTTTATTAAAAATTTAACAAATTTCTTTTTAGAAATGTAACATTTGTACTGATTTTCTTAAATATAATCAAATAATCTCAGCAATATTTATAAAATTACAAAAATAAAACAGGAATCATGAGCTTAACTCAACCAAGTAAACATTGCTTTATCCAAATACTAAAAGATCAATCACAATTTATGATTTACTAAACAGAAAGAAAACTCTCAAAAGCTTAGGGCAAAGAAAACAGTGGGGACAAATTTCTGATTTTGATGATGACTTTAACATGTAAGCTCTGCCTGTAGAAATCACGAAAAACTATAGTCTTCCACCATATCCAAACATCAAACTCATTTCTTTCTTAAAGCAAAGCTAAGTGTTCCTCTTGCCTTCTGTTATTTAAGGTACAGCGTATTATAAAGGAGAAAAATGGGGCACAAGTCTTGAATTTCATCAATTACTTTTTGTACCCTCATTGAGGTACAGTACATTTATTTTGGAAATGTGATCACTTCCAAAATATAATTTATAGTCTGGATATGCTATTGAAGGGTTTATTGACACCTTCTGGCAGGTTTAACATCCACTACAACTGCCTTTCAGCAGATAAAGCAGATTATCTGGTTATTCTGCATACAAAACAGTGTCTGTACACAAGTCAATAAATATTAATTCATTAGACTAGATTTTCTATCCTTGTATTTTCAAGTCCTAACTTGTACTAAAGTGGAGATGCCAACTGACGACGACGACGATGACGGCGATGATGATGTAAAAGCAGTAACGTGAGAGGGTGTTAATACGATTTTATGTCATCATGTATTCCATATGAAATCTTCAGAAAATGAAAAAAAAAATTTAAATGATAAAGTTGTGTATGAATGGAAGAAAGTTCATATTTACCAGCACATACCACAACACAAACAACCAATAAATATATCAATTTAAAGCCACTCAACCTAACCAAAACTAGATTTTCAGGGCAGGAAGTGAGGATTTTAATTTTGAAAGATCCTATCATTCCAGGGATAAAATTCAATCTGAAAAGGGAACCTGATAAGACAAACCAATGTAAACTGGAAGGGTCGCAACTCCTTGGTTTGGTAGTACTCATCAAGAAAGGCTGGACAAGCAACTCTCTTGGTTACAGTGCACATGGTTCTGTATCGAATGTTGTATTATTGTATTGCCCGACAATGTCTTTCAGGGAAAGCATGAAGTGGGAAAATCTTGTGCACAGCAGTGTTGTAACAGTGAGTTACACTGCTCATCATACCATTAGGTAGTATTCATAGAGACACATCATCTTCCAATATTTTGATTAAACAATAGCATGGCTGATGGGAGTTCAGAGAAGTTGGGCCATTGCAATGATTATGCAAGTCAAAGGCAAATACAGGTTGCAAGACATTTTGATGTCTATATTTTCATTATAGAACATCTTGTTAGACGTCTAAAGGAAACTGGGTGGGTTGCTGACACACCTAGGTCTGGGTTTCCGCATGTTACTTCACAATGTCAGGACAGATTTATTCATCTCACACATTTGCGCAATCAACACTTTACTGCCACTAAATCTGCCCTTCATACCATAGGTACTCATAACCGTCCTATACATGCCAGACTTGGAAAAATTTTATTTAAAGCACTCGCCCTTTGGGTGAGTGACATTTAAAATCAACTCGCCCGAACTTTCTACTAGCCCAAAAATTACTTTTAGTTTAATGTATTTTATGACAGATTTTGCCGTGAACTGTTTATTTGAAATAATTTGATAGTAGTAATAAATGGTATCATTGTGTGTAACATTTTTTTATGATTGATCATTAAACTTATATTCACAAAAAATAAAGTGGTTTTTTTTTCTTTGATTAGTTTTAATTGTGGAGACTGAGTACACAGTCACATGATTCAGAGTAATTAATTTTAAGTCTCTTCACATTCAGAATCGGGCTTTGGCCTTTTAACTCATGGTCCACTACATCGATGACCTTTAATGTTTCTGCCCCCTAGGCCCGAATCAAGCCACTCTCAAACCCCTGGTTCTGGATCAATGTCCCCAATTGGAACTCTGTCTACATGTATTCTAAGGAGGGAGGAAAGTGACCTTGCCCCTAATCTTGTCCTCAGTTCTGTCTTAATTCTGTTTTGAGCACTGAAGCCTCTCTCACATGAAGTTGTTGATGGTGACACATACAGCATTATCTGGACAAGTCGAAGGATGTTTTTCATGTCCTCAGGTTGTTGCTGAAGCAGCCCCTGGTACACATCAATCATCTTGTTGGTCTTCAGATACTGTACGTGTAGTTTGAGGTTCATCCACTCCTCTATAGCATTTTCTCTTTCCTCCTCAGTCAAAACTCGTAATATTCATAAATTCCACGAATTTTTTGTCAGGATACCAAGACAATCTTTAGTTACAGAAAATTTGGGGGAACAAGGTTCTGTTTATGATATCTAATAACAGGTCTGCTAAATTTCCCCAAATTCCGGAAAGAAACGTTTCAGCTGTCGGTGTCACTTACCTCCAAGCCATTCAAACTCTTCAAACCAAGAGTTTACAACTGTTCTTTTCCTTTTTAAATCATACTTTGAATGATCTTTGCTTGGTTTCTCCTTATTCGCCTCTGTTGACATACCAAAGTGATCCCTCATGTTGAAGTTCACCATCTTATTTTTGTCGTCAGGACGCTTAAGCAGTTTACAAGCGTCTGTGTGATCTATTACTTGAAGGGACAGACTAAATTCCGGACTTTTTCGACATGATGACCAAATTGTTACTCGCCAGTCAGGCGTGTGCGTGGCAAAAATTACGTGCCCAAATCGATGTTTTAGTCACCATTGCGACTGGGTGAGTGGATTTTTCCAAGCCTGCATGCACAAACTGTAAGGAACATATTGCGGGACGTTAGTCTGTGGGTATATCACTCTTTTGTATGTCTGCCCTTTACTGCTATTTGTTGCCAGCATCATATGACTTGGGTGGTGGCACATTACCCCTATTATTCCTATTGAAGCAGAATAGGCAGGTCTTGTATACTGATGAGTCCTGGTTCACCCTGTTTCGAGCAGACGTTGAAAGTCGTGGAAAACGTGGATTGGTTATGGTGTGGGGAGGAATTTCACATGGAGTTAAATCACCACTCGTAATGGTAGCGGGTAATCTGTCACTATGTATAGAGAGGAGATCCCGCGACCCTATGTGGTCCAATTATTGCAGCAAAACAACCTCACATTCCAGCAAGATAACGCTTGGCCCCATGTAGCGAGGATCTGTCGCTACTTTCTCATTAACAACAATATCCACCCACTGGACTGGCCGCTATACAGCCCTGACCTATCCCCTATTAAGCACTTGTGGGACAAGCTGGACTGACAAGTTCGACAATGCTTCCCCTTATTACTCAGGTAAAACTGAGAGCAGCTCTCTTGAAAGAATGAGCCAACAACGAGGAGGATAAACTAACTCATAACTCTATGCCTAGCAGAATCAGGACTGTGGAGAGAGTGAATGGGGTACATACCCTGTATTGACTAGCCTGCTCCTACAATCAGTCTATTTCGAATTCAGATTACAGAGTTCTCTTTTAATTCCATTCAATTACTCCTAAATCACTTTCCAGATGCAAATCGTTGATTTTGCAGTTTGTTCTATATGGATTAATTTTCATTCTTACTTAAACATGTTGATGATTATACACTACATCTTGCCTAGAATCATCTTCAAAGTTTACCCTGCGTTTCTTTATCCCTTGAATATATATTCTGGAGTTAATTATTTATTTTGAAACAAAATATTCATACCATTTTCTCTTAAGTTTTTTCTCTCTGTTTATTCTTTTCATGTCATTTGTTTTGTACTTCTTTGCCTTCATGTTGTATAAGTTATATGTGCATGAATTAAATAGAAACTTGTTTTGATGTAAGCACACAAGAGTCTTCGTGTGGGAGGAAACTGGAGTAAATCCTATTCATTCAGAGAACTGAACCCGTAATGGCTGGATGAAAGACAATTGCATTGCCACTGTGTCACCCAACCACCATCTAATGATGATGATGATGATGCATTGGTGTCTTGAAGAAGAAGAAGAAGAAGACAAAAAGATGATGATAATGATGATGATGATGATGATGATGATGATGATGATGATGATGATGATGATGATGATGACACAATGGTTCATGTGGGTGTGTCGGCGTAAGGATCTAGTTTAAAATATCGAACCTTTTTTTACCCGCTTCAATGACCCCATGAATCGGACAGTTAAAATATACATCTTGTAGATTAACTTGCGCTCACTTTTAGGCAGTGCTCATTTCATATCATTTTAAGGTATATAAGTGTAATCAGTTTCCCTTCCTTCTGGAAGCGTGCCATATAAAAGCAGCCCAACTAATCCGGATGAAAGGTCACGCAGGTCAACAGTCCACAACACTGCTTCACAAAATCGCAGCTCCGGAATACTGTCAGACTAGCGGTCAGGAACCGATGTCGCTACGAAAAGAATATTTCACAATCTGCTTACCTTTCGAGCACTTCCCCTTGACATAACTGCAGCGATTGACTTGGCAGCATCATTTTTCTCTGCAACATTCAATATCTTGACCATTTTCTCCGTGGAAGATGTACAAAATGCCCTGAAAATTGTTACAAGCATTACTATATCAGAAGTAAAAGTTGTAGCGAATTCGCCGCCATTCTTTCAGAGGTTATTTCCGGTAAAACACGTGCTTCCGGAAATGGATTTGTTATGCTTCCGGTGAGTTAAAAGTTGTGTCGTTGTTAGTGATTGGTTAAAAAGTGACGATAAAGTCCAAAATTACCCAATCAAAATTAAAGTAGTTTAGCGACGTTGTTGTGTTGCCAAACATGGCCGACGACGAGACTCCGAAATACGGAAGCAAGTACTGAAATGCTAACTATCAAGCCCATAAAACACATGACAAAAAAATGCCAGGAATAATTTTATTTGGGCGGCGTTGGGGGATTGGTAGTGACGATTTTGTCTTTCCAGTTGTAGCCGAGATATTTTTGAGATTGGCATGGTGAGTTAGCAGAAATAGAAATATCTCTTATCAGGTTATAAGTCACACGGTGCCCGTCACATGTGTAAGCCTGTCTGTCTATTAACTCATTGTATGGTTATATAATGAATTGATAGACGAGGTTGGTACTTGCGGTTATACTGTCATGATAATTGTTGATCAGTAACAATCGCCCCAGTCACAGGAGTTTGTCTAAATTTTTTAATTAACTACTGACTGTGGTCGTTGAGTTTCTTTCACTGCTTGCAACAAGACCTTTTGCCCCAATTCAGATGTCTTGTACGGAGATGAACCTTTTGCGTGCATATATTTGTGGCATTGAATTGCACACCCCAGTTTCTTTCCCATGTTTCTAGGTTCTTAAAAAAAATTGAAGTGTTGTCCTCTCTTGAAAAAAACCAATCATCCTCAAAGAGCCTTATCGAGGACTTGAAGACTTCTGGCGGGTTTTTTATGTGAAAGAAATAGTATGGGGCCTAGTGCTGGGGAAGAAGTGAAGAAATAACAGGACAAGGAATTAGAAGACTTATTTCCAAAGTGCAGGGACAGCCATGGAACAGGCAGATCATTCATATAAAATCAGACACACACTAGAGGTTGCCACAAAATCAAACTGATTACAGTAACAAAAGATTGCTTTTCTGACTCTATTTTTCCTACACATATTTCTCACTAGCATCTGTGCCCTCAGCTGATTCACTTATATCTTTCAAGTCCTTCATTTACTCTCTCTCTCTTCCTCTTTATAAATACACAGATCGCAGCATTGATTTTGACTAATTTCAAACTTTATCCATTTAAATTTGGTGTCTTCCTTATACACCACAAACACACACATACAAGTCAATAATTGTTTTACTCTGAGAGACTTTGTTGGTCACTGGAAGAGCAAAAGAAATCTGTTATGTCACAGACTTGTAACACAGGAATCAGAAATTTTACCCATGACTACTTTTGAAATAAACAAGCTGGTGTATTGAAACAAGATATTTTATTAACCCCTTTACAGATTAAGCTTAAAATAAAAGGATCATGGGTTGGTTGGGGTACATCTATTGGATCCCCTGCTTACTTTGTTGATGAATATAGATAAGTTAGTCAATGATATGCTTTTTAACCCTCTAATCTAAGAATTCTTTTTGAGGACTTGTCATTTAGTGAGTTTTGGCTTATTTATGTATGATAATAAATGGTCCCATTAATGATAAAATGATATACTCACTTTTATACTTATACAGTTGTATATATGTAATCACTCCATAAAAGAAAAGTTAAACTGCTGAGGAAATCCAGAATGCTGTGTATTGTGTTACATCATATGTTGTGTATATCCATGAAATTTTGTTATATACTTTGTGATTTACTTATCATTATCAGTTTTTATAGTTCAGTTTACTTGTCACTTCAGAAAAAAATCATAACTGATGTTCCTATATTTACTCATTAACAGACAATTCTTTTTAACATTCCAGGTTGATTGCCATTTCAGTTGTGTTCCATATCCATCAAAATGAACCTGAGAGCTGCTCAGGTGGAACTCTACTACAGGCCTACTTCATTGGTGCACTGTGCCTTTTGTGTTTGACCATAGTGCTGGACATGTTTATTGTATACACCAGCATGCAGGGCTCAATCATGTACCCCTACCCTAGGAAGCGGATGCCACGTCTGCTTTATGTAAAGATACTTGTGTCTGTGCCTGAGCTAGCCTGGATTGTACTGGGAACTTATTGGTCATTTGGACTTGCCAGTGGCTGTGAAACCAGTGTGGTAATGACAGTGAAGGGAGCTGTTCTATGTGGTTGGGTCATTGCTTTCCTTATCCTTATAGGTCTTTTCATTGTATTTGACCCACTTGGTGGTCTGCGTGCCAAGAGATCACAGCTAAATGGAGAGTTAGAAAGCAGCACACAGAAACAGATGATGACCACTGCACAACATACAGCATTGAAGACATGGGAAAGGAGGTGAGATTTATGTCCTTTCAGAATCAGTTATAAAACAAAAAGTTTGATTCAAAGAGTACCTATTCACTGACAGATTGAATTAATACATATCCTAAACTGACCTGTATTTAAGTTATTGGTATCAACAAAATTTATTAGCCCTGACAAATACTTCTAGTCACAGTCTAGTGAAATAATTTCTGTCTCTGTAAGTTTAGTACTCTTGTACTTGAATCAGAATAACTTGTACCTTTAGTTTGAATGGGAATACATTATTTGAAGTTTTATATGTTAACTTCCTCAGATGACATCAAAAACCAATAATGATATTTGGTCTGCTTAAGATAAAAGGTGACAGGTTGGTATAGAAGGGGTGTCATGTTTCTGGTATTGCTGGTTATGTATGTATACTGAGAATTACCCTTATCTGATACAGTTAGTTGTTATCATGATTGAACATCACTGGAGATATTACCATTACAGATGTAAAATCCTGTGCTGCTGTGTATCATGTGATGATCAAAGTCATGATGCCTTTACAGAAATTGCTAAACTATTAACTGACTTTTTCCAGGTAAGTGTTTATTAATTATCAGCTTATCTTGTGTTCCTTGACCATGAGGTATACAGGGCTAATCATCAATTCTGAAATAAACAGCAATCTTCATATCAACTTCTTTATGACAAAATTTTGAGATGACGATGATGATGATGATGATGATGATGATGATGATGATGATATTCTGGTTTTGTTGTTGTTTTTTTGATTGCCTACAGGATGTGGAATTGGACCTGGTTGCTACTGACATTGCAGCAGGACTCATACTGGTCAATAGGGAACAGGAGGTGTCCCATCTCACTGTGACCGTAGACAGAACATGTGAATCTTATGGTGCACTGTCTCAAGAAACAACACCTAAGTACAACCCGATAACCACAGCGGGTCAGGTCCCAGACACCCTGGCCGCAGGCACCAGGGTCTCACTTGACCATCCAAGTTCATCATCATCCTCAAGGTATACTCCTGACCTGTTTATCATAAAGTTATCATCAGCTAATAAGATTGACATAGGTATTGTTATCTGTCTATTTACCAAATTGTAAATTTTAATGTTTTTTCCTTTTCAGCCCACCATGATCAGACTATTCAAATCACCCTACTTTTGTGGTCCCTCCGTCCGCTGTCCGTTTGTCCGTCCATCCATAAACAATTTTTGTTATTGCTATTTCTTGAGAAGTTCTTGATGGATCTTTCTCAAATTTCATTTATATGTTCCTCTTGGTCCCTAGTTGTGCCTGTTTGAGTTTGGGACTGATCAGAAAAACAAAATGGCTGACAGGCAGCCATCTTGAATTTTGCTTAGTAATGATTATTATCCCTATTTCTTAAGAAATATTTAAAGGATCTCTCTCTAATTTCATTTTTATGTTCCCTTTGGTCTCTACTTGTGCCCGTATGATTTTGGGACTGATCAAAAGAAACAAAATGAGTTTCAGACGACCATTTTGGATTTGGCAGGTAAAGATTATCATCATTTTTTCTGCAAACAAATGTTCAACAGAGAAGAGAAGAGAAAAGAAGCTAAAAAATCCAACTTTTTAAGAGCAAATAAAGATAAAACAATAATGGATGCCAAGATCCCTCTGGGATCTCTTGTTTGTACATCCATCATCAATTTTGACTGGATCTATGTGTTATGATATGGTGTTGCACATCTGTCTGTCCTAGAGATTTCTTCCCTCAGTTTTCATGTTATCTCTTTTGAAAGTTGATATCTTTATTACCTTGTCATGAATCTCTACATTTCTTAGTGGTATACCCATTCAACATTTTTGGAAGAATTGCTACTCTTTGGGTATTTCATTATTTTGCTAGCTCTCGCTCTCTCTCACATTTCTTAACAAATATCTTTGAAACTAGGTCACTTTATCATCATGACTTGTAGTTGTGTTTAAATAAGTGACATTTTGTTTTATCAAATTTTTTGGGTATGTTTCTTTTCTTGTAGTCTTTTCAGTGTTTTATATTTGCCCAAAGAGCCTCTCTCTGAGGTTCCAACCTTGTCTTTTAAACATTTTTTGTCTTCACCTTAGAGACATGTAGTTGTACTTTCTAACTGATATTCTGACAAGTATATTTACATTTCAGTAGCATTATTAATTTAATTCAAATAATTTATCAAGACATTAGAATTGGTAGATGTATATTGTTCCACAGTGAATGTACTTAGTTGATGTGTTTCTAATGTTATAGCTGAACTAATTTGTTTTCTTTGAAAGTGGCGGCAATAGTATTTGTAACCAGGAGAGGCAAGTGCCACCACAGGACTGGATGACCATTAGAAACATGAGTCATTACATGAAATATGCCATGGCCAGTTATGGATGGCCCCTCTTCATTTTTGCAAACCTATCACTTGGTCTCTGTAAACTGTGTGGCCAATGTCGGTAAGTTCAGACATAAATTATATAATATAAAAGTTTGTAAACTAGGTTGTCAGTTATATTCAACCTTGAACAGTGCAGCATTCACTATTTATAACAATAAAATGAGAAAAAAGATTTTAAAAAGAAATGAAATTGTGAAGGAATTATATGTGAACTCGGTTGTACTTTCTAAATTTATCAAACAAGACACCACAATGACTTTCACTTCACAATCTTGCCTTTGCTGATATATTTGAAAACTGTCTGGTTTGCATTGTGAAATTTCATCTCTCCTTTTGGATATCAGACACATATCTTGTTTTTACTACCATAGATCATCTGTTACCAAATCTGATATAAATCTGATGTAAGAAATGATGTATTCTACATGTATGTATAATAGGCTAATATCAAGTTCCTATATAATTTAAGAGAACACTTATCTTAGTCAACATCAGTGACTATATGATATCTACATTACTGACTACTAATTATTGACAACTTTGAACAAATTTGGAATGACAAAGGGACACAGGATCCTGTCATTTGGGCAGATGCATACTGTGATAAATAGTGATAATTTTTTTTGCAAGTTTATGAATATGTGTTTAAAATCTAAATTTGTAATCTGGTGCTATGATGATATACTTTGAGAAATGTAGACTTTCAATCTATTTAGTTTAAACACTTATTCATCCTCTGTTGATTACTTTTCAGTTGTTCATTTTTACAACATCGGCCAACATGGGACAGTTGTTATGGGAGTGCGAGCGAGCGTAGTGATTATGATGACTTGAGTGATCAGAGTTTGTGAGTTTGTAGTTGTAGTAGTGCTGTTGTAGACTTTAGAATTGGTTATGGTCTTACTAACCCCGTTAATTGTTATTGTGACAGAGATCTGTACATTCTCTGGACACTGTGTGGATTTATCTTTATCAACCTCATTATTTTGTTATTGTGACAGAGATCTGTACATTTCTGGACACTGTGTGATTTATCTTTATCAACATTCTCTGGACACTGTGTGGATTTATCTTTATCAACCTCATTATTTTGTTATTGTGACAGAGATCTGTACATTCTCTGGACACTGTGTGGATTTATCTTTATCAACCTCATTATTTTGTTATTGTGACAGAGATCTGTACATTCTCTGGACACTGTGTGGATTTATCTTTATCAACCTCATTATTTTGTTATTGTGACAGAGATCTGTACATTCTCTGGACACTGTGTGGATTTATCTTTATCAACCTCATTATTTTGTTATTGTGACAGAGATCTGTACATTCTCTGGACACTGTGTGGATTTATCTTTATCAACCTCATTATTTTGTTATTGTGACAGAGATCTGTACATTCTCTGGACACTGTGTGGATTTATCTTTATCAACCTCATTATTTTGTTATTGTGACAGAGATCTGTACATTCTCTGGACACTGTGTGGATTTATCTTTATCAACCTCATTATTTTGTTATTGTGACAGAGATCTGTACATTCTCTGGACACTGTGTGGATTTATCTTTATCAACCTCATTATTTTGTTATTGTGACAGAGATCTGTACATTCTCTGGACACTGTGTGGATTTATCTTTATCAACCTCATTATTTTGTTATTGTGACAGAGATCTGTACATTCTCTGGACACTGTGTGGATTTATCTTTATCAACCTCATTATTTTGTTATTGTGACAGAGATCTGTACATTCTCTGGACACTGTGTGGATTTATCTTTATCAACCTCATTATTTTGTTATTGTGACAGAGATCTGTACATTCTCTGGACACTGTGTGGATTTATCTTTATCAACCTCATTATTTTGTTATTGTGACAGAGATCTGTACATTCTCTGGACACTGTGTGGATTTATCTTTATCAACCTCATTATTTTGTTATTGTGACAGAGATCTGTACATTCTCTGGACACTGTGTGGATTTATCTTTATCAACCTGTGTGAGATTTACATTCTCTGGACACTGTGTGGATTTATCTTTATCAACCTCATTATTTTGTTATTGTGACAGATCTGTACATTCTCTGGACACTGTGTGGATTTATCTTTATCAACCTCATTATTTTGTTATTGTGACAGAGATCTGTACATTCTCTGGACACTGTGTGGATTTATCTTTATCAACCTCATTATTTTGTTATTGTGACAGATCTGTACATTCTCTGGACACTGTGTGGATTTATCTTTATCAACCTCATTATTTTGTTATTGTGACAGAGATCTGTACATTCTCTGGACACTGTGTGGATTTATCTTTATCAACCTCATTATTTTGTTATTGTGACAGAGATCTGTACATTCTCTGGACACTGTGTGGATCATTATTTTGTTATTGTGACAGATCTGTACATTCTCTTGGACACTGTGTGGATTTGTTATTGTGACAGAGATCTGTACATTCTCTGGACACTGTGTGGATTTATCTTTATCAACCTCATTATTTTGTTATTGTGACAGAGATCTGTACATTCTCTCTGTGTGGACACTGTGTGGATTTATCTTTATCAACCTCATTATTTTGTTATTGTGACAGAGATCTGTACATTCTCTGGACACTGTGTGGATTTATCTTTATCAACCTCATTATTTTGTTATTGTGACTGTACAGACAGATCTCATTATTTTGTTATTGTACATTCTCTGGACACTGTGTGGATTTATCTTTATCAACCTCATTATTTTGTTATTGTGACAGAGATCTGTACATTCTCTGGACACTGTGTGGATTTATCTTTATCAACCTCATTATTTTGTTATTGTGACATTCTCTGGACACTGTGTGGATTTATCTTTATCAACCTCATTATTTTGTTACTGTGTGTACATTCTCTGGACACTGTGTGGATTTATCTTTATCAACCTCATTATTTTGTTATTGTGACAGAGATCTGTACATTCTCTGGACACTGTGTGGATTTATCTTTATCAACCTCATTATTTTGTTATTGTGACAGTGATCTGTACATTCTCTAACACTGTGTGGATTTATCTTTATCAACCTCATTATTTTGTTATTGTGACAGAGATCTGTACATTCTCTGGACACTGTGTGGATTTATCTTTATCAACCTCATTATTTTGTTATTGTGACAGAGATCTGTACATTCTCTGGACACTGTGTGGATTTATCTTTATCAACCTCATTATTTTGTTATTGTGGCAGAGATCTGTACATTCTCTGGACACTGTGTGGATTTATCTTTATCAACCTCATTATTTTGTTATTGTGACAGAGATTTGTACATTCTCTGGACACTGTGTGGATTTATCTTTATCAACCCTTCTTAATCAGCATGTTCACACAAATCAGACATAAGATTATAAAAAGTCAGATGCATACAGCTGGAGTGACATGGATTATTAGAAAGCAATGGACATTAGTTAAGTGGTCAAGTAACTCAGTCAAATGTTTAGAAAGGGTTCAAGGCCCAACAAAAAAAAAAAAGACCACTAATTTCTTACCATAGTCTAGTGGACAGGAGTTTAAATGGTGACCCATTTGAGGACAGCCCAGTCTTGGACAAGTGGTTTTTAGAAGAAGAGAAGGAGTGATAAGACTGATCTAGAGGTTTACAGAAAAAGTTTAAGATAAAATACATGTACATCTTTTATTAATGCATTTGATGGACATCAAAATTACGTAATATTAAATCAAAAAAGTATAGGCCCCATAAAACCCATGTCTCTTCAACCAGGATGGCTAGAGTCAACTGGTACCATGACGTAAACACCATGTATACCACAGAAAGGATAAGGCACTATTAGACCCAAGAGTCATCTTCTAAAACAAATTTTTTTGACACCCTGACATATGGCTCCACCCCATGAAGGGGTGGAGGACGCCCCCTCATGTCGACAGAACACTGACATTCATTAGACACAGGACAAGTCAAGGAGACAGGACAAGTCAAGGAGACAGAAAACCTGTAAACAACCATCAGCCCTGTTATTTCGTTATTGTGACAGACATGTACACATTCTCTGGACACTTGCCATTGTTTTGACATCACTAAACCTCTAAGTACATGTAGGGAGGATCATAGCATAAAACTTGTCGTAGAATACCTTCTCTTCTTTTTTACGGTACACCATCTATTTCATTTAATTGGACATTTTTATTTAGGTTAAAAGTGGTTGTTACTGTCTAAAAGTACCAGTGTTAACAAACCTGGACTGCCTGGTTCACTCAGCTTGTATTAATTACACTGCAGCATCACAGATATTTTCTTTCTTTCTTTCTTTCTTTCTTCCTTTCTTTCTTTCTTTCAAAATAAAAAAATACAAATTTGACATATTCTTCAACATCCATTCTTCAGATTCTTCATTAACGGAGACAATTCATACAACGTGAGCACAATTTCTCAAAAAGAGAAAAATTATGCAGCTTCAACATAGGTTCTAAAAGGGCACATTTCACACAGCTTTAGTCCAAGTTCTAACTTCTATCAACAGCACAAGTCTTCAAGGGAAGCAATTGTCACATTCACATTTCTCAAGAAATGCAATTCATATAGATCTAGCACAAGTCTTCAAGGGAGACAATTCATAAAGCTTTAGCACAAGTCAACCATTTGAACTCTTCAACTATGATGAAGCAAAAAAATATCATATGAACTCAATACTTGTAGATGCTGTGCCTGTGCTCGAGATGGCGGGGAGGTTCACTATGATAACTGTTGCCAGTGTCACACTGCAGCTATCAGGAAATGGACAGATGTGGATGATGCTGACCTCCTCTATGTTAGCTTCTACAACAAGGTCATTGATGTTTTGTGCTACTTCATTATATTTTAATGATTACATTCAAAACAATACCAACATTGGTAATAATCTAAATGTCTAGAGAAATTTAATTGATATGGAATATTTCAATGTCTTTTTACCTTAATTTCTATTTTCTCTGATTCCGTCCTCACTCTTCAGGAACCTCTGTTGTGTCTATAAACTCAGATAACATGGATATTTTGTTTTTCTGTTTCAGATTTATGCTATTCCATTTTTTGTGGCTATAGACAGAAAAGAAAAGTCTATTGTTGTGTCTATCCGAGGAACATTATCACTGAGGGTAGGTCTAATAGGTGTGTCTACACAAGGAACATTGTCAATGAGAGTAGGTCTAATAAATGTGTCTATATCAGGAATGTTGTCAATGAGAGTAGGTCTAATAAATGTGTCTATATCAGGAATGTTGTCAATGAGAGTAGGTCTAATAGGTGTGTCTACACAAGGAATGTTGTCAATGAGTGTAGGTCTGATTGGTGTGTCTATATCAGGAATGTTGTCAATGAGAGTAGGTGTAATAGGTGTGTCTATATCAGGAATGTTGTCAATGAGAGTAGGTGTAATAGGTGTGTCTATATCAAGAATGTTGTCAATGAGAGTAGGTCTAATAGGTGTGTCTACACAAGGAATGTTGTCAATGAGAGTAGGTCTGATAAATGTGTCTATATCAGGAATGTTGTCAATGAGAGTAGGTCTAATAGGTGTGTCTATATCAGGAATGTTGTCAATAAGAGTAGGTCTAATAAATGTGTCTATATCAGGAATGTTGTCAATGAGAGTAGGTCTAATAAATGTGTCTATATCAGGAATGTTGTCAATGAGAGTAGGTCTAATAAATGTGTCTATATCAGGAATGTTGTCAATGAGAGTAGGTCTAATAGGTGTGTCTATATCAGGAATGTTGTCAATGAGAGTAGGTCTAATAGGTGTGTCTATATCAGGAATGTTGTCAATAAGAGTAGGTCTAATAAATGTGTCTATATCAGGAATGTTGTCAATGAGAGTAGGTCTAATAAATGTGTCTATATCAGGAATGTTGTCAATGAGAGTAGGTCTGATAAATGTGTCTATATCAGGAATGTTGTCAATGAGAGTAGGTCTAATAAATGTGTCTATATCAGGAATGTTGTCAATGAGAGTAGGTCTAATAGGTGTGTCTATATCAGGAATGTTGTCAATGAGAGTAGGTCTAATAAATGTGTCTACATCAGGAGTGTTGTCATTAAATGAAGGTCTTGTGTATTTTTGGGAACCAATGTCCTTGAATGATTGATGTTCCTGTGTAGGATGTACTACCTGACTTGTCTGTAGAATGTTTTTGACAAATTGATGTTTCTGTGTATGTAGAATGTTCTACCTGACTTGTCTGTAGAATGGTTTTGACAAATTGATGTTTCTGATGCAGGATGCACTGACTGACATGTCAGCTGACAGTGTGTGTATAGATCAGGGAGAGTCTACAGACTGGAAGTGCCATAAAGGGATCTACCAGGCAGCCTGCTACATACGAGATGAACTAGTGAATAAACACATTCTGGAGAAGGCCTTTCAGCAGAACCAGGTACCAATAAACTTTCTGTTGTTTCTTATGTCCATTTCAGAAAGCCATGGGGCTCTCTTTTATTATCTTTTATTATGTTGTTTTTGATACAGAATGCTTTAAGCTGATAATACTGGCATGAATTACAATGAACTCCTGATAATATTAATGCTTATTTATCAACACATGTTCAAGAACAGGATGATGTGGTTGTTTCAGGGTGCGAGACTGGTGATCACTGGTCATAGTTTAGGGGCTGGAGCAGCAGCTCTTCTGGCCATTCTCCTTAAACCTCACTACCCAGATCTTATCTGCTTCACCTTTTCTCCACCAGGGGGCCTCCTCAGGTAAGTTTTATGTAAGATGGTCCTGATACATCAGTCTCAAAATCACTACCATAGGGACTCCTCAGGTAAGATCTGTGTAAGGTCGTCCCAGGACGTCAGTCTCCAAATCACTACCATAGGGACTCCTCAGGTAAGATCTGTGTAAGGTCGTCCCAGGACGTCAGTCTCCAAATCACTACCATAGGGACTCCTCAGGTAAGATCTGTGTAAGGTCGTCCCAGGACGTCAGTCTCCAAATCACTCTTACTTTGATTTCTGTTCTTACAGTTGTAGAATTTAGTTTACTTAGTTAAGTATGAAAATAATTAGTTTTACAAGATAACATTTTCTTCATGTGTTTGTTTGCACAGCTATGAGGCAAGCAAGTGTTGCTCTGACTATGTGTGTTCTGTGGTGTTGGGACGAGACCTTGTGCCCAGACTTGGTATTCGCTCTATGGAACATTTGAAAACCAGTATATTGACAGCAATTCGTCGCTGTGATAGACCGAAGGTAAGTTCTGTTACTATGTGTTGATAATACCAAGTGAAAATCTGTGGCATGCTTGAAACCAGTATCAGGTGATTGCGTGTGGATGTGTTACTAAATGTTACTATGTGTGACAGTATCAGGTGATAGCCAGTAGGATGTGTTACTCTATGTTACTATGTTTTATAGTATCAGGTGATTGCGTGTGGATGTGTTACTATATGTTACTATATTTTACAGTATCAGGTGATAGCCAGTGGGATGTGGCAGGCTGTATGTGCCCTTTGCCCCGGAGACAATGCCAATACCTGTGGATGTGGAATTGATCAACCTCTCCTGTCTGACAATGTATCTTCTGCCTATGTCACTGGCCAGAGGAATGTAGAGGTAGGCTAACCTTTGTATCATACAGGACTTCATGGCTTGGTGTGTCTATAGATTCTGATAACATCAGTGCAGTATTAGAAATGTGAGTGTTGAATGAAGGGTCTACTGTTTACAGAGGGGTTTACAGAGGGAAGGACATGTGAGAATGAAGGGTCTACTGTTTATAGAGGGAAGGACATGTGAGAATGGAGGGTCTACTGTTTACAGAGGGAAGGACATGTGAGAATGAAGGGTCTACTGTTTACAGAGGGAAGGACATGTGAGAATGAAGGGTCTACTGTTTACAGAGGGAAGGACATGTGAGAATGGAGGGTCTACTGTTTACAGAGGGAAGGACATGTGAGAATGGAGGGTCTACTGTTTACAGAGGGAAGGACATGTGAGAATGGAGGGTCTACTGTTTACAATAGGTAGAACATGGGATGTAATGTTTAATGTGGAGAGGACATGTGAGGATGTAGGGTGCAATGTTGATGGTGGGTAGATATTAGGGTGCAGTTTTTACTGTAGATAGGACATAGGGTCCAGTGTTTACTATGAATAGGACATAGGGTCCAGTATTTACTGTGGGTAGGACATAGGGTCCAGTATTTACTGTGGGTAGGACATAGGGTCCAGTATTTACTGTGGGTAGGACATAGGGTCCAGTGTTTACTGTGGGTAGGACATAGGGTCCAGTGTTTACTGTGGGTAGGACATAGGGTCCAGTGTTTACTGTAAGTAGGACATAGGGTCTAGTGTTTACTGTAAGTAGGACATAGGGTCCAATGTTTACTGTGGGTAGGACATAGGGTTCAGTGTTTACTGTGGGTAGGACATAGGGTCCAGTGTTTACTGTGGGTAGGACATAGGGCCCAATGTTTACTGTGGGTAGGACATAGGGTCCAGTATTTACTGTGGGCAGGACATAGGGTCCAGTATTTACTGTGGGTAAGACATAGGGTCCAATGTTTACTGTGGGTAGGACATAGGGTCCAGTGTGTTTAGGGTCTAGTGGGTAGGACATAGGGTCCAATGTTTACAGTGGGTAGGACATACTGTGGGTAGGACATAGGGTCCAGTGTTTACTGTGGGTAGGACATAGGGTCCAGTATTCACTGTAAGTAGGACATAGGGTCCAGTGTTTACTGTGGGTAGGACATAGGGCCCAATATTTACTGTGGGTAGGACATTGGGCCCAATGTTTACTGTGGGTAGGACATAGGGTCCAGTGTTTACTGTGGGTAGGACATAGGGTCTAGTGTGTACTGTAAGTAGGACATAGGGTCCAATGTTTACTGTGGGTAGGACATAGGGTTCAGTGTTTACTGTGGGTAGGAAATAGGGTCCAGTGTTGGCTGTGGGCAGGACATAGGGCCCAATGTTTACTGTAGGTAGGACATAGGGTCCAGTGTTTACTGTAGGTAGGACATAGGGTCCAGTGTTCACTGTAAGTAGGACATAGGGTCCAGTGTTTACTGTGGGTAGGACATAGGGCCCAATGTTTACTGTGGGTAGGACATAGGGCCCAATGTTTACTATGGGTAGGACATAGGGTCCAGTGTTTACTGTGGGTAGGACATAGGGTCCAGTGTTTACTGTAAGTAGGACATAGGGTCCAGTGTTTACTGTGGGTAGGACATAGGGCCCAATGTTTACTGTGGGTAGGACATTGGGCCCAATGTTTACTGTGGGTAGGACATAGGGTCCAGTGTTTACTGTGGGTAGGACATAGGGTCTAGTGTGTACTGTAAGTAGGACATAGGGTCCAATGTTTACTGTGGGTAGGACATAGGGTTCAGTGTTTACTGTGGGTAGGAAATAGGGTCCAGTGTTGGCTGTGGGCAGGACATAGGGCCCAATGTTTACTGTAGGTAGGACATAGGGTCCAGTGTTTACTGTAGGTAGGACATAGGGTCCAGTGTTCACTGTAAGTAGGACATAGGGTCCAGTGTTTACTGTGGGTAGGACATAGGGCCCAATGTTTACTGTGGGTAGGACATAGGGCCCAATGTTTACTATGGGTAGGACATAGGGTCCAGTGTTTACTGTGGGTAGGACATAGGGTCCAGTGTTTACTGTGGGTAGGACATAGGGTCCAGTGTTTACTGTGGGTAGGACATAGGGCCCAATGTTTACTGTAGGTAGGACATAGGGCCCATTGCTTACTGTGGGTAGGACATTGGTTCCAATGTTTACTGTGGGTAGGACATTGGTTCCAATGTATACTGTGGGTAGGACATAGGGTCCAGTGTTTACTGTGGGTAGGACATAGGGTCCAGTGTTTACTGTGGGTAGGACATAGGGTCCAGTGTTTACTGTGGGTAGGACATAGGGTCTAGTGTTTACTGTAAGTAGGACATAGGGTCCAATGTTTACTGTGGGTAGGACATAGGGTTCAGTGTTTACTGTGGGTAGGACATAGGGTCCAGTGTTTACTGTGGGTAGGACATAGGGCCCAATGTTTACTGTGGGTAGGACATAGGGTCCAGTGTTTACTGTGGGTAGGACATAGGGTCCAGTGTTCACTGTAAGTAGGACATAGGGTCCAGTGTTTACTGTGGGTAGGACATAGGGCCCAATGTTTACTGTGGGTAGGACATAGGGTCCAGTGTTTACTGTGGGTAGGACATAGGGTCCAGTGTTTACTGTGGGTAGGACATAGGATCCAGTGTTTACTGTGGGTAGGACATAGGGTCCAGTGTTTACTGTGGGTAGGACATAGGGTCTAGTGTTTACTGTAAGTAGGACATAGGGTCCAATGTTTACTGTGGGTAGGACATAGGGTTCAGTGTTTACTGTGGGTAGGACATAGGGTCCAGTGTTGGCTGTGGGTAGGACATAGGGTCCAGTGTTTACTGTGGGTAGGACATAGGGTCCAGTGTTTACTGTAGGTAGGACATAGGGTCCAGTGTTCACTGTAAGTAGGACATAGGGTCCAGTGTTTACTGTGGGTAGGACATAGGGCCCAGTGTTTACTGTGGGTAGGACATAGGGCCCAATGTTTACTGTGGGTAGGACATAGGGTCCAGTGTTTACTGTGGGTAGGACATAGGGTCCAGTGTTTACTGTGGGTAGGACATAGGGTCCAGTGTTTACTGTGGGTAGGACATAGGGCCCAATGTTTACTGTGGGTAGGACATTGGTTCCAATGTTTACTGTGGGTAGGACATTGGTTCCAATGTATGCTGTTGGTAGGACATAGGACCCAATGTATACTGTGGGTAGGACATTGGTTCCAATGTATACTGTGGGTAGGCCATTGGTTCCAATGTATACTGTGAGACATTGAGAGTTCATTTTTTACCTTTGGTTGGACATGTAAAAATTAAGAAAATTTAATTACAGGAAGCTATTGAGAGCGCCATTATGCAGAGTGAGCAGTGCAGGATTACTTTCCCCACCATGTTTCCTCCTGGACAGGTCCTACATATTACCGAGGTGGACTCAGACAAGTAAGTACTACCTAACAGGGTTATCTATAACTGTAATAGCGGTCTGGTGGGATCTGCCAACGTCACTTAGTAATAATCTATATAACTGTGCAACATATCATACAGTATTGTATAACTGTACAACATATCATACAGTATTGTATAACTGTACAACATATCATACAGTATTGTATAACTGTACAACATATCATACCGTATTGTATAACTGTACAACATACAGTATTGTGTAACTGTACAACATATCATACAGTATTGTATAACTGTACAACATATCACACAGTATTGTATAACTGTACAACATATCATACAGTATTGTGTAACTGTACAACATACAGTATTGTATAACTGTACAACATATCATACAGTATTGTACAACATATCAGTATAACTGTACAACATACATACATTATAGTTAGGCTGTACAACATATCATACAGTATTGTATAACTGTACATACATACAGTATTGTGTAAGTGTACAGCATATCATACAGTATTGTATAACTGTACAACATACAGTATTGTATAACTGTACAACATACAGTATTGTGTAACTGTACAACATATCATACAGTATTGTATAACTGTACAACATACAGTATTGTATAACTGTACATCATACAGTATTGTATAACTGTACAACATATCATACATTGTATAACTGTACAACATATCACACAGTATTGTATAACTGTACAACATATCATACAGTATTGTATAACTACAACATATCATACAGTATTGTGTAACTGTACAACATATCATACAGTATTGTATAACTGTACAACATACAGTATTGTATAACTGTACAACATATCATACAGTTTTGTATACTGTACAACATATCATACAGTATTGTATAACTGTACAACATATCATACAGTATTGTATAACTGTACAACATATCATACAGTATTGTATAACTGTACAACATATCATACAGTATTGTATAACTGTACAACATACAGTATTGTATAACTGTACATCATACAGTATTGTATAACTGTACAACATACAGTATTGTGTAACTGTACAACATATCATACATTATAGTACAAGATATCACACAGTATTGTATAACTGTACAACATATCATACAGTATTGTATAACTGTACAACATACAGTATTGTATAACTGTACAACATATCATACAGTTTTGTGTAACTGTACAACATATCATACAGTATTGTATAACTGTACAACATATCATACAGTACAACATATCATACAGTATTGTATAACTGTACAACATATCATACAGTATTGTATAACTGTACAACATATCATACAGTATTGTATAACTGTACAACATATCATACAGTATTGTGTAACTGTACAACATACAGTATTGTATAACTGTACAACATATCACACACTATTGTATAACTGTACAACATATCATACAGTATTGTATAACTGTACAACATATCATACAGTATTGTATAACTGTACAACATATCACACAGTATTGTATAACTGTACAACATATCATACAGTATTGTATAACTGTACAACAGATCATACAGTATTGTATAACTGTACAACATACAGTATTGTATAACTGTACAACAAACAGTATTGTATAACTGTACAACATATAGTATTGTATAACTGTATCATACAGTATTGTATAATCATACAGTATTGTATAACTGTACAACATACAGTATTGTATAACTGTACAACATATCATACAGTATTGTATAACTGTACAACATATACAACATACAGTATTGTATAACTGTACAACATATCATACAGTATTGTATAACTGTACAACATATCATACAGTATTGTATAACTGTACAACATATCATACAGTATTTGTGTACAACATACTGTATAACAACATATCATACAGTATTGTATAACTGTACAACATATCATACAGTATTGTATAACTGTACAACATATCATACAGTATTGTATAACTGTACAACATACAGTATTGTATAACTGTACAACATATCATACAGTATTGTATAACTGTACAACATATCATACCGTATTGTATAACTGTACAACATACAGTATTGTGTAACTGTACAACATATCATACAGTATTGTATAACTGTACAACATATCACACAGTATTGTATAACTGTACAACATATCATACAGTATTGTGTAACTGTACAACATACAGTATTGTATAACTGTACAACATATCATACAGTATTGTATAACTGTACAACATATTAACAGTATTGTATAACTGTACAACATATCATACAGTATTGTATAACTGTACAACATATCATACCGTATTGTATAACTGTACCTCATATCATACAGTATTGTGTAACTGTACAACATATCATACAGTATTGTATAACTGTACAACATACAGTATTGTATAACTGTACAACATATCATACAGTTTTGTGTAACTGTACAACATATCATACATTATAGTTAGGCTGTACAACATATCATACAGTATTGTATAACTGTACAACATACAGTATTGTATAACTGTACAGCATACAGTATTGTATAACTGTACAACATATCATACATTATAGTTAACTGTACAACATATCATACAGTATTGTATAACTGTACAAACTATACAGTATTGTATAACTGTACAACATATAACACAGTATTGTATAACTGTACAACATATCATACAGTATTGTATAACTACAACATATCATACAGTATTGTATAACTGCACAACATATACAGTATTGTGTAACTGTACAACATATCATACAGTATTGTGTATAACTGTACAACATATCATACATTATAGTTAGGCTGTACAACATATCATACAGTATTGTATAACTGTACAACATATCATACAGTATTGTATAACTGTACAACATATCATACAGTATTGTATAACTGTACAACATATCATACAGTATTGTATAACTGTACAACATATACAGTAGTGTGTAACTGTACAACATATCATACAGTATTGTATAACTGTACAACATATCATACAGTATTGTATAACTGTACAACATACAGTATTGTATAACTGTACAACATACAGTATTGTATAACTGTACATCATACAGTATTGTATAACTGTACAACATACAGTATTGTGTAACTGTACAACATATCATACATTATAGTACAAGATATCACACAGTATTGTATAACTGTACAACATATCATACAGTATTGTATAACTACAACATATCATACAGTATTGTATAACTGTACAACATATACAGTATTGTGTAACTGTACAACATATCATACAGTATTGTATAACTGTACAACATACAGTATTGTATAACTGTACAACATAATATACATTATTGTATAACTGTACAACATATCATACAGTATTGTATAACTGTATAGCATACAGTATTGTATAACTGTACAACATATCATACAGTATTGTGTAACTGTACAACATACAGTATTGTATAACTGTGCAACATATCATACAGTATTGTATAACTGTACAACATACAGTATTGTATAACTGTACAACATATCATACAGTATTGTATAACTGTACAACATACAGTATTGTATAACTGTACAACATATCATACAGTATTGTATAACTGTACAACATATCATACCGTATTGTATAACTGTACAACATACAGTATTGTGTAACTGTACAACATATCATACAGTATTGTATAACTGTACAACATATCACACAGTATTGTATAACTGTACAACATATCATACAGTATTGTGTAACTGTACAACATACAGTATTGTATAACTGTACAACATATCATACAGTATTGTATAACTGTACAACATATTAACAGTATTGTATAACTGTACAACATATCATACAGTATTGTATAACTGTACAACATATCATACCGTATTGTATAACTGTACCTCATATCATACAGTATTGTGTAAGTGTACAGCATATCATACAGTATTGTATAACTGTACAACATACAGTATTGTATAACTGTACAGCATACAGTATTGTAAAACTGTACAACATATCATACAGTATTGTATAACTGTACAACATACAGTATTGTATAACTGTACAGCATACAGTATTGTATAACTGTACAACATATCATACATTATAGTTAGGCTGTACAACATATCATACAGTATTGTATAACTGTACAACATACAGTATTGTATAACTGTACAGCATACAGTATTGTATAACTGTACAACATATCATACATTATAGTTAGGCTGTACAACATATCATACAGTATTGTATAACTGTACAAACTATACAGTATTGTACAACTGTACAACATATAACACAGTATTGTATAACTGTACAACATATCATACAGTATTGTATAACTGCACAACATATACAGTATTGTGTAACTGTACAACATATCATACAGTATTGTGTATAACTGTACAACATATCATACATTATAGTTAGGCTGTACAACATATCATACAGTATTGTATAACTGTACAACATATCATACAGTATTGTATAACTGTACAACATATCATGCAGTATTGTATAACTGTACAACATATCATTCAGTATTGTATAACTGTACAACATATAACATAGTATTGTATAACTGTACAACATATCATACAGTATTGTATAACTGTACAACATATCATACAGTATTGTATAACTGTACAACATACAGTATTGTGTAACTATACAACATACAGTATTGTATAACTGTACATCATACAGTATTGTATAACTGTACAACATACAGTATTGTGTAACTGTACAACATATCATACATTATAGTACAACATATCACACAGTATTGTATAACTGTACAACATATCATACAGTATTGTATAACTACAACATATCATACAGTATTGTATAACTGTACAACATATCATACAGTTTTGTGTAACTGTACAACATATCATACAGTATTGTATAACTGTACAACATATCATACATTATAGTTAGGCTGTACAACATATCATACAGTATTGTATAACTGTACAACATATCATACAGTATTGTATAACTGTACAACATATCACATAGTATTGTATAACTGTACAACATATCATACAGTATTGTATAACTGTACAACATATCATACAGTATTGTATAACTGTACAACATACAGTATTGTGTAACTGTACAACATACAGTATTGTATTACTGTACATCATACAGTATTGTATAACTGTACAACATACAGTATTGTGTAACTGTACAACATATCACACAGTACATTATAGTTAGGCTGTGCAACATATCATACAGTATTGTATAACTGTACAACATATCACACAGTATTGTATAACTGTACAACATATCATACAGTATTGTATAACTGTACAACATATCATACAGTATTGTATAACTGTACAACATACAGTATTGTACTGTACAACATATCATACAGTATTGTATAACTGTACAACAGATCATACAGTATTGTATAACTGTGCAACAAACAGTATTGTATAACTGTACAACATATAGTATTGTATAACTGTACAACATATCATACAGTATTGTATAACTGTACAACATACAGTATTGTATAACTGTACAACATATACAGTATTGTATAACTGTACAACATACAGTATTGTATAACTGTACATCATACAGTATTGTATAACTGTACAACATACAGTATTGTGTAACTGTACAACATATCATACATTATAGTTAGGCTGTACAACATATCATACAGTATTGTATAACTGTACAACATATCACACAGTATTGTATAACTGTACAACATATCATACAGTATTGTATAACTGTACAACATATCATACAGTATTGTATAACTGTACAACATATCATACAGTATTGTATGACTGTACAACATACAGTATTGTATAACTGTGCAACATATCATACAGTATTGTATAACTGTACAACATATCATATAGTATTGTATAACTGTACAACATATACAGTATTGTATAACTGTACATTATACAGTATTGTGTAATGGTACAACATACAGTATTGTATAACTGTACAACATACAGTATTGTGTAACTGTACATTATACACTATTGTGTAACGGAACAACATACAGTATTGTATAACTGTACAACATACAGTATTGTGTAACTGTACAACATACAGTGTTGTTTAACTGTACAACATATCACACAGTATTGTATAACTGTACAACATATTATATATTATACATTGAAGGTCATGTTTTGCCTCACCAACATATTTTGCTGAATGGAAAATGCCTGCAGACTTTCAAGAAATTTTGGTTAGTCCAGACATGTTGACAGATCATCTTCCGGATAACGTATGGAAAGCACTTGTCCAGCTGACTGATAAACATTTTAACCCAAAACCTCCTCGCTATTCAACAACTGCCATATAACACCCTAAACATTTCTGAAAGCAGTTATGTTTGATCATGGTGCCTTTCTTCAATGATTAAATGGTTGCTTTGAGATAACCTATTTTTGATATTACATGCTTTACTAAAATTTATTATGTCTGAGTCATATACAATAATCTTTTCTAGAAGTACAGCACTGTTTTGATGATCTCGATGACAACTCTTGTAAACAATCTGTGATGACACCTCCCATCAGAAATCTATGATGACACCTCCTGTCAGAAATCAATGATGACAGCTCCTGTCAGAAATCTCTTGAAGCCTGTCAGAAATCTATGATGGCAATTCCTGTCAGAAATCTGTTATGACACCTGTCAGAAATTTATGTTGACAGCTTGAGTCAGAAATCTGCTCTTCAATGCGTTTATACTGTTGAAAAGATGCAATGGTTTAAGAACTCCTTTAGCAATGTAACAGTTTGGTTAGAATGTTGTCATTTATTTTATGGAGGGACCGTTTGAATTATCTATATCGCCAATATACTCAATTAATGTAAGTTTATATACAGCCATGACATAATGCTTTATTCTCTTCCATTTCCAAAGTGCCAATCATGATGTTTCTACCAAAATACATGTGCCATTGAGTTGATTGCCTAGTGCTGGTGAGACCTTTATAAGAGTTTCACCACTAGGTGTCGCTATTGTCTACTGCCTTACAGTATGATCTTTGTTGTATTATTTATTCTGCTGAGATTTTATTATTGTAAGATAATATTTATTAAAAGGAATTTTAAAAAGATGTCTTGTTTTATTCTTAATTTGTCACCTATAGATTTACTTGTGACTGGTATATTTACCTACTGCAGGAAAACTTCATCATATATTAATCTATCAAAACCCAGAGGTATGGTGTAGATGTTCTAAATCCACAGGAAGATTGTCTTAATCCTCAGGTGGGTGATATCTTAATCCACAGGTGGGTGATGACTTAATCCACAGGTGGGTGATGTCTTAATCCACAGGGGGGTGCCACAGGTGGGTGATGTCTTAATCCACAGGTGGATGATGTCTTAGTCCACCGGTGGGTGATGTCTTAATCCACAGGTGGGTGATGACTTAATCCACAGGTGGGTGATGTCTTAATCCACAGGTGGATGATGTCTTAGTCAACGGGTGGGTGATGACTTAATCCACGGGTGGGTGATGTCTTTATCCACAGATGGGTGATGTCTTAATCCACAGGTGGGTGATGTCTTAATCCACAGGTGGGTGATGTCTTAATCCACAGGTTGGTGATGTAAAGGCCTTTCATTTACTAATCAGAAGTAGATGTTGGAGCATTTTTAACTAATTTCTTTTTCACAACTTTGTCAGGATTCTCCCCATGAACCAAGCAGTCGAATATCATGATTCAAAGATATTCATTTCATTGAAGTCGTTTAGTGTTTGGATCTGAAGTTGACAATGAAATTACCGCGGAAATGTTCATGACTTTGCGAGATATCCAACACTTAGGCCTATTTAGAACGACGTTAGGTGATTGTCCTTGATTGTCAATTTTACTTAATATCGATAAGGAACAATAATATTCAAATACTTAGAACTCAACACAAAATTCTTGATCTCTGCAAGCATGTACATGCTCAGTTAGTCTGGTAAGTTAAAGTTACAAAAATTATAAATATCTAAAGGTTTCATACAGTTAATTAACGGACGTAGCACACACATGTGAAACCGGTAATACACTATATAATATTTCTGGTAGAATCTAATAAACGGCGGAAACGACAACAGCCATAGTAGGAAAGGGGTGTAAGGAAGAAATCTAAAACGCTTTAGAGACGAGGATGAAAACGCTTGTGGGAAGTCGAATATTGAGTGGGAGCAGTGACCTTCCAGAAGGCTTGTTAGATGCGAGACAAGAAACTCGGGTCTTAAACGTGAGGAATACTTCTCAGGTATTATACCAGTAGATAACCCGGCCTGGATCATTCTAACACCACGTTCATGCATTGTGAGGAGAAAGAATAAAAGACAAAGTCAACATTGTAGACAATAAAAACAGAATATCAGAAAGATACTGCCTTTAGAAAACACACGTCTCTGGTAATAACGAGACCCCAGTAGTACTCGGATACGAAAACCTATGTAAGAGGCAATATAAATAAACAAGGTATCTTTGTTGCGTTATTATATTCTAAGGACTGCAGTATCTTAGGAACATATACATTGCCTTGCAGAGAAATGTTTCACCTTTCCAATGAATGTTTTGATGAAAGACCCAATATAAACCAAGTTGTGACCTGACGAATTCAGAAATATAGATAGGTAAAACTTAGCAAAATCAACGCAGTATCTATAAGGTGTTCTCTTGTGGTTTAATGGATAAACAGGGACTGTACCCAACACATCACAAGAAGGGAACTGTCTATAAATAACCTTTATCCAGATAGCGACATTTAATTAGAATTAAACTCTCTCTTTTTAAATGAAAATCACAAAAATTTAGACCCACGAAAGTGATTGGCTATGCAGTATCTGTGTCATAAACAAAACAGAAAAGACAAGGATTTTCGAGTTTTCGTAGACATCAAGGTGAAATTAACCTCCAACGATCAGAAATCCACAAGCAAGGTAAACGAAATTCAAAGCATTAAGCTTCAAGTACATGGGTCCTTATATATTCACTACTCGATACAGGTCAGTTATGCATCACCAGTTTGGTCAACCTTGTAAATGTTTGAAACGGGGCCACCTAAACGGAACCATCAATTACCGGACGTATCTAGAAAGGCCAAGAAAGCTCTGAATACCAACACTGGGATATAGAAGGGTTTCATGGCTTAAGACCTTCACAATATGGACTGACTAGAAAAGGAGAAACTGTTTCATGGGAATATCTATCAGTCAGCCACAGATAACTCAAATTATTTAAAAAAGACCATTCAAGAAGTTAACTGCCAACATATTTAGTAACAAAGTAATAAGACATTTGAACTTAAAGCATGAGGAATTTGTTTAATCACTCCCTGTTAACTTCTTCAAAGTTAGAATATTTAAACCATCCTTCATTTGTTCAACCCACGAAATATCTGCCGTCCTAGGAAATCCCCCCTTACTCTCCTTCGTTCTTTTTATAGATTTTACAACGACACAGACACCATGATATGTATTCCAAAAGGAAAGTAAAAATAAGTGTATAGTTTTGTTTTTAATATTTTATTTGACCGGAACCCGGAAATGTAAACGCCACCAGTATTTGGAGAAATTATCCTGCATCTTCACATGATGAAGATGGCTATGAAAATTTAACTAAAGAAATTCAGCGCTTCATGTCAGTGGGTAAAACCTACCCATTGGGGTTCTTAACCCGAGGGTGTTTTAAACTTCAGAATGTTTTATTGAGTAGGGTGTACGAGATTGGGCAAAGGCAAAAAGCCCACGCGAACCCTTACCTTGTGAGTTAGACTGAAAATTTCTGTCTGAAATGATAATTTTATATCAATGTGCTCTTTTATCATGCTGTTAGTAAACATGTTAATATCAACAATAACATAATAAATGTTAATATTGACACGAAATTATCATTTAGAGACAGACATTTCTCAGACTACACATGAAGGTAATCATTGTCCAAAAGTAGGTGATCGTGGTCCAAAGGCAGGTGGTCGTAGTCCACAGGTAGGTGATCGTAGTCCACAGGTAGATGATCGTAGTCCAAAAGTAGATGATCGTGGTCCAAAGATAGGTGGTCGTGGTCCAAAGATAGGTGGTCGTGGTCCAAAGGTAGGTGGTCGTGGTCCAAAGGTAGGTGGTCGTAGTCCACAGGTAGATGATCGTAGTCCAAAAGTAGATGATCGTGGTCCAAAGGTAGGTGGTCGTGGTCCAAAGATAGGTGGTTGTGGTCTAAAGATAAGTAATTTACATCCAGATGTATCATTTATCCTTCAATAACCTATACACAACCTCTGGCTCAAATCAGAGACGCGAGTTAACTACAACTCAGGTTAGTGGGCTAATTACTTGATGCTGTACCTGCTAAACTTTCTACTGTGATTCTAATATATGTCGATGTCTTACCGGGTGAATATGAAAGTGTCATATACAACTATGACGCAGCTGAATTGGTATCGTTTTATTTCGACAGCTTATACATAATATACTGGGAAGCGTATCGGCCTGAAGACTGTAGATATGGGACATGACAGTAATATATCTCTGTTGATATACAATAAATTCACACTCGTTACTAAACATACACCAATGTTACATTTTAATTGACTATTGTATGGTTTCTTTATATAAAACAATATTAAATTTAAAGTTTCACACCAACACTGTAACTCCGTACTGTAGTGTGATATGAACTTCCTTCTAGCATATATCAACACCATCCACTTAGAAACTTACTCCCGCCGGTACTTACTCCCGCCGGTACATACCAACTCCCTCTATAATACAAACTTACTCCCGCCGGTACATACTAACTCCCTCTATAACACAAACTTACTCCCGCCGGTACATACTAACTCCCCCTATAATACAAACTTACTCCCGCCGGTACATACTAACTCCCTCTATAATACAATCTTACTCCCGCCGGTACTTACTCCCGCCAGTACATACCAACTCCCTCTATAATACAAACTTACTCCCGCCGGTACATACTAACTCCCCCTATAATACAAACTTACTCCCGCCGGTACATACTAACTCCCTCTATAATACAATCTTACTCCCGCCGGTACTTACTCCCGCCAGTACATACCAACTCCCTCTATAATACAAACTTACTCCCGCCGGTACATACTAACTCCCCCTATAATACAAACTTACTCCCGCCGGTACATACTAACTCCCTCTATAATACAATCTTACTCCCGCCGGTACTTACTCCCGCCAGTACATACCAACTCCCTCTATAATACAAACTTACTCCCGCCGGTACATATCAACTCCCTCTATAATACAAACTTACTCCCGCCGGTACATACTAACTCCCCCTATAATACAAACTTACTCCCGCCGGTACATACTAACTCCCCCTATAATACAAACTTACTCCCGCCGGTACATACTAACTCCCTCTATAATACAAACTTACTCCCGCCGGTACATACTAACTCCCTCTATAATACAATCTTACTCCCGCCGGTACTTACTCCCGCCAGTACATACCAACTCCCTCTATAATACAAACTTACTCCCGCCGGTACATACTAACTCCCCCTATAATACAAACTTACTCCCGCCGGTACATACTAACTCCCTCTATAATACAATCTTACTCCCGCCGGTACTTACTCCCGCCAGTACATACCAACTCCCTCTATAATACAAACTTACTCCCGCCGGTACATACTAACTCCCCCTATAATACAAACTTACTCCCGCCGGTACATACTAACTCCCTCTATAATACAATCTTACTCCCGCCGGTACTTACTCCCGCCAGTACATACCAACTCCCTCTATAATACAAACTTACTCCCGCCGGTACATATCAACTCCCTCTATAATACAAACTTACTCCCGCCGGTACATACTAACTCCCCCTATAATACAAACTTACTCCCGCCGGTACATACCAACTCCCTCTATAATACAAACTTACTCTCGCCGGTACATACTAACTCCCTGCATAGTACAAACTTACTCTCGCCGGTACATACTAATTCCCCCTATAACACAAACTTACTCCCGTCGGTACATACTAACTCCCCCTATAATACAAACTAAGTCCCGCCGGTACATACTAACTCCCCCTATAATACAAACTTACTCCCGCCGGTACATACCAACTCCCTCTATAATACAAACTTACTCTCGCCGGTACATACTAATTCCCCCTATAACACAAACTTACTCCCGTCGATACATACTAACTCCCCTATAATACAAACTAAGTCCCGCCGGTACATACTAACTCCCCCTATAATACAAACTTACTCCCGCCGGTACATACTAACTACCTCTATAGTACAAACTTACTCTCGCCGGTACATACTAACTCCCTCTATAGTACAAACTTACTCCCGCCGGTACATACTAACTCCCTCTATAGTACAAACTTACTCCCGCCGGTACATACTAACTACCTCTATAGTACAAACTTACTCCCGCCGGTACATACTAACTACCTCTATAATACAAACTTACTCCCGCCGGTACATACTAACTCCCCCTATAATACAAACTTACTCTCGCCGGTACATACCAACTCCCTCTATAATACAAACTTACTCCCGCCGGTACATACTAACTACCTCTATAGTACAAACTTACTCCCGCCGGTACATACTAACTACCTCTATAGTACAAACTTACTCCCGCCGGTACATACTAACTCCCTCTATAGTACAAACTTACTCCCGCCGGTACATACTAACTACCTCTATAGTACAAACTTACTCCCGCCGGTACATACTAACTCCCCCTATAATACAAACTTACTCCCGCCGGTACATACCAACTCCCTCTATAATACAAACTTACTCCCGCCGGTACATACTAACTCCCTGTATAGTACAAACTTACTCTCGCCGGTACATACTAACTCCTCTATAATATAACTTTAACCTCACTTGTACGAATTTCTCCCGTTGTGTCTATATTAATGGTCTATCGAATGTCGGTAGACACAAACAAGTGCTAACGTTCCTTCACTAGTTCACAGAGGATCGGGTACTGACATTCACTGTAACACGCTTATATAAGGCAGAGGAAATATTGTTTTTCTTTTAAGATTACAATTGCACTTTGTGGTAAGCGCTTCCTATGATAATGTATACAAATTTGTTTGTGGAATGGAATATTTCACTTCATTCCAACAAGACAGCAATTTTACGTGCATGTGTTCGAAACTATGCAAATTACAAATATTTCACAATTTTCATTTACAGAATGTCTATATCTATTTCGACCAAGGGAGACATACTTTAAGGGTAGAGCATTTACGTCTGTTAATACCGCGAGGAATATATACTTGACGGTTAGAATGTCTGTCTGTGCCATTGGCAGCACGTATTTAGAGGCTAGAACGTCTGTATCAGTCTAGGCTTTGGGAATACATACTTAACGGGTAGGGCGTCTATATCTGTATAGGCCATTGGGAATATGTAGTTAATGGGTAGACTGGTTATTTCTCTCTCGGCCGTGGGGACTGGTGGAGTGTCTATATCTGTATAGGCCATTAGGAATATATAGTTAATGGGTAGACTGACTATTTCTGTCTCTGGGGAACTTGACAGGCAGAGTCTATATCGGTATAGGCCATAGGCAAATGTCTATGGGACGTCCGTGCGAGTCATTCACCACGGAAAAAACGTCAGCTAGTGGAGGAAAATTCCTCCTTCGGAAAATAATCGAATCATCAGTTTATCAAAGAGACATGAAAGATATATATATATATATAACGGTGTGGAGTGCTTTAGCGTTCATGTTTTAACAGTACAAATTAAAAAAAAAAATAGAACTTATGAGCAACAGTATTTGAATGCATATATATATATATATATAAACGTATATCGACAGTAAACAACACTTTATTACATTCCCAACCCTGCTGTAGTGCTCTAAAGCCTTGTCGCCGGCTTTGATATGTAGGTTTGGATGACGTTCATGTATCAGTGGATATATCAAACACTTTAGTAAATCTTCAATACTCGTATACGGTCAAATATACCCCTGGTTACGTGTTGTCTGCCTTGTTTATATCAAACATTTTCTAGTAAAGGATTTTCGCAAGTTTTCTTAATCATTTTACTCAGACTAGCACTTTCACAAATGCTGCAAATGCTATCTCGCTCTTCCAAATAAGTTTGATTCAAATTTGAATTTAATGCTTACCTTTGACAGGTGAGTTAATTGTACCAATGTGCTACTGTTACAAATACTTGTATACAATATAGATGAAACATTTACACCCCCAATACTCGGATAAGGCTCACAAAAGCATGTTTACACATAGGTATAATGATGATGAAGGCTGCCTTCAACACTAACACAGAATTTTGTACCAGAATTCCTTAATCCCGGATGTCCGGCTTCTTGGGCCGGAAGTAGACATATCTAGTCAACATAGACACAATACAAGGCATCTGTTTAATGTTCTCCGTGAATTCTTCGTCAGTACAAGATTCAAATTCGTAAGTCACTATTCGGTTCACTTGGGTAAGCATGTGTAGAAGCTCCATTTTAGGTCCATAATTTTCCAGGACAATACACAAGGCCTGTATGAACCATGAACCATCCTGATTATTCCTCCACGAGTAACAACCTGTCAAGTATCCAAAAACTAGATTATTAAACCAACTTCAGTCATACAATATAAATACAGAGTATATTACACGTGACCTTAAGTGATAACTCCCTTTCCGGGTCACTGACTACAATCTTATTAGCATTCATCATCATGTAAAACTACAAAACGTGATTGAATAATATAAGTCATGTTTTCAGTTTTTGAAGATGTATCTGTATATACCGTAACCTGTTATAACGACTACGTATCTCGGTACCCTAACTAGAACTGTACTTACCGTTTACAGTTCACCAAGCCTAACCGATAATGTTAATCACATGCATCGGATGGGAGGTACCTCTGTTCAGTTACTGGTTTTAAGACACATTTCTTTCATTTGAGAGCTCCTGACTGCGGCGATTGAGAGCAAACAGCTTGAAGAGTAAAACCGAATTGAACAGGTGGTCATACAGATATACATCCAGCTCTTTGTATTTTTTAAAAAATACTAAATCAGTTGCGGGGTCCAAGAGATATTCTGAACACAAAATTTTATTTAAAAAGTAGTCAAAAGTGACGTTTAATATTGACCGATGTCTTCCAATTACTAATTTGGTGTAGACGTTACTGTAAAGTTATGTTGTGAATATAAATTAAATGTGAAGATGGCTTCATAAGATATCTTGTACCATTTATTTCCAAAGTAGCCAAGGGTGACCTTTGACCTTGACAAATTGGCAACAACGCTAATTGTGTGTAAAAGTTAATAGTGTCATGTTATGATATGAACATGAAGAGTCTGAAGAGGGGCTCATGAGCTACCTTGCACACAGACCTTCCTTTTTGACAGTGGTCAAGCGAGACCTTTGACCTTTTCTCTTGACCAAACTTTATATTTTCAGTGGTTCATGCTATATCCTGTACACAGAGGACGGGCGGACGGGTGGACACACAAAGTGATCAACTTAACTACAATGTAAGTGAGGGAACAATGAGGGAATGGTGGTATAATTTATTGGGGGTTTAACCTTCTAAAATCATCACCTGATTGGATTAGATGATTATACCTTCCACTTAGGTAACGGGACACGTAGTGGGTACTCGCGTCCGAGATAACCTTGTGTATCCCATGAGCCCACGGACAGATTAGTTCATATTCACACCATAACATCATACCACCAATTAATTAGATTCTGATGACCATTGCTTAAAATTAAGGTCAAAGGTCACCCTTGACCACTTTGGAAATAAAAGACTTGTCTACAAGATATCACATGCACCTTGAAGAGTTTAAGTTCAGATTCACACCATAGTTACACATAACTAGATGTTCGTAGTCAAGGTTAAAGGTAAAAGGTCACCTACATTGCAAATAAGAACAGAGGCGGGGTATATCTAGGTGGGCGGCAAGATTTATCTAGGTGAAACTTGCTTTGTTAACAATTTCGCTGTGTATAAATACCATGTATTCTAATCTGACAAATTGTGACTCTACACTTATTTTGTTCAGATTTAACAGTATATAGTTAAAGGATGTAAAATATCTCACTGCTTCATGAAAGGACAAATTACTTTTGATGTTTTCAAAGCAGACAGATTTTACAGTACAAAGGGTCATTATCGGCCCGTACTTCCGATTTGGCACTTGTCCGATGTCTTAGTCTTGGTATGTGTATATGGATAATATTGTCTTTAATGTAGGAGGGAAAACTTTGGAAACATTCTATGATTATCTGCCAAGCTTTAAAATATAAGTGTCGTATGTTTACCTGGGACAGTAGAGTAAGAAAACAAGAAGTCTGCCTCCACAGGTATTTTTCTCAGCGGGTGGATGCAGGATTCGAAATCTTCGGAGTAGCCACTTCTGTCAGACACGCTGTCGGTGAGGTCGAGGGACGCTTCATTGGTTATTCCACGGCATGCCTGGTAACAAGTCAATATCAGTTTTAATTATTTCGGGTTCTACAATATTGTTTACGCTGTGGTCTGTTGTTTGTAATCCGTCTCCCTAATGGCAACCGGCTGATTATCAGAGGCCTGGGATGATGATACCGTTATTTATTAGCATGCAAGGATAAATTTCCAAGGTCAAGGTTAAAGACGTGATAATGCATTGAAATATTTTTTTAGTTAAAATGACTTTATCTCACATGCAGCATGCTCAGAATAATACTATTGATTTGCTTCACCTGGAGAAATTTAAACATTACGGGGGTCAAATGTGTTAAAATATTCAAGCGATATTCTTTTGATTAAGCAAAAGGCAGGCATATGACCACGATATTTGACGTTTTGCATTCATGGATCAAAGGCTAACATCAGATTAGATAAAATACGCCAGATGTTTCCATTTTCAATGTTTCAGACAACACCCGAATAACGTCCAGAAGTTATAAATAGCCTGAGGCATGAATGATCGAAAACAAAATGCTTATCGCAGTCTAAGGTTGTAAAGAATACCTCTGCATCATTTACTTCTGTGATAAATTCATCTGTAGCACTTGGATAAGAAAAGCCATCTGGCTTTTGTTTACCAAATAATTGACCTTGACCTTTTTTCAAATGCCATATATTTTGAAATTATAAAGAAAAAAGCTTAATAGTGTGCACATGTAGTTCGTTTTGTTTGTAAAGGTAGTGTATTTTGTTAATGGCACAACAGACCCTCCTTCCTCTATTAAACCAAAAAAGAGGTGAATGTCATTGTGATTGACGTCACTTTGTCTCCCTAGCCGTTTGATATCGATGTTGTAAGTATGTCATCTTACCATTGCTTTGTATACTAACCTGTAGGAAGAAGAGTTTGGGCTTGCCGACAAGTGAGGGACAGCGCTCACCCTTAAAGGGGACAATAAGCATCTCCAGTGGCAGTATGCCATCCGTGGCGTAGATACGTCCCTCGATACCATGGCTAAGGATGGCACAGCCGAAACAGTCACAGTCGGAGTGGTCGTATTCCGAGGCTGGTCAAAACACAACAGTAAACCACAAATACATTACCTACTATTTACCGTCCTTCAATGACCATTTATATTAATAGGACGTCGAGCAGAAAAACTAGAACCATCACCTTAACATGTTACCCAGGTTATAATACCCACCAGTTACCCGTAAATATAGATATCCAAGGGTTACTTTTTACTCACTTCACAAGTTATCCTTAGATACCTATATCTAACAGTATGTGTTTTCACCCTCTATGTTTATATAATACTTCCTGGCACGTTTGCACTCGCGCTGTATACAAATTCATCAACAAATACAGTCTGGATGTTTAATGAAAAGTTCTAGAAAGTATTGATGGTTGTAGTTGAAATCGGTTTAAGAAATGTTGCGAGTCTTTCTAGTCCAAGAGTTAATAGAACCTGTAATTAACGACCCACTCAGGCTGTTGACCGACACACACTAAACCTCACCCTGCTAACGATCCACTTAATTCTACGACCCTAGCTGCTTCACAACAACAATGCTTTATGTTGGTTTATCATTGAATTACCCGATTTTTCCAGCCCTACATCCTCATTGCGGATGACCCTATTGCTGTTCAGTGTGAGGGCATATTCTAACTCTTTCCGTCAAACTTCACAAAAAACGGGTCTTTTGGCGGCTACGTTTTGTAATTGTTCCTGACGTTACCACCTTCCATTCTGTCCTCGTTTTCAACCCAAACAATCCGCAGTCATTACTGTTCCTGTGTGCTTACACAAAATGTTATGTTACCAAGCTCCTGTGGAAGGGTTCACATGTTCCAGCTAGCAAGTATTTAGTTGTATACCATGTAGGTTAGCTGGTTAGAATGCCCTTAGAGTTTTCTTTTCCACTTACAAATATACGTCACATTAGGTAGTGTAATATAAGTAGGGGAAGCAAGATGACGTGTGTTCTCAGCTTGTCGTCTGTTTGCCTACAGGGTTCCCAAACCAAACCCTATCTACCTTTCACCGCTTTGACTAATTCTTATTTATCAATATTCCCCTACCACATTCCCGTTCTGTCCCAACTCATTACCATCCTCGGCTTCCTTACCAACCTCGGCTTCTATAAAACCCTCGGCGTCTTTACCACACTCGGCTTCTTTACCACCCTCGGGCTTCTTTACCATCCTCGGCTACTTTACCAACCTTGGCTTCCTTACCTCCCTCGGCTTCTCAACTATCCTCGGCTTCTTTACAACCCTCAACTTCTTTACCACCCCTATCGGCTTCTATACCACCCTCGGCTTTCTTAACAACCTCGGCCTCTTTACCACACTCGTCGTCTTTACGACACTTGTCGTCTTTACCACACTCGGCTTCCTTACCACCCTCAACTTCTTTACCACCACCATCAGCTTCTTACCAACCTTGGCTTCTTTACCAACCTTGGCTTCTTTACTACACTGTTGTCTTTACCACACTCGTCGTCTTTATCACAATCGTCGTCTTTACCACACTCGGCTTCTTTACCACCCTCGTCGTCTTTAACACTATCCTCGGGTTCGTTACCACCATCGTCTTACCACACTCGGCTTCTTTATCCTTCTCGGTTTCTTACCACCCTAGGTTACTTTACCACCCACGTCTTCTTTACCACCCTCGTCTTTACCACCCTCGTCGTCTTTACTACCCTCGTCTTCTTTACCACACTCGGCTTCTTTCTCTTTCGGCTTCCTTACCATCCTCGGCTTCTTGATCATCCTCGGCTTCATTACCACCCTCGGCTTCTTTACCACACTCGGCTCCTTTACCACACTCGGCTTCTTACCACCCTCGACTTCTTTACCACCCTCGGCTTCTTTACTCCAACCCTTTTCTCAGCAATACTTTCCCTAGCTTGTGTTGATATTTGTTATGGTGTAACTAGTCTTTCGGTTTTAGATGTAACAAACGTATTTCTACTTACCATCGTACATGATCTGAGTAATCTTGGCGCTTGCTACATCATTGTACCGCCTCACTTCAAACCCCAAATCCTGGAATCTTTCTTCTAGACGTTCGGCATCAACGTTTGTTCCTTCCCGGGTCATTTGTCCAGTAGAGGGATGGAAGTTCTTGTTGTTGATGATCAGAAAAAGGCCCCGTTTGTGGTAATTGAAATTATACTCGTTCGGCTCTGAAGGGGCACCGGGGCGGACTGACCGTCTGTCTCCACTGTTGAGTAAACACAGATGTTATTTTAATTTGTATTCTGAAGCAATGGAGCATCGTATTTTTAGATACTAGATGATACCCTTAAAGACCTTTGGTGAACACTTTATAGAACACTTGATACTATTGAACTCCGCCAATGCATCTTGGCTTTTTGTTAACGGTGACAATTTCTAATTTTCCAATAGTGAAATTTCCATTAATTAATTAATAGTAACAGTACTGCGTCATCGGTCTTTGGTATTCAAGGGCTTGTTCCCAGTTTCATTATTTTCGTGTAATAGATGCTGTCGAGCTTTGATCGGAACTTGGTCTCATTGGTCTCGTTCGGGACATCAGGGTCTACTCTTATTTTGCGAATACGTTTACTCTGATTTGACCTAGTTAGCATGGCTGTTGACAAAAATGAATTGAGAGACGTTTACAATTCCGGAACTTCTGATTCTAATTTCTTCATTCCCTTTGAAACATCTCAATGTACATATATCGTGTATCTATATTTTGTCTCAATTTAATTGATTTTGAATTGAAATTTTTTTTACATGCTCTCTACTTATTGGGGCAAATAAAGCAATTATATTCACCACTTTATAGTCATTTATAGTGTATACTGCTTGCTACCTTGGATTTTAAATATGCAATGTTTCAGATATTAATTTGATGGTAAGACAAACGACTTTATATTCAGAACAATGTTAGTCACGATGAACATGAACGAAACAATGTTATGATGGATATCTACTACACACAGATAAGGAATGTGTGTCACCAGAAAGGTAGATTCTCTGGAAATATATTGGCTTGTATTGATTTTTTAAAAAAGAAAGAGCACGAGTCTGTTTACCGATGAAACAAACGTGCTCTCTTCTCTCGTAAATGATTACTCCGTAATAACAAGTAATGGGAAAGATTATACGGTCACCAGTCATCGATCGTAAACACTACAGCGGTACTATATAACGATAGGATGGCAGGGTGATGTCATACATAAAAAGGAACACATGCACACGTGTCTGAAGGATGACTAATATAATGGCCCTGGATACTGCATCAATCAAATGTTTGTATCGAAGCTACATCAATACCATATACACGTCTCCATCAGACGACTACCTTTAGCCCGAGGGAACAACATCGAATTCTCTAAATATACTAGGGTGCCAAGCAGGCCGGAAGCGAGCTGTTTCTACATTACAAGCACATCAAAACAGCTTTATGTTGTGTTGCCATCCGTTAACGATGCGTGTGGAACAGTTATACTGCAAAACGTTTTATTTTAACTAGTCTGTCGCCATTACTGCAGTGCCATTACTTGAATACAATATTTCAGTCTGAACGATGTCACGAGTAAACAATTTATCTGCAGCATCCCTTTCTCCGCCTTGTAAACGTCACTGTTGACATTGTATGACAGTCCATAAACTAACAAAATTGGAAACCTATACGACATATCCAGCTAATATCGATAGTGTGAATGTACAGTTCAACTGAGACGGCGTTTAGGGTATCTGGTGATCACGGCCCAGTTAATCCGATACCTATCCAAATGGAGTAAACTCGTCATATTCATCTACATGTAAAAACATGTAATGCCAGATAGTATGTCCATAAAATAGTTACTGTACATATCTTATCTACAACAAAACACGTTTAAACCATTCATATTTCTACATTAATTTTGCTATGTAATTTACCCCTGAAGATTGTAAAAAGTAGTTTTTCAAAGTAATCCGGCTCTATATTAAGTAGTCTGTCAATGAAATTCCGTTTGTGATTTACTACAGTCTGTTTTTTGTTTGGATATGTACTAAATCCATACTCCTTTATTTCTTATCATTATAATAATGATACAGATAATAGACGTTAGTTTTCCAATAAATAATTGTAGGGGTGGGCGGTTCTAATGGTCTCGGCGAGAACCCACAGTTAACACGGGGCCAGATCTAATCGCCTCTGGTGCTGAGCGAAAACTCCCAATTAACACGAGACCAAGTCCAAAACAACTTATGGCTTAAGGTGTTCAGCCAGAATACGAAGCAAACTTGATGCCAGCTAGAACTCAATTTGTCCCCTCCACAATAGCAAAGTGTGTATGATCACGGACATGGTGACACGTGACCCTGTCCTTTGATTCTTGGGAACTGATCTCACGACTTTAGACAAACAGACTAAACAAGCAATCTCGTACATCCAGTCTTTACATATAACTTGAGAACCAAAGATGATCATAGACCAATGGGAACTGAATCTTTTTGCGTTACTATTGTTCTGTTTCTATTGTTCTGTTTCTAGTGATAAATCACACGACCTTAGACATAGAGACTAAACAAGCAATCCCATACATCCACTCTATACACGGAACTTGTGGACCCTATACTGGAGCACATCTCTTTTTAAAAAAATACTCCAAGACAAAGAAAAGATGTACAGTCTGAAATCGTTTCTGGTTGACAATACTTTCATCGAATTTGGTTGTAAGATCTTCCTACAGACTATTAGCATACCAGGGACAACCAGTGCCCACTCTTTGCTGACGTGTTTTTGTTTTCATGCCTGGCTGAATTTATCGGAGAGCTTATCAATGCAGACCACAAAGACCTTGCGAATTCCTTTACATTCACTTGTTGGTGTATTGTCGAAGTCTTGTCTTAAAATAAGAAGAACTTTATTTATCAAGTAAGTTTATCATATGATCGTCCACCACTCATACCCACCATAATTAGAAATAAAGAACGTAACACCTTTTCGACACAAGCCGCTCCAATAGAGACACTTTTCCACAAAACAATGTTAAGCATGATTTCTATTTTCCCATTTTCAATTTTCCATTACTAGACAGCAACATCCCCAACTTATGGTGTCTAGGTGTCGTGGTTGATTCGATATTAAAGGGTTTGCGCCCAATTTATGATATTCGTGCAAGATGTCACAGATGACAGTTAAACTCACAGCACACGATTTCGAGAGATACAGGTTGATGACTATTATGTTGAAAATTTATGGTCGTTATAATGACCTCATTTTCAACATTTTATTTCTTTGTATGATATGAAGTTGGACGTGTTTGATGCTCGTTAGTATGTCTGGTTATGTCGTTGTTTCCCTTGTTCGCATTAGGGAAGCGTGACATTATTAACTTGGATTGACCAAAATTTACACGACAGGTGTCATTGATGAAACAGATGACGCTTATCGAATTTGAGTTTGAATTCATATTCTGTACCCATGTCGGTATATTGCTATTCTGTCACATAGTATTTTTGCAAGTTGTGTTTAACCAAACTTTGTCTTACAACATATCATATGAAGGGACAATCTTTGTCATATGGTCCATTACTTCAGCTAGCATAGTTAACACATCACGTGATCTTCCATTGAAAGTTCGAATTTCTTTAGTACAAAACATCCACAATAGTAATAGAAAAATGTAAGCACCTTTGTGCCGAATAATGAATGAAAACATGTCACGCAAATGTTTCGTCCTATTACGACGCCAGAGGCCGGAGCTTGAAGATAAAGGTCACCAAAGGCCACCTATAACTGGTCGAATAATTTCAGGACTAATCCTAGACTCCAATTTCAATGAACCTTAAAATAAACATTCAGGACTATGTGGATACTTTGTTTCCGTAGAAGGCTTGGCAGCCACCGGTAACCTTGGAAACACTCTTTGTTGTATAAAGGAATTTGGCAGCCACCGGTAACCTTGTACACACACTTTATAGTATAAAGGAATTTGGCAGCCACCGGTAACCTTGGACACACACTTTATAGTATAAAGGAATTTGGTAGCCACCGGTAACCTTGGACACACACTTTGTTGTATAAAGGAATTTGGCAGCCACCGGTAACCTTGTACACACACTTTGTTGTATAAAGGAATTTGGCAGCCACCGGTAACCTTGGACACACACTTTGTTGTATAAAGGAATTTGTCAGTCACTGGTAACCTTGTACACACACTTTGTTGTATAAAGGAATTTGTCAGTCACTGGTAACCTTGTACACACACTTCGTTGTATAAAGTAATAGATTTACCAACCCTTATCAATTGTATTCAAACTTGGCTAGATGCTGTCATTATAATTTGTCCTATTAGGGATTACAAAAAACGTTGCTATGGAAGCAATAATTGGGTGGTCTCGTTTGTAAATAATGAGAGAAATGGCGGAATAGTGTGGTTATTAGTTTATCTATTGGCTTACAGCGGGGAACCGCATGTATAAGCGATAACTCACGGACGAGAGGAGACGGAGAACACAGAGAAATTAGCGAAATCCTCATTCTATATCGAAAGGAAGGAACTGGCTGAAATATTTTCCTATAATTAATATGAAAGGAAATGGCGATCCTCTCCAAAAAAAAAAAAAAAAAACATTCATATCACATGATAAAATATAAGCTATCGGCTCGTGACATATCAAATTATTGAACTCGTTTAATAAATTCCATAATACATTGACACTCATGTAAGATCATCTATGTGTGTCCTTTGTACAAAGTTCACGGGGTATTGACTGGGTAATTTTAAATCAAATGATGAGTCATGTTATTGATATATTTAAAACATAACTTTGACGAACTTCGTCGTGCTAGACTACGCAACACAACGGATGATATGACAGGAGGCTAACCGGAACTGAATTTTATATCAAAGTGATTTAAAAACTTGGTGTCCATTATTCTTGACCACCCAATCACGCTCCAGCATGAAAGCTAGATATGCCTTTATACTTTTCTCCTTATCCCTACACCTCTAACTGAACTGATTGAGCTGTGTGACCAGTACGGAGTATTTGTGTCACTTTTACCTACGAGCACTGTTACATTTCACGCTTTCAAAAAGGATTTGGATGACAAACCTATAAATTTCCTATTGACAATACTATTTTTACAGTAGACTAAATACTACCGGGCTTACTCAGTAGAGATTGAACTAGATGTTCACCATCCTCACTTTTATTGTTTGATTCCCAGATGTCACAAGAATAGTTTTAATGTGT